ACAGCTCTGATTAAAAGCCAAATGACCCCTAGAATCTGGTACAATAAACTAGCTACTGCAATTTGCAAAACAGGCCGAAAGTAACTTATGACAGGCATTCAAAAAGACTATAAACAATTCTATAGGTGCACAACATTTGAACAATACTGATGAAAGCTAATTCCACGATAAAACTGAAAATAACAACACTACGCGTAAATGAACTGTAATGGCACTGTACTGGTAAAAACAATAACATGGTCCCTACGTCAGCCCACTGTCCAGCACAAAACATCCGACAGTCACACAACACAGACAAACATCCCTGAAGACCAGAGGCATTCACACAGACATTCAAAACCCACCAATCAAACCGAAACACTCAGACGACTGCACTCTGTCACACACAGCATACACCAACAGACCACGCTGCCCCCGAGAACCGATCGACCGTGTCGCAGCGTTTAAACTGCTAGAACTACCAAATATGGAAACGATATCACATGACGTCATTTAACAAATAAAGCAAGGGTCCTAGAATACCAAATATAGAAGCATAATACATGAAGTCATTTAACAGGCAAAACAAGGGTCGTCACACTGTCAATGTTCTGTTTGTAACAGAACCGGCTGAAAAGTATGACTTTTGTAAAGGAACCAGCCGACACAAAATTTGAACCCACCACTGCTTCCACCTGTAACTCATCAGCGACCGTTTCATCAGCATATGGGATTGAGAAATCTGTGCTCTCGTCCAAAGCGATTGAGAAACATTTGAATTTATTTGCCGTATTCAACAGATTTTTCTGTTGTTTGCACAGGTTTCATTACAAATTAATCAGGCAGCTTTTGATTTAGGCCTACCATTGTCCATGAAAAAATACTTCTCTGTCCATTCCTCGTTAAAACAGGAAATTCGGAATCCACTTTGCGTTTTTCACTCATTTTAACAATATTTATTACAAAGGATGGCAAATTACGGCAGCTGCGCAAAGAAAGTTGAGTGGAGAATGATGTTCAATAGCTTGGCTTACGATTATATGATAAGCAGAAGAATGTAACAATTAGGGTCATTCTGACGTTATTTGATAAATCCAAATTAACCGATGTAAAGCAATAGGTATTTGCAGCAGGGGATGCAGTAATAACATTTAAGGATTGGCAAGTGATGGGAGACAGTATAATTGAATTTAAGTACTGAAATTGAATTACTTTAGGGGACGATTTGGTATTCATTCGACATTTTCAACGGGAATTTATATTCATGAAAGCTATAGTCATAATTTCAGCAGGAACAAGTGGGCCCGATAAAACATTTCAGTGGGCCGGATCCGGCCCGCGGGCGTTAACTTGCCCACCCCTGAATTAGAGCAACGACCTTATTCCAGGCGAATAACATGCACTATTTACAATACGGTGAAAATATTGAAACATACAGTAACTATACTTACGTACTCGCTACAATAGTAACTATTTTCACGATCTTTTTCAGAATCTTGTCTAAATGCAAATTTTGATCAGCATTTAGTGACAGTATGAATTTGGTTATGAATAATTGTGGCATCAGTTGATAAGTAGCCTACTTTGACATCATGGGGAATTTAAAAATTACCTACCTAACCTTACCATGTTGTTGTTACCTCTCCCGCTCCTTTCACCGCGAAATGTCATTTTCAATTTTTTTCCAATTTTTGTTCACAGTGAGTGAATTTTCATTTTGGTGAAAAATAAGCTACTGACTGACTACACGCGTAAATTAAAAATTTCGAAGGAATAAACTCTTGTTGCGGATTGCAAAATTCGTAAATAGGCGAGCAGTCACACAGCCCACTTGTAAAACCTTACGGTAAAACGATGAACGGATGACAAACGACATATTAGAATATGACGCTTATATACAGAGAGAGAGAGAGAGTTTATTTCATTTTGTCAAACCAAGAAAACAATTTATGCACACATAAACAAATATCAAAAAAATCGTTTTCGGTATATGACTGGGGGGCAACGATACGACCTTTGGGGGTCATCAGAGTCAGTTGCCACCCAATTATATTAAATAAGCATAAAAATAACAGGTTCGTGTCAATATATAAATGTCTCTCACGATTTATACTATGTACAATATTTACATGAATTTACTATTTTCAATTATGGAAGCATTTATTTAAATAATGGGATTTTGCACAAATTGAAATTATATTGCAAAATATAAAATGATCGAAACGAAAAAAGTGGGAAAGCAGGTCAGACAAGCTACCCCTTATTTGGGTAACTTGTTTTATTGAATGAATTTAAGTTAAACATATCAAGTGGGATTTTGAACAAGCAAAATGGGTAGAGTTCTATTCTACTACACACACTAGTGCAATGTAATCAGAAGCATGGGTTGAGTCATCAAAACAAATTAGAATTTGGTTTTAAACAACAAAGAAATGCATTTCAAAATGCAATACATTGTATAGCCATCGACAACGGTGCTAATTGTTGTATAACATAATAATTTAGGTCACCCTCAGCTCATAGACGAAGATAAGGCAAATCTTTGAAATATGGACGATATGGTTCATGAAGCCAATATTACAGTGGAGTCAAAGGTCGGATAACAATCCAATGAATTCATAAAAGTTGTTGCCTGTAACATACGTCATCAATCAGCTGATCTTTCTTTTTTCTTTTTAAGTTAATTATGTTTGTCTTTTATATGACGAACAACTGCTTTACTGTTTCTCTCATAAAGGTCTCCTTGTGTCAGTTCTCAGTTGTAATGTTAATGTGCCTGGATACTGGGGTTGGCTTTTCTTGCCTGCCAATCATCCCAGCATTTTGTTGTGCTAGGTCTGCAGCTTGGTTGGTTGTGTTTACTGAAGTGAATTTCATATTTCTGTATTTGTACAGTCTAACAGTAGTAACTTACAGTATGACAGTAGTAAGATGAGTTTTTTCCTGGAATTATTTGCTTCAGTTTTCAGGTAATGAATGATATGGCCTGGTGGTTAAAAGTGTCAGAGAGTTGAGCTCTATGTTGACTTTACAACTTGATGCGCACTTTCTGAACTCGTACGGTACAGCTGTAGGCCTACAGTCAACAGTTGAAATAAATCGGTAAATTGTCAAGTTAGGGTACCGTAGCCAGTGACACTGAACTGAAAAAATCTTCCATCCATAAATCTGTAAATAGTATCTAAATACTGAAATAAGGATGTTGTTGTGCTACACCAGCGGTTCACAAACTTTACATCTGCGTGGCAAATTATCAGGAAAAAAAAAAACTAAAACCGCACTTACACGAAAAATAAGTTGCTGCCTTTGAATAAAACTCAATTTTGTGATCGTTAATGCTGTAATGGGTACTTTATGCCTTTAAAATTTGTCAATATGTAGAATATTCGATTTGTGCCAATATGGAGGCCCAGACTTCTTCATAAAGGAGGGGTTTGCACTCACTGTTATGATTAATGTCTTAATGCAGTAATGTGGAGGCTATTCTTTTAATCAGAGAACTGTATCGTACTGTTATCTGGAATGAAGAAAATTGATTATATCTACCGTAATTATTGTTAGATTCAAAGTAATTGACTGTGTTGGCGAGGCTCGGGTCATCATGTATCAAAGACTCCGAGTGAATCAGGTCATCTCAACAGAATGACTCAACTCGTCATTAACTAACCAACCACCAGTGAGTATTGACTCGACTCGAGACTTTGATCACACATGATTCGACTTGACTCTCGATTCTGGGTTTAGAAACTTCTACGCGACACTGGATATTGGTCCTGAAAACTGTTTGTATATTCTGTAATTTATTTTCTGTCTGACCATTATTGCTGCATAAAATGTTTGCTTTTATTGCAATGTAGTTATGGCAGAACTGAATTCTGGTTTGCAAGTCAACAATACTGTTAATTATCATTCAATGATTCCGCACATTTGTCGAGCTACTGATTATTATCTTATTGAATTTGTTTGATCACATCCAACATCTTTGCGAAACTTCTTACTGGTGCCTAGTAATAGATTTATTTTGTAAAGGTCGATTTCCCTATTTATATTTTCGGAAATATTCCAGTTTTGACCTTTGAGTGGCATATGACAATATGAGTCATGACTTCGACTGTCAATCACCTTGGGAGTTGTTGATGAATAAAATAATTATATACGGATATTCGTGAATTACATTATGGATATGTATTTACCACAGAAGCGACATATACTAGTAACATGCGGCTCGATACAACTGTGTAACCCCCCAACCCTAACTATCAAGACAAATGTAAATAAAATCAAAAATCAAACCATTTTATAGTCGGAAAAGTCTGAGGCGAAAAGTTCATTATTCTGTATACGTTTTTGAGCTATTGTACTATGACCAACAAATCTCAAACACACATATTTTTATAAAAGACATTTTTTGCATTTAATATAGAATCTATAAGTTTAAGTCAGAATGCTGTGTATTATTTATAAATATATTTTGACTTCAAAATCCGTAGTCTATATCAGTCGCTGAATTAATTGATAAAGATAAATTTATTAAAAAATCCAATAAAAAGGTGTTTCCAAATAAAGTGGCACGTGTACACTCACCTAACTATAAAATTATTTCCAACATACACACACATGCACACAACCAAAATAACATGATGGAATGAATAAAACGCAAGAAAGTTAGTTGCGCGACTTGTGCCATAGTGAATATCTGACTTTTCCATACTGAAGTCTGAATTTCACAAGTAGTAACATTATAGAATGAAAAAATATCAATGGACTGATTGCCAAGCATTGCATTGAATAAAACATTGAATCTATGTAGCATTTAGAAGGGATGAGCAATTGGAAAATTACCCAATGTTGCCCAGGCTCAAATTTTTACTATGTATTTTTCCAATAAAGTTTTAAAAATTGGTTCTACAATGCATGTTAGCGAGCAGACTATCTAATAATTGCAAGTTTATTAAGAAAAATTATCTTGAGCACAATTGATCAAGTTTGGGAAATGACAAATTTTAATTTTGTTTCATATTTTATCAACAAACAGTCTAAAATAGCTTTTCGAATTTAAGTTTATTCCGACTAAGGTTACCGACATCCCTGTGACGTGGTAACTTTGGCAGGAGTATAAAGCTTGAGAGGAATACTGGCATCGACATCAGCTCAAGCAGAAGGTGGACTTTCTCCACCCCCTGTTAAAAGACAACGCTTCTCTTCGCAACCTACAACCAGTTGTTCAAGTCCAACAACAAAACCTTCCGGAATGCAATCACATAGTTCACAATCTGTTAACGGGGAGTGCTCAACTTTGTCTGCTGCTAATCTTAACGGTTCTGCTGCTTACAATTTGAAAGTAAGTTAAATTTACAGGTGCATGCTTGCTTCATTTTTATTTTTACTCCAAGCTAGACACCAGACTCTATACCTTTGAGTTTTTTTTTTATAACCACTACAATAGAACACCAACCCAAATGCAGTTGTGTGTGAGTTGGACTCAAACAAAATTAAACCTTGAGCTCCTAAATATTACAACTTTAGCTTGAAGCTCTTAAATATTATTTCAAATTGAAAATTATAAGCTGAAATTGATCGATTCCTGTTTTAATTTATATGAAGTATTAGTAAATTATAAACATGAAAAAGTAATAGGTTAAGGCTGGAGCACTAAAATTTTGTGTAGTTTCGAGTCTAGTTCAATGAAAGGTTGCGACTTCATGGGGATAGGCTTCGTCACCCCAGCTCTTGATAGTAATATCGAGATTTAATTTTTTTAGCAAAGATAAAGATTAATTATTACCAAGGATAGTGAATGTAAACATTTATAATCCCATTAAATTTCAATTTTACATGATTTTTTTGATAAGCCATTGATGGGAGAAATTCAATTCATTCTTTTGTTAAGATCGAGTCTTCATTCCAACCTTTTTGGACTTTCGTGGAAACTTTACTCTGCTATTTTAAACTATTGTTGCCCAATTGTAATTCAATTAGGCATTTAGAAACCAACTTACATTATTCGCAAAAAGTATTATTATGAGACAACCTCCATTCCAAATAGATCATTAGCATATGGTATAAGCTCATTTTTGGCACATGATTTATTTGATATATCTAGTATTATCAAATTAGATTTAATCTCTTCTGTGATGTTCTCACTTACGTAACTATGGTTGCCTATGTGAAAGCTAATTGCTAATTATTTCATAATGGTAAACATGTCAATGATTTTTAAAAACATAATGCGACTGTTAGCACTGCGGTCAACATAACAAAACATTGGAATTCACTTTTATGCTTTGAAACGAAAAGATAAAAATTTGCTTTCAGTGGCCCTTATAGGCCCTACCGGAATCTTTTTATGTAATAACGTATTGATTTTCATTACTAGATGCCAAGATATATTTGTTATGAATTACCATATTGTTTTTAAGTTCATTAATAATAATAATATTTTCAAGTAATGCAGGTTTTTCATTGAAATAAGAAACTTTGATGTGCTTTGTGCGACTTAACTCATAATAAAGGTGTATCAAATGAGGTAACAAATTTGAATAAGCACTGAATAAAATAATAAGGAACAAACCTGGTTAAAATAAATTGAGAACTGACTTTATAACCTAATTTTAAAATTGTAACAGGGCTTTCTGACAGGCGGCATTGTTTTTGTTGTTTTGATATGATACATAATTATGAAGTTTCTGCCATGGGCATTTCGTTTTTTCAGGAGGGTGCTGCAGCATGTACTAAAGCAGTTGTTCTGCAAATGGAGATTCACGTGTAGCCACAACAAAGCGACCAAAATTATCAAGGAGCGATGAAGACAGTTGTAAGATTGATTGGACAACATTTACGGGAATTAGGACTAGAGTAAGGGATCCTCCATTATATTATTCAGTATTTTTTCCTTTGATTTTGAACTATTTTTTAAATATTCGACTACAGATGTCAGAGTATGTCATAAACTAGAATGGAATCGGTTGAATGAATTTATTCGAAATGTACAAATTGATTGATTAAAATGTTCCTTTTTATTTCATCATAGTGCCTCAATGAAATATGTAAGTTCCATCCCCTCGACAAAGTTTTCAACTTTTCCTGTCAATTTGCTGATTCCAGCATTTCTTGAAAAGTTATATTTTTTAAAAATTTACACAAATGTTTCTAAAGTCTTGTACTATATTAGGTGAAAGGATTTTGATGTGCTCCTTGCAACTAATGGTGGGCATATAAAGGTGTATTACCGAAGTAAAAAGTTTTAAATAAATCGCATAAAATAAAACAAACCTGGTTGAGAACTGAGACCACATTTGGAAATTGTAATCATGGCTTTATGAACACTATGTCAATTCATTCTGATAAAGTTTATGTGTAACAACTGTGTTTTTACTTTTTAGTAAAGCACATTTGGTACTGAATATTGTGGATGCACAAAATCTGTTATGTTTGTAGCTGTGGCCACTTTATTAATATTTCATTTGGGTTTAGCCATATAATTGACAGTTTTTTTTTTATACGTTCCTTTATTAAGCATCATTTTACTGTCTTTTATATTGACATTAAACAAATATCCTGTATTCTGAAAAGTTATCACTACGGTAATATATTACAAAAAGGGATATTGCAATTGATAAATCATCTTTTTATAATCGGCCATGTATAACTTGATAATAAATACATAGGTTTATCTGAATACGTTTAAAATATATGGTTAGATAATATGAGAGAAAAACAGCTGTTGCCAATGCTCAATGGACTGTGTCATGCCAATCTTTAAACCGCGTCCTTGTCCATTGCCCTTATAAGGTTATCCTTTGTTTGTCAAATTTGGTTTAAGAATCTCATTAAACATTGAATAATAAATAATAAAACAATTTTTTAAAGAATAATTATAGTATTTTTCTGTTAAAAATAGTTATCGGTATTTGAATTTTTTTTTTGACTTACCTTTTATATAGTTTTGTAAATTTTCTGTGATAGATATTCAAGTGTCTTACTGGAAATTCTAGATTACAGTATGTAAGGGAATGCAGTATTTCCTTTTGGTCATAAAAATTGTTTGGTGCATTTCATTTCGCTTTGACTCAAAATTTGTTATGTTGGAACAGTATATTAATAAGTTCTGCTTTGTAAAATTTTTTTATTGGGATTCTCAAATGAATTTGCTATTCATGAATATTTCACTATGTAAAGTTATATAAATACAGAATAATTTTAATTTTTAACAAAAGATTATTTCAAAAGTTTTCACTTTATATTCTAACTAGTATTTTAAAATCACTCGAACTTATCGTATATCCACACATATAAGCTGACTCCTGCAACAGAAAGACCCTGCAAATCTTATCCTGGTCTGAGTTGTAGCTGTTTGATTTAAGATAGCATAATGTCATTTCGTTTGAATGCAATCAGAGTTATACTTGTATAAGCCGACTATTTAGTGCGATGAGAGTTATGTGCGTATAAGTTTGGCAACTTTTTTTTGTGTATTGAACTCAATTTATATGTGAGAACATACGATAAATCTGTACTATTCTACGTTGAATCGTATGTATGTTGGGTCGTGTATAAAACCACAACTGATATCTAGCTATATACTGGTACCTACTATGGTAGACCGTAATCATTCAGGTTTGATATACTCACTTTCTGTTTTATTCCACAGGAAATCTGCTGAGGTTTTGATGAATGAATCCGGCTGTCATCAAGAGCACAGTGCAGCACCTTTATTCAGGAAACAAGTTATGGAAGGAAATTGGACCAAAATAGAAGCAACATTGTCTGAACTAAAACCACTTCTTAGGCACCAAAAACACTTGCAGGTTAGCTAATTGATTTTGGTATACCAATATTCAGCTACTGGCTGTAATGCTGTTTTGACATGACATTTTTTCTGTTTTGATCTAACGATTATGACATAACAATACAATTGGGCTGGCCATTCGTAGCTAAACACATTGGTTCATCTGCAGCAATTTCTTCATTAGGATTAGGTTGTAGTAGTGCATTAGAATACTTTTTCTAAACTGGTTGACGTGAAATAGGATATTATACTTCTTTCAGAGTGGAATTTCCTTCCAAACTCTTTTTCAAACCATGGTAAATTGTCAGCGCTTTTCATTCTCATATATGTTTCCATGCACAAATTTTATAAAATCGAGTGACAGAAATTGTCTTAGTTCTTATACCAGATCTTCAAGTCAAAAGCTCAGAACTACAAAATATCAAACTTATGAATAGCAACATTAAATTTTTTTCATTAATGCAGACATTGGTTAAATGCAGGACCTGCATTCCTCTTTCATACATAATGTAAAATCAGTAAATAAGGTTCACCATCCTTATTCCTTGCTATTGATTTTTGTTGAAACTAAATATAACTAGACATTCGTTGGATGTAAGGTTTCAGATTTTATTACCTACCATAATTATCACATAGGCCTATATCAAATTAGGTGATTTTTATTTCATTTTATTATTAGTCCTATAACATGATTATCGGTTATTCAAATCTTGATTATTAGTGGAATTCCATTTGAAATACACATTTTATCTTTCTGAATTAAATGATTTGAATCAAAATAGATTTGTCATACTGTTGTTAACGGACTGGGTTTTGGATCATATATACAATATCAGAATTATTCAGGTCTTTGTGAAGCCTAAGTTACACATGAAATATACCTATTGAATAGGTATCAAGTGATATTATAATATTCGTCATGAAATGCCATGACTCATTGCGATTTATGACTGAATGACAAATTTAAAAGTGTGTTCTTTAATGGGATACCAATTCACATTTATCTTAGTACTGTATTTTATTCACTTTGTGCTTAAGTTGAAGATGGCTTATTTGATCAGTTTTGTATCCTTAATACTGTTAGCGATTCAATCCAATTTTCCTTTTAATATTCACCAGGCGTCATGATTGCATAACAATTTCGTTATCTCAAATATAAAATTCATGAACAACCTTTCCAGGTGGTACGTGCGATGGCCTTGTGCAGCTGTTCCCAACCGGGGCAGTTGGGGAAACAATGCTAGACGCAAAACTGATTTTAATTTTCACTTTGTAAAAAAAAACTCCCTGTTCTTCCCTGTTTCATCGCCTGATAAGGTTATTTCACATGATGTTTTCATTTTGTTGACCATGAATTGTTTGAACATGATGGTAATTGGAATCTACCAATTAATATTACACTATAAATACCACTGGAGGGATGAGAGGGCCACGAGCCATAAAAGGTTTGGAACCACTGACCTAGTGGTTCGAACTGTTGGACTTAATTATGATGGCATCGCAGGTTGAATCTTGAGTTCAAATCCCATGCCCTCCATCGCACCAATGGTGTATGTAGAAATATTCCGGTTCTTTCCCAAATATGTGGCTACTCATACAGGGCCAAGGTACTGGTAGAAAAAATTAATTCATTGGTATTAAGTCTTTCTCAATGCTTCAGCTATGTATTCATTTTACACAAATTTATTCACCATTTTATTCTTTTCAGAAAATGAAATTTTACATTCTCGAACAAAAGTATCTTGAACTAATAGAAGATGGAAGATTACTTGAAGCTTTACATTGCCTGAGAAATGAAATCACTCCATTACGGAAGTTTGTCAGTCGTGTCCATGAGCTTTCTGGGTATGTTATATCAACTCTGTTAATCTGAAGTCTTTTGGTTATTGCATATGCATGTGTGCATAATTATCGCAAGGAATTCAACTGAAAATTTTTCGAATTTTCGGTTATTGTCATTCGTTTTTTTTAATTTTAATTACCGATTTTTGCAGTATTTGTCATTTTCGATAATGTAGGTTAATTGCAAAACAAAATTTCAGAACGCAAATATTTGGGTGAGACATCCCAAATCATCTTGTGGTTTTGAGAAGTTTTTCATAAGGATTTTATTGAGATATCTTCAGCCCATGGGTGGGCGAGGTTTTTGGACTAGGGCCCAGAAATTTTGCCCACCTGGACTGACGGGCCATGTAAGTGTGATGTGAAAATTTACGGTTTATGAAAAATATTTACAGTGTTACAAAAGCAAAAGTCTAAAACAATATCAAGCATCTTGCATAAACTAAATTTATTCACAGTTGTGAGTTATTCTTATTGGCAGGTCAGATTGAGTTACGCACAGAACCGGATTCAGCCCTTGGGCCTTAGTTTGGCCATGTCAGCTTTTAGCCTCCATTTCAGTGATTAAGGGCTTTCAGGTTAAAAAAAAATTTTTTATATTTCAAGTATCAAAGAAAGTTAATCTTATTCTAGGCACTAGGCAGAGGCAGTATCATTACTTATTCTTATTCCAGCATACTTAGCAACTGCAGTTCACAAGTTAATTTTGTGTTTATAACGTTAGGGTGTTAATTAGTCCAGTTGTTAATTTCAATCTGTTACAAAAGATTAGTTGGCAAATGTCATTTAGCATCTGATATAGAGTGAATTGATATTTATTGATATTCATTATTGATTAATTTAATCAGCCTTCATTCGTTGCTTTATTCATCGACCTGTTTCATATTATTTTTAATAACAATATTCAATTTTCAAATACATTCTATTGTTACCAATGTATGATGTGTTCGTGAATAATTTTCAAGTTTATACTTACCTAACCAGATGTTTTTTAAATATAAGATAAAAGTCGTGTGATTTGATAATAAAAGAAGGTTCCAGTATTATATATATTTCATTTTTTTAAACAACTTGGTTTTATCAGAAATCTTGCTGATTAGGTTTTTTGATAAGAATAGAAAATATATTATTTAAGTCGTGAATTGAGCAAATTTTGAAGGTTCAAATTTTAGTTAATCAATGCGGTCAGGGAATTTTAAATTGTCATAATTGTGATTTGGAATAGTAAATTTACATACTCAATAGACACAGCAAAAAATTGATGAATTGTTTCTTGGCAAAGTCTGTTTCAAGTGTGTACAGTTTTTAGTCAGTCTAGAAATAAGAATGTTCGTCAACGGTTGATAAATTATCTGAGGAGTCTCAAACCATGACATAAACTTATGAATCTCATAAAAATCTTCATGACATAATGTTGAAATTTCAAACCATGCTATCCTCTTATTGACAGGCTTTTTTACATACTGCTTCTGTCCTATGTGATCTGTGAAATATAAAACCCAATATGTTTTCAAAAAGCAATTCAATTGTAAAACAAACAAACAAACTTTGAGAGTAAAATTTACCTTAGGTCAAGGGTGGGCAAAGGTCAAGTGTGGCCCTATCTGCGTAAAAATTTCCATGCGTGAAAAAATTTACTGGGAAATGTATTGTATATTTTGGCTTGTGTATATTTGTGCATGAACATGCATTTGTCAATAATAAACCTGTGTCGCTCTATTTGACTGAAATTGTTAATTGTTAATTTTATAACAAATTTAAAATGCCAAATGAATTGGCTTCCTTTACCTTAGTTAAATCACTAGATTCAACCCTAATCGTTACATTGCCCTTCAGTTGACAGCAGTATCTACTTGAAAACTATTTTATGTAGATATGTTCGAAGGCATATTATTCAAATTATTTAATGCCTGCTTGCAACATTGTAAAACAATTTTAATCAATCACAAGCTACACAGCACACTAAACATGATTTTACATGTATTGTCTAATGAGTCTGTTCTAACAATGACCAAAGGTATTATTTAAATTTTGGGAAAAAAAAATTTATTCTTTGACTTTTATCTTTTCTATGCTGCTAATTGAAAAGTGAATAAAAATCAAATAATATGATTATTTAGTTATATTCAATCCAATGCTGTTCTTCAAACACACTATTAAAATTTTCAAATTTGCTCAAATTTGAACATTTGCTCAATTTCTCAAGTTTTCTTTGTTATACCAAATGTATCTGTACCTTAGTTCATTCATATCCCCTTGAATTTTAAATTAAATCCTTATCATTTAAGGAAATTGGAATTTATATTGAATATCTAATATTATCAGTTGACTTACCATGCAGCAAAATTATGAAATATGATCAATTTTTCAATTTTGGAATTATAATAAATTGTTTGCTGTTAAATATTCTTGTCAGGATATCAATATTAAATGTGAATTTTGTTTCAAAGTCACGGCTAATCTCTGACCATATTTTGTTTTTGGATGTATTATAAAATATTTATATTTGTTGTCACAGGTTTCTAATGTTAAAAGATGCAAAAGAATTACACAAATGTGCAAAATGGGATGGTAAAGGCCCTAAGTCCAGAGGAAAACTTATGGAGAAATTGAGAGGTATTCCATTCAACAGTTAATCAAATATAAAACATTGTTTACATTTTTGTAGCACTTTAGTAAGTACAAATTGGGCATATTTTAATACCTGGTGATTCCACTATCGAATGATTTTTTAATCAAATCTCGAATACTTGAAAGATATTCAATTGTATGTGACTTTATCACTCGGACAGTTTGCTGAGCATTCACACACAATAAGAAACATGTTTTATCAATTACTCACTACAAAGAAAAGAGTCATTCGAAATGCCCAGCCCTAGTTAGTATAGGTCGAATGCTAAGAAATATAACAAAGAGTTTAGTAATATATATGTGTGTGTGTGTATGATGTCATTGCAATTTTCGGCGTTATCATTCTTCCTTTTAATAATTTTTTTGGGATTGATTCCGGGTTGAATTTTGGCCAAATGATGATTTAATTACTACATAATTACAGTATATCATTGGCAATTGTGTATTAGTATAAAGTGACTCTTGACACTCGTTTTTTTTTTTTCAAATGTCCAACACATGGATATACCATATCATTTGCTCAGTAGATTAAAATCTGAGGTCCTACTCAAAATTGCATTAAACTATACCAAACTAATGTATAATTCATTCAGCAGTGTCGTGCTTTAGGTAAGGTCGCAATAGGTAAAAATAGTTTGGTATAGCTTTATCATGTTTGTATAGCAAGCGATGTCGTTTCATTACTTTCCTTATATAGGCTACCAAGGTAGGGAATAACAAGTTTAATATTATCTTACCTTTTGTATATTATTTGAGTCAATGGAAATACATCTTTTGCTCTGAGCAAGGCCCTGTAGATGCAGCCACTGATATCTAGTGATATGTATTATATTGGAAATTACTTTTATGACTTTCCAACATACAGTAGTTCATAATCATGATAATAGTGATATCTTTATAATGGCATCAATGGGAATTTGCTGAATCTCAAAATAATTGTGAAGCCAATGATGTCATTGTTCAATTGGACATAAAGTGGACCAATGGATCATTTTGTTAAATTGTTGCTGTAGTAAGTAATCTTCTTCTCGCTGTTATTGTTGTTGTTAAAAATCGCTTTACTCATCAACTACAGAACTAATTGCTTTGAAATTTTTAGTATTTGAAGATTGCTGTTGTCACTAGAAAGCTATTGCCTACTACTGATATATATTTTAAAAATTTCTGTGGGCTGTTTGGGATTTGTTCATTACTTTGAAGTTTTATGTGATGACTGATAATGTCATCATAATTAAAAATGGTGCACAGTGTGGCGATTCCACGATCTCATTCCACAGATCTGCTGGTCAGGCGAAATTTAGATTTTTTAATGGGGGAGACTAACGGTTTTGTAAAAGATTTGACACTCCTTCGGAGTGCTTCGTTTTGGCTTTCATGTTCATATATTTAGTCGTTGATCTCTTGGTATTGATATATTGATTCGTGCTGTTATTTTGCCAAATCTTAGATTTTGGCTCCACTTAGTAATTAAAAACTAGTGATCTCAATCTTTTAATAAATGTTCTACATTTCAGCTTATTTGCCTGAGAATATCATGTTACCACCACGAAGATTACACACAATACTCTGTCAAGCTGTAGAATTGCAACAAAAAAAATGTCTCTATCACAATGCTAAAATCAACCCATCTATCGAAACCGTCTCTTTATTGACTGACCACATATGCTCAATGAGGTTGGTTGTTAATTTTAAATAAATATTAATAGTTTTTACATGGTGTCCGAAGAAAAATAGAACCCATAAATTTCATAATTCTAAGAAAATTATTAGAAGTTAAACACCTCTGTTGTGTATGATTGTGCCCAAAAGCTTTATTAATATAATTTGCTTTGGGCAAAAGAATTCTCTCCAAAATATGTTCCTAAGAACCACTGGGTTCTGTTTTATGGGTCAGCATGCATGGGAACGAATTGGCTTATGCATTTAGATTTTGAGCAGTGCTGATTTATATTTTGTAAATTTGTTTAGTGGGATTGGCATGAGTCATATATTATGTTGTCAGTGGCAGTTTGTTTAGACAGTTTAGGAGTTATACTATCTCATTGTGTTTTTGTTATTTACTTTTGCTCTCCTATATGAATGTTCTTAACTGCTAGCACTTTTGGGAATTGAATCTAATGTTTTTGAATTCCATTTCATTTCTATATTTGGCATGGATAAGGAAAGTTGTGACCATTTAAAAAAAACAAGCAATACTCTTGAACACCACCACATTATTTTACTTATCACACTATTTTAATATAATTATAATGCTAGTTTTTAATATTCATAGTGGGGTAGTGGTTTTCGTTTATTAGATTTTAGGTGTGTTACCGCACTTTTTGTAAATTTAATAAGATATAGAAAGAAAGTTAGATTATAAGCCCTCTGTATTATATCACTATAACTATCCAGTTGTAATATTTTCAAGTTGTAATATCATATTGATATTTTTTTACAATGCCTATTAATAACATGTTTTACTCTGGACAATGCCCCGTAAAAGCAAGCACTGATATCTAACGACATACAAGGAGCTGTTATTTTTGAAACAACCAGAATCTTTCCGTTCAAACATTGCCTACTTAATTTATTACACCCTGGGTGAGCTGATGGACATAGGATTTGCAGCTAAGGTTTATAACCTATGATCAGGGATGGCCATTTCCGAATACTAAACTATTCCAAATACATTCTAAAATAATGTTTTCGAATCTGGAATTCCGTATACATTCCAAAATCGAAAATCAGAATGAAGCCACAAACCAACAGGCAACAGTATATGTACACAAAGTAATTGATAGTTTATAGCTATCAATAAAAATAATAGCAACCTGTGACACAATCATTAAATTAAAATTTATTAAATTTAAATTTATTAAAATTGTACACTTAGTACAAATGATCATATAAAAAGATAGCCAAGCGGTTGTCTGACGCTTTCTATCATTGGTACCATGATATTACGATTACGATAATAGTCAAATCTATTGACAATACTACTTGTATTCGTATAATTGTGTATATTTTCTGAGAGTTATAAAATGCATTGGCAATACAGGCAACTGAAGCAAGCAACAACAATCGAATATCCATTATGCCTTTACAAATTCTAATATTTAAGCCTAGAGTATTCTACTACCTACCATTATATTTGTATATTAATTTATGCGAACCATATTGTTATTATGTGTAGCAAATCGTTATGTCTGAAATTAGCAATAAGTTAGAGGATAGATGACCACCACTGCCAGGCGCGCAGCCAGGATTTTCCAAATCGGAAACTCTCATTGCCGCCTGTAACAGCCACCGCGACTCCGCGCTCGTTCCGTCTTTTCATCGCATAATGATCATCCTGTCACGTAAAATATTTCATCCATGACAACTACGAAATTCTAAAATATCTTTATATATTAATTTTATGAGTCCAACGTAACTTGCGGTTGCTTCTTCTTACGTCAAAATAAAAACATTACTATTCGGTCCACAGCGATCTGTGGCCTAAAAGTACGAGTTAAACTGCCTGATATATTTAATTTTAATACGTATTTTTGCAATCTCACCAACTCGTTATCGTCGTTAGAAAAATCTCAATAACTGATATCAAATCCTGTAGTGTAGAGTACAACCTCATTTCATACAATGAATATACATATAAAGTTTAGCAGTAAAATAAAAATACATATCGCCGCGATTACTCCACCTGTTAAAAGAGTCGACTATTACAACGAATAATATAACAACAAATATATATTTTTCTGTTGTGCAAAGTGATCGATTCGTGACCGATACGGGCATATTTAAAATGTCTTGCTTTATTCATTTAATTGTTTTTAATTTATCTTGCGGTTGCGTCGACAAGACAAAATCCTTACCACTCTAATATACCATGGTAATCCGCGGACATAAATATAAAAATGTGTGGTAAACTGCCCGATTATATATTGTTTTGATCCGTATTTTGCGAATTTGGCAAATTTGAGATAAGTAACAACACCTACTCCGCTCAATCGAAATGCCGCCACTCCGATTATTTTTAAGATAAAACCGTTCGAAAAATCCATAAATCCGCCGTAAAATCTCAGAGTAAAATTTATTTCAGCACAATAAAAATCGATTGAATATTCTTTAGATTAATTATATTATATACATTCTCACAACCCGGTAAAAGTCGCGTTTCAAACCTTGTATAATGTTAACACAAAAATTTTCGACGTCAATTAATTAAAGTAAGGGATAATCAGGCAAATCAATTAGTGGAGATATGTTTTTAAACGCGGACCAAACATAATATCAAATTTTGCGATTTTCACTGCATAGAAAAGCGTTTTTTAAACTGTCGCCGGCTTCAATAAAACATATTTTGGTCACGGTTTTATTTTCAGTATTTTAAATTGCTGCTTTTCAATCAAAAAATTTACGTTTTCTTTAGAAACTCGCCGCCGATGAACGTATTCACCGGATTCACAATTTCGTGTGAGTACGGAAATAAAATAATTGTCATCGTTATCGAGGAACAAATTTGTGGAAAATTTCTGTTTTAGAGAAAATAACACAAACGTAAAGGCGTTTTCGACCCAAATAATTGTCCGCTGATAAAGCAATCGCGCGCAAGTTTCTATCGAGAATGTTTTCTTTCAACGGAAACATCTTGAAAGCGGCATTGAAAATGTGTGACGTCACACGAATATCCGATATTCTTATAAACGCTAATTCCGATATTCGAATGACGGGATATTCGAAAACATTCGAATACTTTATTCGAATTGGCCATCCCTGCCTATGATGCCAACACATTTAATAAGTCTAGCACTTAATAGGACAGTTTCCGTTAAACTTTACTTTGTTCTTGCTTTCAGAAGAAAAGTTCCTACCCACACGAAGCAGGTATTGAGTGACCACTGTGACGAAGTGTGGTTCTGTAAATTTTCAAACGATGGCAGCAGACTTGCAACTGGTTCTAAAGATTCTACAATTATTCTATGGGACATTGATCCTGTGAGTAGTAGCTAAATTTCCAGGGGTCTGCAGTGAGAGAAAATTTACAGAACTTCAGACAAAAATTAATTATGTGCGAGAGGATTTCTGAATTTCTTGTCGCCAAAGGGAGGTTAACCTCTGGTTGGTAGAGGCTTCCTCCACTCCATCAAGTCCATGCATCTGAAACAAACAACTGGCTAACTAATCCCATACCCAACATGGACTGGTAACGGACTGAGAGGCCGTGGTTCGCCATAACTATGATTAAGCCGTCTCGTCAAATTTTGTCTCCCCCAGGATAATTATGTAAATCCTATCATAATAAGCCAATTAAGAATAAATGTCAAACATAAAGTTTTTTTGACATTTTATTAGCTTGTTATAGTCTATTGCTTATTTTGTTTGCATCATTATTACTCTATGGATATTTCCATATATATTGAAATAATTTTAATCAGATTTCAGTCTAAGGAAAAAATGTTTGAAAAAACTCTTTCAGTGGGAAATTTTAATACTGTTCATTTTAATATGAAATACCTCATTGTAACACTATCATGCATTACCGCATCAATAACACCTTATGGCATTACTTCGGCTTAAATTACATTAAAATTTGATAATTTAATAGTATAGTCGACTTATTGGATGGTAATATATTGATAGCAGCACCATAGAATTTTGATGTAGAGAAAAAATGGAAAAGTTAAAAAATTAAACATGGAAATCTTTTCCATATTAAATGTATAAATGATCTTTTTATTTTAATTTCCTCTTTATAATATCTTTGCATTCGAATCGCTAATAGAAAGCAGTGATACTTGAATATACGTCTCCTTGAATACAATTTATTCTGGACATTGATTTACATTATTAATATAGTAGTTAACATTGTCAACTTTGTGGTTACGGTAATTGCTCTCCCTCTCTAGTTCTGTGATTCTCAAACTATCATGATCCATTACACTTTTCTGAAGACTCAACACTGCACCCTCCCCAAGGTTCCTAAATATTTCCCACATTCAATTACAAAAAGCTAATGAAAGATTGTAAAAGAATAAATGTATTTATGGTCTATAAATTGAAAAAAATTAGTCAATTTAAATAAACTAGAGCTGCGTGCAGCTTTAACAGGCTTCCCGCGTAAAAAAAACTGAAGACGCGTTTTGCCCACTGGAGCGTGAAAGCGTGGTCAGTCATGCATAAAATTTACAATTTATGATGGGGGACTTATTATCTGCATGTGATTTAAATTTAGAGTCTCTAAGTAGTGTCGTTCTCGAGAAGAAGATGAAAATGTAAAATCCTATTTTGCTCACTGGAGCGTATCGCCGAGGTCACTCATGCGTATCCTTGACATATCGTATCCGGAACATGTCCATTAATCATTGTTATGAATTTCAACCCAATAGCATGTATCAATTTTGAGAAATCGCGAAAAAACTGAAAACGCGTTTTGCTCACTGAAGCGTGAAAGCGTGGTCAGTCATGCATAAAATTTGCAATTTATCATGGGGGACTTATTATCTGCATGTGATGTAAATTTCAAGTCTCTGAGTATTGTCGTTCTCGAGAAGAAGGTGAAAATGTGAAATCATATATTGCTCACTGGAGCGTATCGCCGAGGTCACTCATGCGTATCCTTGACATATCGTATCCGGAACACGTCCATTAATCATTGTTATGAATTTCAACCCAATACCATTGCACTCATTGCACCTATAAACATTTGCTTGTGGCCGATAAAGAATCGATTTGTGGCCCTCGGGTAGAGGGAATAGGGGCCTAGTTTGGAAACTTTGCTAGTATGTTTGTTCTGTAATTTTGTTATCATGATTTACCATTTTTTTGGTAAATGAAACTCTATTTTCGATTATTTTTTTCAATGGTGCTTATATTTCTGTCATTGTACAGGTGACACACAAAGTAACCTATTCTCGCTCACTGACTGGTCATCAATACGGTGTTGGATTTTTATCTTGGAGTCCGGATGATTCTCACATACTTGCGTGTGGAACTGAGGAATCATCGGAATTCTGGGTGTGGAATACCAAGGTAAAATACGATTTATTCATTTTAAAACTATGTTTTGGAATTATTGTGTCACAATAGAAAATTTTATTACTGTATATCCTCACATATAAGCAGTGTTTGAAACTAAAAAAAGGTTGTCAAACTAATGGGTCTGCCTATACGTCATAACTCTGATCTTAATAAAAATTCGGCTTATTCGTGCATACCTCTGATCGAACTAAAGCAACCATTTGCTATGATAAGTGCGTACGGCATGTTACGATTTGAAGGGTCATCTTGATTTGTGAATTTTTGTGTTACTTTATATGTATATATGTTTTAATTTGAATTTTGGATTGAGAATGAAAAATATTAAATATGTATGACAGTATATAAGCATAAACTGGTAACCAGATAAGAAGCTTCTTGTTTCACCAATGCTATGGTCAACTGGTATAACTTTCTTAGTTTGATGATATTTTGATTTCTGCAATATACTTTGATCTTGAACAGACATGCTTTTAACTAATTATGCAATCGAACCGTTCTATGTAAGTCGATCTGGGGCTGTTGGGTATATCTCTGGGGGCCAGAAACAAACACCTCCCACTAGGTACCATTAATTTTAAGTAAATTTAGGTAACTGTAATTCTTTGACTGTAATGCATCTATTCCAGTGGTTCTTATTAAATGATGGGGGCTTATTTTGGATATTCCCATTTCTTTATTGATTAGAGATTGACATTTGAAATTCCATCCGCGTATTTTCAGCGTGTTTTTGAAAAAAATTACTATCTGTTATTTGTAGCTTATTGGTAGCTAGTTATTTTTGAGGTGGGGCACCAGACTTTACAAATTCTAAAAAGGAGCATGACTTAAAAAGTTCGTGAACCACTGATCCAGCAATGTTTGTTCACAGTTTTATAGGCCATGCTGATTCCATTGTATTGATCAATCCAAGAAAATACTTGTACATCATTTTTAGCACCTAATTATTCATTGATTATTTTAGACTGGAGATCTCAGAACAAAGAGAAGTCATTCTACAGAAGACAGTTTAAGTTGTTGCAATTGGTCTGCCGATGGTGAAAAATTTGTTACTGGTGGTACAAAAGGACAATTTTATCAATGTGTAAGTTCAAGATTTGCTGTTGTCTTCAATTTGAATCGATGAGGATTTATTGGAAAACTCGTTTATCATGCACAAACAGCTTATTTATTATTAAGAAAAATCGACCACACCCCGATTTTCGAGCTGTAAATGAGTTAAATCTTTTATGGGGTATTCAACAGGGCTGTGGACTCAAGAAAGTTTGCACTGGAGTTAACTCCAAACTCTGAGTCATTTAAAAATCAGCTATGAGGAAGCAATCTTTTGAACACTAAAACTTCAACATATACAAGCCACCTTTAATTGTATGTTGAGAATGCATAGTCAATTTGTTTCCGATTGACACTATCATAAATCTTAAATTCAGACTTTTAATTGAAAATATGACTCTGAACATAAATGCTTCGGTTCGCCATAGGATAAAACCATCTTATCAGCTTTCCTTTTTCCAGATGAATATGAAAATCCTATCCTATACACTCTGATTTACTTGCAAGACGTTTTGCATATTTAATATAAAAGATAGATACCATATTGAAGAAATTTATAAGATCTTCATTTCCCTTCTGCAATCCTGACTTATTATCTTTACAGGACCTCGATGGCAACATTATAGATTCGTGGGAAGGTGTCAGAGTGCAGTGTTTGGCTTGTCTACCTGATAATAAAACCGTACTTGCTGCCGACACACAGCATAGGATTCGTGCTTATAACTTTGATGACATGACAGACTATGATGTGTGAGTAGTCTAGCTATTTTAAATTGAAGATAATCAATATTTTTATAGGCGGATAAATAAATTTTTTGTTCTGATAAATACTGCCACAAACTATTATTGCTATGTAAAATTTTAAAATAGATGCTTTTTTTTTCAAAATTCCAGTATTCATCGTTTTCTTTTTTTGACATTGTTGTGCTGTTTTTTAATCTTGCAATAAAATTTTCAGAATCAAAGAAGACAATCCTATAATGTCATTTTCAGTAACTAGAGATGGAAAGTTAGCATTACTCAATGTTACTAATCAAGTGAGTAGTATTGAGATTCACTACCAGTGCTATAACAATATTTACTTTAAGAAACATGCATAAATATAAATAAAAAAGTACTAAACTTGTGTAGGTCATTCAAATACTGAGTGTTCATGCAGTCCTGTTACAATTTCAAAATTTTGCTATGAATTCCTTTCTCACTATATCTCATTCGGATATGTTATATTTTAATTAGTGTTTATTCAAGATTTCCTGCTTCATCTTATATTCCTTTATAAGCCCACCACGGTTTCGACCAGGGGGTGTGCAACCTGCAGTCCGTGGTTGCACACCCCTGGTTCAGACCATTCCTGTGCATGATGGTAATTGGTGACACAATTTATGAACATGTATTAAACAGGGCATACATTTATGGGATGTTGAAGACCAAGTCCTTGTTCAAAAATATCAGGGTGCAGTTCAGGGTTTCTATACAATATTTTCATGTTGTGGTGGTGAAGATGAAGAATTTATTGCCAGTGGAAGTGAGGGTGAATATGAATTGATTACTTGGTTTACATTTTGGGAAATATTTAAACATTTAAAGCGTCCTCTAATGTCCAGTCTGACCAAAGTCTTAACTTTGTTGTTAGAAAACCCTTTGCTCTGAACAAGGTAAGCAGCCACTGATATCTTACGATATGTAATTAGTTACTATTTTTGGAAGAATCGGAATATTCCCAGTTGGGCACTGCCTACACAATTTTGGGCACTCGAGAAGTATGTGTACCAATAAGTTATGTACAGGGACTGATACTTATGGACAGGGGGTGTATTCACTTGGCTAACACAAACAGTCCCCAAACTCGAAATAAGGAAAATCGGAATAAAATTATGGCCTAACCCTAACCTGGTACACATACTATGGGAGTACCCAATTTTGTTACACACTAAATGAGGTGATGTCAAATTGTCAACACAGTTAAATCTATAGCTTGGTGACAAATCTTAATGGATAAATAAATTTATATTATGATGTCATAAAACCTCTAAACCAGATTCATAGATTTTAAACTTATCGCTGTGGATTCTTACTGTCAAACAAGAAACTCATCTTAAACAAAATATTTGGTCGGTGAATTTTGATTCCTACCTTGTTATCGTAAATATATCGGTTAGGAAAAGTCGAAAAACAGCAATTTGATGCAGAACACCGATTGAAAATCACCAGCCTACCTACCTAATGGTGGTGGGCATGAGAATTGAATTTGGGATGTGTAGCCTTTCATTTTATGATTCTTGATATTATAATTTTCACTCCAGACCACAACATGTATCTGTGGCTTCGAGATCGACCGAAACCAATCCAAACATTATCAGGCCACACAAAGACTGTTAATTGCGTTTCCTGGAATCCAGTACATCATATGATGCTTGCCAGTGTATCTGATGACTGTACCGTCAGAATCTGGGGACCACAGGACTCTGATAATTCAGGTTAAATTATATTTATTCACTAGTCAGTGAATTTAGATGTCATTTGGATCCACTTTGGTAAATGTTTTGTTACTCATTCTATTATAGCGGCTTGCAAGTTAGATCATGTCAAAAATGACACCACCCAATGACCCAAAGTAAAGCATATCTTCGCTGAGATCAACGGTCAGCTTAGCAATGTTATAAAAATTATGTATCTTTATTGCTGGGTTTGGTTGTGGGCACTGGCTCCATAGCGCAACAAAATCTTCATGGATTGTAAAACACTGATAAATGTAATGGATTCAGTGGTTATATCAAATTCAACAAATTGTCTTGTATGTGACTAATCTAACGTAGTTAGTTCAAAAGGTCAAGCATGGGATGGCATAATAATGGTTATTTGCAACTTCTCACGAATTTTTTGCATTCGAGAAGTTATTGTAGCATCACAATGAGCAGTAAAAATCTACAATCAACATTTTCAAACATCGAAAATTAGAAATTGTTTGGACCATGAGTTAGTCGGGGAGAAACAACTTTTCGTGTCCAATAAAATTCAGCCGTTTTCATGGAAGGAAACCTAGAATTGCATGCAACTTATTATCAACTGATTTATTTCAGTTTTTTATTTTCACTGCCTCATTTAAATCATTTCTGTTTTCAGATACTGATGATGCAGAAGAATGAAGATTTTAATTTTATATTTGCGTGTGACAATTTTTGTGGACTTGAGTGGGTAATAAGACTGTGGAGAAAACATATAGATGTTCCTCCAGTCGAGTTCTAACAGCATGAAAGACAGTGCTGGCCAAGCACAATTGCTACTCTCATCTCAACCCGAAGGGGTTAAAACAGAATGACTTTGTTTGTATTTATACTTTGTACCTGATTGAAAGAAACTATTTTTTAAGGATATGACAGTACGGTTAAACTACAGTTAGTTTTATGATCGTTTAATATTGGAAATTGTTATGATGTGAACAGTTTTTTATCATGCACGTTTGTGCTTAATTCAGATTGCAAAGTTGATCAAATAATTGGATTGACTAAGTCAGGGATGGGTAAACTGCAACCCACTACAGAGTTTCGTGCGCCCATGCCTCCCTCCCCGTTCTTGAAAAAAATTTAAATTCATTTTAAAATATATCAACTATGAATTGTTAATATAATGATATTTTTATTCATCTGCGGATCAACAACCATTAAATTGTCACAGTAAATAGGAATAATAGTAACTGCAACATCACAGTCAATTTTGTCAATAAGCCATGGAAAAGACTTTGCTACATCTGGACTATACAGATTTAGGGATGATTAATGAATCATTAGGACATTGAACCTTGTTACTCTTGATTTAATAGTCTAATTTTCAATGTCAATATAATGAATGACTTAGCTAACACAGCATCTTATGACTTTTGTTCACTTGTTTTGAAAACTTGTCAACTCAATCATGCAGGCTATTATACATTTGCATCAATCTGATCATGTATCGCCCTACCATAATTTCATACTGCATTGAAAACATCAACATTTTTCCATTGAGAGATACAACTGCTTTAAAAAAAAGACTAAAATTTTACAGATTTATCAAAATTAACTAAAACCCTTTTTTTTCTCTCTGATATTGTTGTCTGCCTCGGTGACTATCTACTCCTGGCATATCCTCTGTAGTGCATAGGTAAATGAATGCCACAGGCTGGGCAATATCGATATTATCTTACTGCTCTGCTTCAACATTTGAAGGTGACAGCTTTTTAATATTCTTGTTTTCCCCTTTATAGTATTATTCTGCTTTCCTGAAATAATATAATATCCTAGCTTGAACTTTATTCAATACGTGTGTTTTGTTTATGATTTTTTAGTTGGGAGTGGTTCCCTAAGCCAGGGTTTCCCAAACTGGGTTCTGTGATGACTGCACAGCGGGTCCACAATGATATGAAAAGAGTCTTAAACCTATACAAATAGATTATAATCTTATCGTAGTGTTAGCCAGCTAGTATTTATGGAATCGGACTTTTAATGAGTTTTACTTCGTCAAAGTAAACATCCTTCCTTGTTGGTGAGGCACAGAGATTCACAAACAGGGGCCCATGGCCCAATAAGTTTGGGAAACCCTGCCCTAGGCGTCTATTTCTGTATGATTACATGGAGTGGTTCCCAGATATATCACACCATTTGGTAGTGCGATATAATAAGACCGCTCAGGTGTATCCCACTTGCCGTTGGTGTATCAGACACGTGGAATCCCGTTTATAAAATGCTGTAAAGCTTTTCAACCTGTCGCATGGTAGAACATTTTGGGACCATTATCTCTCCTGTATATCTGTCATGAACGACCCTAGATTCCATTATCATACAGAAACCATCTATACACTAACCCTTTCTTAATCATTCTCCTATGTCCATATTGACTTAAACAAAGAATAAGCATGCTAAATAATAAAATATTTATTTTGAAACTTTATATGATTATTGATCTCAAAGTACCGATGTAGGTAATGACAGAAGTGCATGAAACCCTCGCCTTTGCAGGCCCCTGTTTTTTCAGCCATTGTGCATAGTTGTGAAGTTCTGCAATATAGGATGCCAATTCCATTACTCTGCAGAGCTTGTAACAACCAAAGAGTAAACAAGGCTGAAAGACAAAACGTTACATTTTTTATTCTTTGCCATCCAAGATCCAACTTTTCATAAATCGGTCAGAAAAACAATACTTGGATGAATGACTGCTAGGATTTAATGATATGCCATCACACCTCTGATCAGGTTCGAATCTGGCAGGGGATAATAATGAAGTGAGAAATAGTCTGCTGTGGGCGATTCATGTAACCAAGTAAGCAGCCCTTTATTCACCATTATCTTTTTTCTCCCCAGGAATAAATGCAGACATACATACTATTCTGCATTGAAAATTTTTTGTTGATATTCACCATGTCTTGAGATGGCAAGTTTAAATCTCTGTCAGTCCAGAAACCTATTCTCCCATGGCTTGGAACTTACCCGATGTGTAATAACATGGATAGGCTAGGCATGTAACAAACTGGAAACGAGAATATCGGTCGGAGACCGAAGACTTATCGATCGAAAGTTAGGGGATCCCCCAAAACAGAAACTGCGGTTTCGATTCATCCGCTCTTAATCCATAGTGACACCATGTGTCCCATCACTAATTAATTGATAATTCGCTGATTATGCGACATAATTCATCCAAATCAATAGGCTTCTGGTACGAGATATGATGAATGCACATGCAAAATTTGGAGCAGATTCATCCTCGCTTTCGCGAGATATCGCGTAACATACGAAAGTGTCTAACAGACAGACAAACAAACAAACACCTATGAACATACTTACCGATCAAGATCGATAAGTAACAAGCTGTATGTAACTGCGTATATGCTTAGTTGCAGCAAAGATTTAAAAGCATTGTGTTTGAACTACCGCTACATATGCAAATGATACAATAAAATACCATCCATGCATTGCCCCAGCCGCAAGCAATCACATCTTAATGGAACAGTATTAGTTGGGCCGAAATTATGGTAATTCATCATGGCAATAAAAGCTTTCAATACGATATATCTTACCAATACAAATAGATGAAAAAGAAAATAACGTGATAAGCAGTTTTCGCCATACATTCTTTCATGTGTGTTTGCAACTGTCTTCTATTGTGTATTTCAGTTGGATCGTACATTCCTATATTCCCTGATGGAATATGAAGATACCTGTCATACAAAATTGCTGTAAGCGATAATTGTTTGAATATTCAGATCTATATATAACATTTTTATAGCCAAGGCCAATAGAATAAGACACAAGGCATATGGAACCGTTCAATCTGTTTTACGAAGATCTGAACCAAAGACACTTAGGCCTACACCCAATTAAAGTATAATTTGAAATACTCTCCCCAGGCATGCAATTAAATGAGAATATTGAAATTGCAAAGAATCTATTAGCACCACAAAATCAGCCTTTCTGACCCAATTGATTAATATCATATTTGTGATTATTATTATCTAGAGATGTAATAATTATTTTGGGAAGATCTAGTATAAGGAAACAACATCATAATACTAACCGATAAAGTAAGATTCCCAACAATGGTGCATTCAATAAAAAAACAAACCAATGCCAAGTGAATAAAAATATAATACAGGTCAATCCAATTCCGATTAGTTCTGGAAGAACAAGTTTATTTAGTCGAGAACAACATGATGCTGCATTTAGGTAGTCACATTCCAAATCGGACAGAGTAATAAGCTGTAGTTTTCATAATAGGAAATATAACAATCGGTAATTTGAGTTACTGTACGGTGATTCACTTATTCATCAACACGTACTTACCAACTGATGAATATGTGCGCCAAAAGCGTCAGATTTAACTAATACGTCATTGGAGGTTAAAATCTCGGATTCAAATCCCACACCCATCATCTTACCCAGTGTGTAATAAATTGGGTAGGCAACGGCGAATCTATTCAACAATATTAGCTTCTTAACCAGCAGTGGCTGCCTATCTAAAAATTGGTCAACTTTTGATACTATGGTAAATTCTACTAGGATATATAGGGTGACCCCAAAAATGAATAGAATCCAAATCATTTGTTCATCATCATCGAAAAATTTAAAATTTTTGTGCAAAGCGTCCCAGATTACTGAAACTTTCGAGTCTAATTATACGAAAACGTAATTTTCTTTATTTTTGTAGAATTAAGAAATTTATGGGTTCAGTTTTTTGGTCACCCTGTAACTCAATAATCGTTAACTTGATATCACTGAAGCATGATAAAGCCTTATCAGAAAACATTGTTTTCAATGAAATAATTACTTCAGATAAAAAAAAGTACTTGGTTTGAACCTTTGATTATTATCTTGAGCCTCAATTATAATAAAAATAGACGCAAAAATACAATGAGATGAGAGCATTTTGAACAATTTAAATATACTAAACCAAACCTTAAAAAATTTCTATTTTTAAAATATCAGTAAAATACATAGGCAAATTTTTCACAAAGGATACAAAGTATACGGCCATAAAAAGTTGGAATCCGCAGTCAGCCAGAGCAAATGCAAATACTAATCCATCTCCCATATTTTCTCTTCAAGTCATCAGTACATAACACCTTTTCCAGCGATCAGGCTATATTAATTTTTAAATATAGTCTAACCATTCCTGATAATGAATATTAAAATGCATACACAAAAATCAACAATATATGAAAAGCAGAATAAAAACTTAATGGTTAATAAGATATAGGCCTACATATTTTGCGGGCAAAACATGTGTGAGACAACTATTGAAGACAATATTAGATGTTGGATTTCAGTTATAACTAAAATGGTGGGGTTCGGGAAGTGGGTTTCGTGGCCATCTGGTCAACTGCACAATATAAATAACCATGGGTCAGAATATACCAATACCCAATACCATTTCACCTTTAATGGTATGACTCTCAAGCCTTAGATACCATATTTCACATGGGGTATCAGCTATGTCATATTTGGATTTTTTCGAAAAAAAATTGCCAAGACCCTAAGAATCTATGTTTGATCAGATTGAAAAAAATAAAAGCAATCGGTACTTTCAAATTGTATAATATGCAAAATGTAAACATATTCGAGCTAAGTTCAATATGCACAAAAAATAAAAAACAACAAATACTGAGTCGGTGTCGTGAAAAAGCAATCAGCATTATAGGTTTCCTTTTTTGCAATAAAGTGATGGACACTAAAGTCAAGTTATCGAAACGAAAACAGACCAATACTATTTCTATAAACTGGTTCCCCTTTTCCAAATCAAATTTACGGTTTTAGAATTCGAATATCTGTAATTAGGGTTGACCAAACTCAAAAAACATTGTTGCATATATCCCATTCAATTAAAATATTCAAACACATCTTCGTATATATTTCAAGACTGAATTAGAATATATTTATTCTATTGAAAGTTATGATAAATTCTCATTTCAACATTTATTCAATATTCTCAATTCTTTCAAAATTGAAAAATCCGCTAAATTAGGTAAAATTCAATCAGTCTTGGACCCATTGGACATCCCTGTACTGCTTATGACAGATTTGGATATTCCTAAAAACAAAATTTATGTTTTCAGATGAAACTTGGATATATGATGTTGGAACAATTAAAATACTTTAGGTTGAAATGCAATCATACAATTTCAAACATCAATTATTCATATTTGGACATTAGTACATAAGCCCAATAGATATATTTTGTAAATTTGTCTCAGTACAAAGAAAGCAAATGAATTCAATAATACGTTTAGGAAATTGGAAATCAAAGAATAGAGCATTGGTATTAAGCTAAATACATGAATAAGCCAAAAGATTCAAACCATTCGAATATGAAAATCAAGCAACAACAAAACATCCTCATACTTTATATCAATATTCTGTACCATGGTTTGAATACTAATTTATAACAAGCAACAGATAAAATTAAATCAAATGTATCAATAATCATCATATTAAGTCCGAAGCCAAAGTCATAGAATAAAATTAACAGAATAAAAAAATGAATATAATAATGGCATATAAAAACAATATGTGGCATGAATTTAGCGCATTAAGCAATTACAAGAAATACAAAATAAGCAGCACCATATACAAATAAACAGAAAATAATGTGAAGCCTTCCCTAACACCGCATTTTCAAATATAAGCACAGACTGATATTTCAAAATACTACTACCTTTAATAAGTATAAGGTTTATTCTTTCATACCATAATTTATATCAAAATATACTGTAACTGGCACATTGATTGATATTGATTAACAACTAAGTTTATTAAAAATATTATACAGTGCATACAATATATATTTCGATTTAACATACATGGTAAATTGTTGCAATAAATGAATCGCAGGCACCATTTTAAAGTAAAAGCATTTATTATTTTTACCATGAAAATACTTTGATAAAAAAAGTTCAAAATGTCTAATGTATTTATGATGACATCTAGAAAATTTGAAAATAAAATGAACATTCGCTCAATTAGGAAATTTAGCCACTTGCAAAGAATGGAAACCAACACTTAATTTTCAAAACTTTACGACTGAATCTTTACCGTAGTGCCTTAATAATATAAAACTCAAAAAATACTGGATTTCAAGTTCAAGTCATACATTCATATTGGATCATTTGTATTTATACAATTTGCCTTCTTTTGTAAAGGCTCATCATTGTGTTCTACTTTTGGACTTGAACTAGGGCGCTTTCCTGATGACTGGGCTCTCTTTGTGGGTGATTGACTTGAATCTCCCGCAGATGAATTACAAAAAGATCTTCGCCTGGTATGAAGCAACCCATCGCGGGAGTTATTTTTCTCTTTATCTTCCAGCCCAGACACAGATAAACGTTTAACAAGTGGAGTCAAAGCATATTGTGATTGAATTTCAGAATCGTTTTGACTTTTCATATTACAAAATAATTTATGTCTATTCATTGGAATATAGGCATTATGACGATAATACTCTTTTGTATTTTTTGAATTTGGTTTCATAAAGCCTGCTATTCCCATTGGGTGAGACTCTTTCAATTCTTGACTTTCAAAAAATTTTTTACAATCAGCTACTAAGCTGCGACCTAACGTGGCAGTGGAAATTTCTTCAGTAAAATCCACTTTATCCTCTTCTAAACACTGTATTTTTCTTGATTTGCGTAAACATGGTTTAATTGATGAATGACAAATTGGACTTTTATGTTTTGCTTCATTTATACATTCATTTGAACCTGAAATTTTCTCCGATCTTGCCAATGTGAAATTGCATTCCAGTTCACTACGTTTAGAGAGTTCCCATAGCTCTGCAACATCCAAGAAAAACCTTGGGAAAACATGACTATGAGATGATTTTTCTACAAAACTTGTCATATCTGATGATTCCACAGATGCTGGCATCAATCTATAACTTCTTGGTGACGAGTTCACAAACCTAGTCTGTGCAGTTTTTTTGATACATCCTTTGGAAACAGGCAAGCAGGGAGGGCAAGTATTTCCATTGTCAGGAAACATCTTATTTGTTTTTATATCCAGAGTATCATCATTATGACGACTACATGAATCATTAACGGGCATCTTATTATATCCATCTTTAATTTTTTCAGCTTTATTTATTTCATGATGACTTGAGGCAAAAGTCATTGCCATAACCTATGACAACTATATTATGAATTGAATAATACTATTTTAGCCTGTACTGCTGTGAGAATTGCAAAACAAACTGTAAAAGTTTTGAATATCAAATACTATCTGATTCATTAAAACAGGGTGGTCCAAACCCTGACATGCAGCCGACAGAACAATTTTAGCGTTTACTAAACAATCGGCAGATATTTATATTTATTGGCAGAACATTTTTGAGTTTTTTTAGCTATTCCAACTGTGGTTGGGATCCCGAGATTTAAACCCTATTTATAAACGTCAAGATGTTGCCAATACTGCAATATGGGAATGATGCAGAGCTGACTTACAGACTTAGCTGTGCGAACTTGGTTTTTCTTTTACAGTTTTAGCTGGGTCCGAAATCCGAAAATATTTTTGCATGTACCTAATATTTCTAAGCCCCACCTGACTATGTCATCCAAAAATTATAAGAGGAAGGGAGAGAAATAGCTTGCTTGATTTCGGGTCATCGTCTGCGCGTTTTAGCTGACAATCAGTATACTTTAACGGGCCCTATTTAGTCACTGTGACATGATTTTTTGGTGGTGTAGTCAGGTGGGGATTACAGGATTGGAAATGACATAAGCAAAAATGGTTATGCCATGCCAACTAAAAATACATGACAACGTGTCTTGAACTAGGCCTGAAATCCCAACTTACAGACTTAGTTGTTATCTGACGATATAACTAGGCCTGCATTACTGCATTAAAAAACACATTATCTATTATAAAGTCTTTAAAACTTACCATTAAAGTATTGAGATCATAAATTTATAAGTTTCACTAAGAACACACACAGACACAAAACAACAGGAACAAGGATAACTTCAAACTATCATTAGTCATTACCACAGTACTAGAGTACGGTACAAGTACTGTACCGAACAGTTTGAGTAATATTAAATTATCAGACATCATGAACTAATACCAGAATACCGGTACTCCAGCTCATGCTCCGGTACTCATTACGATATCTTAGGAAAAAGCATTCATTTTAAAAGCATTGTCACAATACGATATAGGCAAGCGGTTCCCAAAACTGGTGGGTCGCAAAAAGAATCTTAGTGGGTCGGGAAAAGATGTAGAAAGCTTTGATTAATTATACTGGTTATTAGGATCGGTGGCGACTCAAATACGTAAATCTTCAAAAAAAACAAAATAAATTGAATTGAATTCTAATCTGTGAAAGTTTCTTTTTTATGATCTTCTCAAAGAAACCCAAAATTTGCTACACAAAGAATGACTATGTTTTGCCATATTTACGCATAGAAGTTTTGTACACTGCACAGCACTTCTTACTGTGTTTCCCTGAAATTTAGACAGGAATTAGATTTATTTTCTTCTAAAGAATAACACTATGGTTTTTTTTTTTGAAAGAAGACTTTTGTGTTCATTTTTCAAAAATGAAATTACATTTTAGAAAGTCACGAGATTTTTTAGTAAACATTACTGCATTATATATAAACTGACATCCATTGTTTTTATCTGTATTCCCTATACAAAAATAGAGTGACAAATATCACAATTCTGCAATTGTGATTGTGACATCACACAATCTTCAGATCTTGAATAGCGGTGCGATTTTAACCTTACCTCAGGTCATTGAAACCTTTCTTCTCCAACACATTAAAAGTTCAAATTAGGTTTTATTTTCAGGCCAGGTCTTATTTTCGAGGAAACACGGTAGTTTTGCGACGATTAGCCATTGCTGTGTTCTGTGTTATGTCATAAAGAGAGTAATGGGTCGCCATAACCTGTGGTAATAAATAGCAGAATAGTGGGTCCCAACTCTAAAAAGTTTGGGAACCACTGATCTAGGCTATTAAATACAGTACTGCAGTAATATACCGTAATTATATACCTATTATACGTAATAATACACCTATCCTATTAGGCGTAATATATCACGGTACGGTAACGTATTCACCATCTTCTGATCATTCCTATTACAATACAATCTATTTAGGCATTCTGAAAACTCGAACACAAAACGAACAAAACACATAACAGAAATGCCTGGAAAACGAGCAAAACTTATGAATAAAGTTTATAACGCCCAATGCTCGTTTAGCAAAAGTTACACAAATATTATATGTTATAAATAAATAATAAAAAGACTCGGTGAGCAGCATTAAAAGGCTACTCGGGCGTTCCATGTGAAAAAAGTGAGTCTTTCCTAGAGTCTGAAAGTAGTCTAGTCTGATAGTCTGTTAATCCAACCTTGTCCTGCTTTTAACCTACGTTTAACGTTATTTATTAGGAACAAAAAGAGTACGGGGCGAGCAATGACATTAAACAACATGATAGGCAACTCTGACGTCACTCCATAAGACTGCAGGCGGAAGATTGTATTTCATGATACGCTCCAATTCACATATTTCTCGTCGCCTTTCGCGACCGTTTTCCGCTCGCTCTTGCTACTCGGGGTCTTTTTTACGTGTAGTACCTGCCTTTTTGCGCCTGTAACAAAAGAAAATAATCTCTATATCTAAGAAGTTTGTGAAGAAGAAGTTATCTAAGAAGATTTGTGTGGAACATTTTGCAGATAATGACAAAGTTCAAAGTTAGTAATTTTGATGTTTGCGCTTAAACATTGCATTTTCATTTAAAGAGGGTGTCATACAAAACTGTTTTTACTTCTCTTAACGATGCTGTGATACAAATCTATAACACAAAGTTTGCACCTATCGAACTAGGTGAATTTATTAGACATATTACATATTCAGTTTATCGTAGGTAACATTGCTGGTACATAATGCATCGTAGATAGGTTTGTGTCTAAATTTAGCTCATAGCCCACTAATTAATATTATCTTCTATGCAGGAGGTTCCAGGGCTGAATTCAACTTGCAGCCTTACCGATCACTTGACGATGCTCATTTAGTTTGGCTCGAGCAAGTCTTCTTGAAATGCTTGTGTGAATGGAAACTACCTATATGTTTTGCCTTCCTCCGATATTAGACAACTTTATTCTGAGGGATTTCGCATATAATTCTCATTGATCGTTGGCTGTTTATAATTCCTATTAATTGTGAATTCTGATTATAACAAAGAGTTGAAATTTTTTTTACCTAATTCACTGGCACCTTTTTCTTGTCAATACTCCAAGCTGAGGTAATAAACAAGACAATACATTTATGTCATCTGGAAGCAAAATATGCACACTAATTAATAGTTTGACACGTCGAGATAATACATCATGACAGAAAATACAAGTTAAAGATAAGTATGACCATCACATGGTAATTGAAATTAAAAAAAATGAACAGGGGCTGTGGAGTATGAAAAGTTCAAGACAACGAAAAGAACAAATGTTCATAGCTAATGAACTCTCAAATTTTGCCTCCATTGCTTTGTGAAGGCCAAGACATTTCGAGTGGCTGAATTGGTTTATCTTTATGATGGCAACGATTTTGTATTTAATATAGCGAGGTTTTTTTCAATTTAATTGAAGTGATATTCTTTCCCAAAGCTATGCTTGAATCCTCTAGAATAGATCAGTGATGTCAAACTCATGGGTTTTCGAGAGCCGCATTGCATTTTGGAAATTGTAAAAAGGGCCCCAAACAGTTTTTGATAATGTATACTTGAAAGATATTTTTAAGATAGTTTTAGTTTGTGACCTATGTTGTGATGCAACTAAACAGTTGGATTAAGTTTTATTATTTTCTTCAATTTCAAATGCAATTACATATTAATATTTGCATTCCACTATTATTGCAACATTTGCAAGTTACTGTATTTATTATAAAAAATCATAAAATTTCATGTACAACCATCAAAATCATTTTTGAACGAGCTTTGGATAAGGAAAAAATAATACATACACTAAAAATGACTTAATCTAATTATATGAACCTAAAATTAACAAAAATACTACAGTATATACTCAGTGTTTTTTTAATTACATTTGTTCTGACGTTTGGCATCTTTTTTGTGTCACCAGCATACTAAGGCCAGGCTGAAATGATTTTATAGTACCAACTCTAACTAACGAGGTCACATGATCATGGGTTAATCTGGATCTTTGCGAATGTATAATTAATTCCAGTAATGCAAAAAAGTTACTCATTTCATGTATAGACAGATTTTTTCGACAAGACATTTCGCACCACATTGCGTGGCATAGGATTGCTTGAATTATTATTGATATTGATTTTTAATAACTAAGTCGTTGTATAATTATATTAATATACAAACACATGGAAATTTTCTGTTCGAAGTTGGTCTTCGAATTTGTCATATTGACTGCTGAGCTTATTGTGTTTTTTCATTGTATTGATGGAAATATGACAAATTAAACAATGTGCTTCAGAATTTTGTGAAATGCAGAAATATTGCAACTCCCATTTTCTTCGAAAATGCCACCTTCTTCATGTACTTTGCGTTTAATTTAATCACTCAAGTGCTTTATTCAAGTATTCTTTGGCTAGCTTGTTGTGTATTCTTAATTGGGTCAAAATGGGGACAAAAAAAAATTAATATTCCAAAACTACTTTCAGTAAATTGTTTTCTGTGTGAATAATCAATTTCACTTTTAAAGGTTTGAAAAATATATTACATTTAGATAAAAAAAACTTCCAAAATACTATTACAATTATTGTTAAGCGTTCTAGGGCCGCACTGGAAGTTCTCTGGGGCCACGAGTTTGACATCCCTGGTCTAGATTGAAGTTGTCCAAAATATATATATAAACAGTATGTTATCATGAATGATGATTATACCCCTTCCGGAATTTCTTCTATAATACTACCAAAAGTTGATGAACCAAATATAACACTGGTGCAGTGAGTTACCCGTAATCCTCATTTTCCAAAGCTGTTTTAAGTATGTCTGGCGTGTTTTGTGCCTTTTTACAAAGAAGACCGCCTATGCAATCCTACGCTTTGGAATTTTCAGTTATTTTCCTCAAGCCCTGCAGGATGTGGGGGCCATACACAAATCTACCGGATGGTCGAATCTCGAATGTCTTTGCATGCTTCCATAGGTTGTTTTTCTATTGCAAACATTCATGGAGTACTCTAATTATATTTCTTGGAATCACACTGTCACTGATATGTCCTGTGAATAAATAATGGGAAATTGAGATTAGGCGAATAGTTGAAAGTTTTGCTTTATGTCGGCTTAATTTCTTGATTGATATACTTACTATTTTTGCTATTGCCTCTTGTGCTGCAGGAGTCTCACAATGCTTAGACAGGTTGGTCCACAACTTTCACATCTAAAGAAAGAGAGGAGATTTATTAATTTTCGCTAAGAATAAATAAAGCAGTCTATATGATTTAGAATGGAAAAGCTAATAAATCCAATATCTCATGTTTTATGTAAAAAATGTTTTACTGAATTTGGTATATAAATCAGCTAATGAAAGGGTTTAGTCAGAAAATTACAAGCATTGGTGGCTCCGAATACTTGAGAGATCAGACTGTACAATATAGACCGGTATGAGTGAAATGTTAGGTGAACTTGTCAACACTTTGATTCAATACGCAAATAAAAGTGAATGTGAAATAGTATGTTACAATGAACAGCAATCAGCAATGAGTATATATCCTCACTGATTAAAAAAATCTAAACGGAGGTGCATGAACTATTTGAAACCATAAGGGGTAAGTAAATATGCAATTTCGGCAAATGGGCAACTACGTACCGTACTGAATTAATAACTTCGTAGTATTTGACAAATGCTGGCTTTCCACATGTACTTAACAGTGCGATGCCCGGGTGTGATATACAACAATAGTATTTACCTTACCTTTTTCCGATTTCTTTTTACCTCAACTTTCCAAAATATCATTAAAATCGACAACAACTGTCAAAGCAGGCGCGAACACTATTCGTGCTATGCCTTGAAAGCAGCACACTTCCGCTCGTTTTCGTCTCGCCAAGTATGTGCATTGGAGCGTGCTATCGGATACGATCTTCGGCCAAAAATGCCGGAGTTGCGCATCATGTTGTTTAATGTCATTGGGGGCGAGAACGCTGGTGATCTCACGAAAAGTATTTCGTGGTAAACCGCCTCCAGGTGGTGCATGTGTCAATATAGTAATATACTGTAAATAATTTTACTTCGATCTTTCGTCTACAACACAAATAAAAAATAATCAAAAAAATATTATCACGGGCAAAGCTTACTCCCAATGTTGTAAATAATTTTGATGAGTAATAGTCGTGAAAAATACAAAAACATTTGAAAATTATGTGACGCTGCCTGTGCCGAAATGTGAATACCAATAACAACAATTGATTGATCAGCTGCTGTTTTTTTTGTAAACAATTAAGGCTGAAAAGTAAACAACAAACATTAAAACACGAAAACTAGTTTTGAACGATGGTTCATATGTTACAAAATTCGTTCGCATTCGTAGAAATAGGAGTCAAGTTTTTAGTGCTTGCAACGTCCAACATTCCGGAGCTTCCGTTTTTTTTTTTTGCCAAATTTAAATTTATTTCCAAATTGGATTTTTAAAAATGATTAATGGAAATGATAGTTCTGGAGCACCATCTTGCTGTCTTAACCTAAGCTGGACGATATTGTGATCAACGACACCGTGATGACGATAAAATCCGCGTTTGATACTAAATAATATTAAAGAGCTACTTTATACGCTCTGAATTGCAAAAAAATGATAATATTTCCCGCTATGTTTGGTCACTATCAAAACTAACGATGGAAACACTTAAGGCTGAGGCCGAACAAACTATCTCGACTAAATTAAAAAACACGATAATATTTGTAAAATATTTTCAATTAAAAACACCCTCGACGTGTTATAAGTAGAGCTGGGAATGGTTAACCGGTTAAACGATTTTAGATGGTTAACGGTTACGATTTATTTTAACTGTTAACTGACATCTCAGGTTCAAATCATCTCTATAATGCACAATTCTTTAAAAAATGATTACGTCATCGTAAATTTATCTTCCGTAGCGTTTAATTCAAGAGAATAGTGCTAACTGTATTGGTGGGACCCTAATAAATGTGAAAAATAATTGAAGAAGCAAGATTGGTGATTATGAAAATTTGACAATAATTAATATTGAATCAGTTTTCGGCTCTCTTGTTTTTTTTTTATAAGACGATTGCATATCATTATTATAAAAGCAGTAATAATGAAAAATATACGAAAACATGGCAATTTGTTGTTTTGAAATACATATATTTTGAACAGAACATATACTTTTTTATTCTAATCTTCAATATATAACATTTTACGTTTACTTGATATCTGTTTACATTGGTTCAAATGACGTACATCTGTAATTACTTTAGACTTGAAAACATGCCGGAAGCATAGCTATATACTTAGGCTTACTATACGTCCCGCTTTAGGCGGGACAGTCCCGCTTTTCAGCGTTTTTTCCCGCCGTCCCGATAAGTATAACTAGACCAGACTGTTATAATGTACCGTCAGTTGGGCAGTCAAGGCTGCGATCTCTCATATTCAAATTTATATATCCGAGCCGGTATGGTATTTTTTTAAAACCTCTAATCTTGGACGCATGTCTGCGCCGCTGTTTACCGTAATTCAGCTATTGGCTCTGACATCGTTTATGACACATCAGTGTAATTGATCTGTTCATTTCTCGCAACGTCTTGTCTCTTTCGGAAGAGCATCTGCGGACTGTTTTAGGGGTCATACGAGAACTAGATGCTACTTTGCATTTTACTACTTCTACTACTTCTTTTATCAATACCTCCTCACCTAAAATATGTACGCTTTAAACCTTGCATGGGGTTTCGTTTGCTTTTCCGACCCTATAATCAGTTTTATTTATTCTGTTTTTATCAATTGCTTTATCGTCTATTGCTGATTATGGAGTCGAAATAAACTTATACTTACGGTATAGCCTACTTATTATCGTGTTTCCCCGAAAATAAGACTGGGTCTTATTTCAAATTTCTTCTGGAAATAATACTAGGGCTTATTATCGGGGTAGGTCTTATATTTTCATTTATCAAAAAACAAAATTACAAAAAGAGAAATACGAGATTTTCAGATATACGAAATATAAAAACCTATATTCATTTACTTATAAATAACACGTTTATATTCAAAATAGCTGGAAAACATAGAGTATGAATCATTCAAAAAAACGTGTAAGATAAATTTCTTGCTGTCGACTAGGTCAAAAAAAAAATTCGCGTTATTGACTAGGTCTCAAAATAATTTTTAAAAATTTAATCTAGGTCTTATTTTTGGGGTGGGTATTATTTTCGGAGAAACGCGGTATATTACCAGATTTACTTTTGTTTTTTATCTATTATTTTATCGTCTATTGCTGATTATGGAGTCGAAATAAACTTATACTTATATAGTTAACAAAAGGCAAGCAGACAGAATGCCTGAAACGTCCGAAAAAAACAACTACAAGGCAAGAAAGGGCGGGATTTTGATATGCATATCATGCATGGAGTTTGAAAAATTCTCGGTAAAAATGTACTAAAACCTGGTTGCGTATTATACACGGAGAAATACGGTACTTGAAACTGCACTGTAAATTTTGCTTGTCAGCGTATTTTACGCCACCATGTGATATCATTTAGTTTTGCCTTCAGATTCTTGGCTAAATCCATATTTCTGCGACTGTAACTTTAACTTCAGAACTTGTACATTGAAAAAATAAATCAAGTTAATTTTGTCTGAATTTCTGAACCTAGGATTTTTAATAGTAGCCGTTTGACAGTCATGCCTACCAGTATGAATTTGATCACTGTTGGCTCACGGTACCGGTACCCTAGTCTTAATTTATTTGAGATCCGACTACTGCACTACCGGTGCCGTACGGTACCGTACTGCACTGACAGACTGAAATCCAGAATGCCAGAGGTCTGAAAGTTGACTTGCATTTTTATTTATTTAAAATATCAGCAGCTCAACGTAAATCATAAATGATTGAAGAAAATTGTTTAGATTTCTATACACTACCGGTATAATACAAGGAAGAGAATGTGTAGGGTAAGGTGAAAAACAATTTAAATTTATTTCAATCGGTGAGCAATTGCATATTATCGACATGCAAAATTGAATTCGATCGCGTGCATTTTTGTGGAGTGCTAGCGCCCTTGAGCGTGCACCTGCAATGAAATCCAGTCTGATTGTCAGTAGGTACCGGTACCCGATCGTACCAGTCAGCCAGTGCAGCGTACAGGTAGCCTATATCCAGATATCACTGGGTGAGTTTAACACAATCATTTCGGTGTTAACTGGTATTAATTACACCAACATCCTGACAACTGAAACTGGACCATGAAATATTGAATCTGTATTACCGTATGTTAACCGCCAACTTCAAATTGGATCTAGTTCGAATAAAAAAAAATATTTTATTTAGATATCGACTGCTGGTTTAGCGGGTGATAAGTAATTATTTTGCACGTCCATTACTTGTGGATAAATAAACATGGCGGATGATATTTCTGACAAGCGGCGAAGGTCAAAGAAAAAGAGATCGAGCTTACTGACTTGGAAAAAGAAGTTTAACATAAAGAAAAGGTGAGTATTTTTAATCATTTTTCAAATCAAAAATTTTAAGGTAGAGCAAATGAATTTTTTTCCAAACTATTTTCTTTATTTGAACTTACTGAATATATATTTAAAATTACAAATTGTATGATAGTCGTTAATCATAAATATAGTTTTTGCTAAGCAAAATGTTTTCCTTTAACTATCTGTTTACATTGCAGAAAGATTCCATACAAGAATGTTGATCCACTTGATTTTATTTATATAAACTCAGTTATAGAAGTTAGCTGTTTTGTAAATCTTCCATTCATTTCACAGATTCACGAATAAACTTCCTTTACATCGTCGATACATCAGAGCATTAATGTCTGGTTGGTCCATGTCGGACGTCAGATCGATGTTAACCCAATATGAGATCACATCAATGTTAAAGCAGCTTTCTATCATGGTATAAATTAATTTACTTACTATTGAATTTCATCAGTGTGATTCTTTTTTTTTACAAACTTGGCTTTGCAAAAATAAATTATGGAAAGTGAAAACAGCTACTGTTTTTTTATTTAAAAGTTCATATAAATGTTTTTTAAAAAATGAATGTTCTTCATTTTTTTAAAAATATCTGAGAAATTTATGGTTGCTGTTTTTCGGCGATCCTGTACTTGTATTCTGAGAAACTTTACAAAGTTAAATTTACTACTGTTTTTGATTTTAAAAGTTGGACATAAACGGTTTTTAAATAATGATTTTATCCATTTTTGTGAAAATATCTGAAAAATTTATGATTGTTGTTTTTGGGCTGTCCTGTACTTGTATTCTGAGAAACTTTAAAATGAAATTTCAATTTCTGGAACAAAAATTTGTTGAAATCACATAATTTATCACATTTTCTATTTCAGGCTGATAAATCTCGACCTTCTTGTCCAACTGTCAGTCAGGATCTTGGAGAATTGTTTAGAAAGTTATCATGTACTGACATGAAAATTATTTGCTGTCAACTTTCAGAAGAAGATTGTCGTTCCCACCATCACAAGCCAAGTGACCACAAAGTATATCAAGCACACAAAGCATTGTTACTTTCTCGGTGGCCATATTTTCGGAATATAATGAAAAATCAGGTACGTGAATGGATAAGAAAATAATGGAGAAAAATTGGATACTGATTTACAAACTGTCATGATCTGGAAATCGCTTTTATTATGAGGTATCTTAGTTAGTGTGAATATAACTCTACTAGAAAAGCAGCTGATACATTGTTTGAAAGGAGCTATTTTACTTTGGTTTTATCACTCACTGCACATAAGATTGGGAAAAAGACTCGTAAAAAGAACAGTACCGGAGTACAAGATCCAGAACTATATTACTAATCATTTTAACATTGTGGACTATTATGCAGGACCAAGATAATATAATTCTATTTTACGGATTCAATTACCTATATCGCATGATTGCCACCAGGTATATTCAAGTCGGGGATAAATAAAGCACAACTGGAATGAAGCATCGCATTGGCCAATACAGATCGTGCTTTATTTATCCACGAGTCCATGACATACACTTTCCCTACGTTGTATGTACCACAAGGTCGTGAAATGAACCGGAAATAAATGTCATTTAAACAGGCTGTTAGTTGTTCAAAATTGGTACTAATTGGAGCTGCCATAGTAGAATCTGATATTACGGTAGTTTTTAAATAATATTTTCTAAATTGCCAGATTTCTCATCAAAATAGAAGATCATATGAAGAAAGTTTACTCAGGAGTACAGATGTAAATTATGAATCATCTTTGTCTGAAAATAATGAAAAGACTATGGATATATGCATGCAGAAAGTTTGTATCTATGGAATGACTTATGATAAAATAACGGAAATACTCGGGGAGATTTATGAAGGGAAAAAGTGTGGAATAATGCAGTCCAATCCGAGAAAGTTACTGCCATTACCTACAACAGATGATAGTTTCCATCTAAGAAATTCAAGAGGGAAACAAACACTCAGGTTTGTAAATTTGTGTTTTCGAAGAAGAGAGACAAAAATAATATGTAGTGTTAATATTATTGTAAAGCATATTTAGGACATATATCGAACAGTGTCAATTGTGACTTGTGAGTAATACTGGATAAAAATCCTTCAATGATTGAATTAATAGCTGAAACAAGAAGTTTTTATGCGCAGTGATAGAGGAAAGATATCTGATACAGGTGAAAAGGAGAATAAAACGGAAAAGGTTTGGTGGAACCATTTGTCTGTCATGTTGAGATTGAGAATTATTGACGCATTTTACACAGCAACGAATGTGATCTGTCACTGACATATTTTGTATATGGAAAATATGTGATTGACTACTACACTATAGTGTAATTGAGGTTGTATAGAAGTATAGTTCAGCAAATTATCCCAGTTAGTCAATTATGGTAAAAAGAGCTGTACAAAAAAGCAAGAAGAAAAATATTTTGCTACTTATAAATTGAATAATAGTAAATTTTCTAACACTAAAAGTATTGTCGAAAATATGTAATAATATTATAAGGAACTTGAATCCCAATATTCAGTAATAAATTATTGTCGTTCGTTTTTGATCCATCTGTCTGAAATAAGTAAGAAAATAAATTGAGGGCGAGAAATATCACACATTTCGATGAGTTGTTAATAATACAAATTTGTCAAGTGGGTATTAGCACATCTTTTCAAATTACTTTTTCTTTGGATGTATTGTATAATTAGTTGCTAAAATTTTTACTGATTTCAGAACTTCGCTCATTTATATGTATTTACTGGTTCAATACCACTGTGTCTCATATCACACAGGTACACTATGACCAGGGATGGCCATTTCCGAATACTAAACTATTCCGAATACATTCTAAAATAATGTTTTCGAATCTGGAATTCCGAATACATTCTAAAATCGAAATAACACATTTTTGTTTTAGTTTATTAAAACCCAGTAAATTAGGAGATAAGCTTCAATAGAAATATCAGAATAAAGCCACAAACCAACAGTGTATGTACACAAAGTAATTGATAGTTTATAGCTTTCAATAAAAGATAATAGCAACTTGTGACATAGTCAGTTTATTAAAACTATTCACTTTGTACAAATGACCATATGAGAAGATAGCCAAGGAGTTATCTGACGCTTTCTATCATTGATAACATGATATTACGATAATAGTCAAGTCTATTGACAAAAATACTACTTGTATTCAGATAATTGTGTATATTTTCTGAGAGTAATGAAATTTGTTAGCAATACAGGCAACTGAAACAAGTAATAACAATCGAAAATTTATTATGTCTTTAAAAATTCTAATATTTAAGCCTAGAGTATTCTACTACCTACCAGTATATTTGTATATTAATTTATGTGAACCATATTGTTATTATGTGTAACATATTGTTGTGTTTGAAATTAGAAATAAATTAGTAGAGGATAGATGACCACCACTGCCAGCCGCGCGGCCAGGATTTTCGAAATCGAAATTCCCATTGCCGCCTGTAATACCCACCGCGATTCCGCGCTCGTTAAAAGAGCCGTCTTTTCAGCTTATTATGATCGTCCTGTTACGTAAAATATTCAATCCATGACAACTACGAGATTCTAAAATATATTTATATATTAATTTAATGTGTCCAACGTAACTCGCGGTTGCTTCTTCTTACGAGATAAACTGCTTGATGTATTTAATTTTAATACGTATTTTTGTAATCTTGCGAACTCGTTATCGCCGTTAGAAAAGTCTCAAATAATGATATAGAATCTTGTTAAGTGTAGAGTATAATTCATTCCATACAATGAATATACATATAAAGTTTAGCAGTAAATTAAAAACACATATTCATCGCCGCGATTATGCCACCTGTTAATCGATTCGACTTTTACAACAAATAATATAACAACGAATATATATATTTCTGTTGTGCAAAGTGATGAATTCGTGACCGATACGGGCATGTTTAAAAGGTCTTGCTTTATTAATTTAATTGTCTTCAATTTAACCTGCGGTTGCGTCGACAAAATAAAATCCTCACCACTCTTATATACCATTGCAATCCGCGGTCATAAAAATAAAAACGTGTGGTAAACTGCCCGATTAAATAATGTTTTGATCCGTATTTTGCGAATTCGGCAATGATTTAGATGTACTTGTTAACAGTGACTCCGCTCAATCGAAATGCCGCCACTCTAATTATTTTTTAGATAAAACCGTTCGAAAAATCCATAAATCTGCTGTAACATCTCAGAGTAAAGATTATTAGATCACAATAAAATTGATTGAATATACTTTAGATTAATTATATTATATACATCCTTACAATCCGGGAAAAAGTCGCGTTTCAAACCTTGTATCATGTTAACACGAAAATATTCGACGGCAATTTAAAGTAATGAATAATCAGGCAAATCACGCCCTCAATTCGTGACCCTATGTTTCTAAACGCCGACCAAACATAATGTGTGCAAGAGGCTAGAGGCACACGAAATTTTGCTATTTTTACTGCATAGAAAAGCGTTTTTTAAATTTTCGTTCAATATAAAACTTATATTGTTTACGGTTTTATTTTCAGTTTTTTAAATTGCCGCTTTTCAATCAAAGAGTGCGTTGTCTTTAGAAACTCGCCGCCGATAAACGTATTTACCAGATTCACAATTCCGTGCGCGTACAAAAATAAAACGTCTTGAAAGCGGCGTCGAAAATGTGTGACGTCACACAAATATCCGATATTCTTATAACGCTAATTCCGATATTCGAATACTTTATTCGAATTGGCCATCCCTGACTATGACAAGCTTAGAATGTCTAGATCCAAATTTTTCAGAACTCTTTTTCGATATTCGAAACAGAATTTGGTAAAAGACAACCATTAGTTGGGGTTGCACGAGACTAACGTCCTATCCTTCCTCTATCCTCTATGCCTCAATACTAATGCATCCTTATGCGTATAATGCAAGGATGCTGTAGCAAAAATAAAGATGACTATTCTATGTGGTTCAAGAGTGGTACTATACACTAACACAAATGTATTTCTGTAATGTTTCATCTGACATGCTGGAAATTTAATTAACTGATTTTATAAATTATTTTAGACCAACATTGATGGAATGTGAACAGCCAATCATACCACGTAGAAATGTAGTTCGGAGAAAGCATAAACAAAGATTTTCAATGGATGAAAGGATCTTATCAAATCAGCATATTGCTAGTGGAGCAACAAGTGGTCAACAGGTATTTTACGAGCTCAGATCAATGAAATTATTTGACTTACAAAAATTTGATCAACATCTTTCATTACATTTTGACTGAAGATTCATTATTAATTAGAGAACTAGGAAGTTGAATTACACTGTAAAGTCAAAATTTTGTGGGCAATGTGGTTTGAAGTGTTAAGACTTAAACTATAACAGGATCGCAGGTTGAAACCACCTACCATATCTCATGCCCACAACCTGCCCAGGGTACAATAAATCAGGTAGGCAATAGGTGAATAGTTTTCATTGTGATGGATTTATGCCAATTAAGATTAACATGCCACTTATGCTATGTTAAATGATTTGCAGATATGTTCTAATTAAATTTGGCCATTGGTTTATGACTTGTCTCTGATATAAATTGTTGACAACATCATTTGAAGCATATAGTATTACTGAGGCTTACTAAACAGAGGATTATAGGATAATCTCAGATTACAGTTTTCTGTACTTCGTGTTCTATATGGTGCATTTTCACTCAAATAAATCGATACTTCAGTGCATTTAACGCCATTCGTCTATATGCTTCTGGCACTGAAACTATTATAAAAGTCCTTCATGAGTAATCTATATTCATTTAATGCATTCGATGGATGGGTACATGAATATTTTATGTGGTAGTATAATATGGCTATTTCAAGAACTATTCCAGTAGCCTTTGAAGGGGCACGGGCAATCCAGTCAATGCTGATGAAAAAAATAATGATGTTTATTTGTAATTTGCTTCACACATCTTGTGGCTATTTGAATTTTCTCAACTTACTCTAGACTGGTTGTTCTTAACCATTTTATCAATAAACCCATATCTTTCAATAATAAATCTCTCCGCTCAAGAATATTCTCGGTGGAATGTAATGCTTTTATGGTCTTGAAATTCAATTATTAGTACAAAACAATTATTTATATTAACATTCATTTCGCCAGAAATTACAAAGTAGAATTGTTAAAATGTGCCTGAAATTGTTGTATGGCTTTATTAAAGTTTTTACACCATTTTATATTATACCTCTTAATTATTACTAAGCAACAGTTCCATATTAAATACAAAATATATTATAAAATAAAAATCAATAACTTTTTATTTTTTTGTCAAAAAAACATGCGAATCAATGGAATTCTTAGAGCACTTAATCAACTTTTGTTTGCGACCACACATTAGCGAACACTCCCAAATTCTTTAGTATAGATACCCTGCATGGTAACCACGTTCTGAATTCTAAAATTCTATTTCAGTTATAACCTATTCTACTTGTCGGCCAGAAATATAATTTCTGGTCTACTCGAGTCAGTCTATCAGTGAGTTCAATCTACTCAAAAATTTTAAGAGTGCTGAAATGCCTCTTAGTTTTATATAAACTGTATTTTTCAAAATGGTACCTAATAATTTTACACATTATTGTATGCCATATTATTTACTTGAGGTTTTTGAACCTAGGATATCCATTTTGTATTCGAAGTTGTGATATTTGAAAGTTCTTATTGATATAAATCAGTAGTTCCCAACCACCGGTCGTCGGACCGGTGCCGGTCCGCAAAGCTTTTTTGCCGGTCCACGAGAAATTTCATTGTTTTGTTGTCAACTGCAGAGGGATTAATATGATATACCCAATGAAAAAGAAAAAGCTTGATTAAAATTGTGATTCTACGATACAGATGTTTTATGTGTGCCTTTCTTACGCATAATGGGTGTCCAGCACTGCATTTCATTACGCAAATATACGGTATTATTCTATGTTCCATCCATTTCCATTTTGGCCGGCACATTATTTGATAGTTTTTTCCCGTGTGAAATGTTTTTAAGTGTGCCTTTTTTGTCTAGAAGCATATTGAGTGCCCGACATTACATTATATTACGCGAATATTCTGTTATTCTTTTTTGTTCCGCTCATTTCAATTTTTTGCCGATCCGCAATACGTTTAATTTAATTTTACCGGTCTGCCAGGGTAGAAAGGTTGGGAACCACGGTTATAATTCATTTGTTTCTATGTTTATTCCTCATTATTTACCATGTAATGTTATTTTTAGACGAAATCATGCAAGTTTACACCAAGTGATGTAATGCAATCGGCTTCTTCTAATCAGTATGTAACAGCGTTTAATCAATCTGCAGTTGAACAAAGGACTCATGGGTAATCCATTTTTTGTGATTGTTAATTAATTTTAAATTGTATTTGGCAGTAAGCAAAAGTAATTTGAATATTGTAGCTTTGATGAATAACATTTTGAACCGGTATTCTAAACAAGGTTTAGTGTATCAAGTTTCATAATGATGGCAAACCTAATTTGATTTTCAATTAACAATGTATTTGATTATATTTAAACAATGTACATGTAATCATAAACCTCAACCTGGATGTCGTTTTTAAATAGCTTAGCTTGAAATTGTTTGGATTTAGAGTATGATATAAATTTCTGCCTAAGCACATCCCTGGTTTCAAGTATAGGTATTCAAGACTTTATAAAACTCTTTAGAATACATTACTCTAAACAATTCAATGACTTTGGATGGTACATTCCATGATAGCTTTTGAAAATTGATGTATTTTAGCAACCACGTATGAAAGACCATTTTACATTTGAAGGAAAAATAATCAATTCTTCTCTATACATTTTCAGTAATCGCATTGACAAAGATGTTCCACATATCATATATGATGACTTAGCAAAGATGTACTCTGATGCTGAGTCAGGATTAGGCGATACAAAGATCATTTTTTCATCTGATTTATCTTCTGGTTTTACATCATGGATGACTCCTCATCCCAGAAGAAGGTTGGTTATATTTTCATTTTATTCCATTAATCTGAATTGTGAATATGCCATTTTTTAATTGGTCTGCCACTGAATATTGTAATTACGGTGTATATGACAAAGCTACTCAACTGACAGGCCATGGACTGAGTCCAAGTCTGCAGTCTTCGAGTATTTGTTTTCTTATTATGGATCATTGGCCCATTAACTTTAGATATGTGCAGACTTTGATTCAATAATTTTTAGTTATAGGTTTGAAGGATTTTCTATCAATTGGTCATATTTACATTGAACATATACAAAAAAGATCTGTTAACTTTTCAACGACAAAGTTAAGGGCACTGGAATATATTTAGGCACAGTGTGAAGTATCTTTCTGGAATGACTAGGGCCCAGTTATTTTCAAATTATGTATAAGGATCTTTGGTAAAAATAGCATCTAGCAGTACTGTAGGGTATGCTAATTAATACATTGGTATTTGACTTTTATCATATAGTTTATTCTTTCCATATATTTAGATACTATTCATCTTTTTGTTACCTCTCAATTATTTTCTTATATTTTATCCATTATTATTGATATGATATTATATTATTAAACGTCAACGTTGTGATTAAATGATTTGATTTAATCTTCTATTTATATGCCACATCAATACTATTATGCCTTAAGCAAAATGTTGCACTGAGGCATGCACTTTTATTAATAAATCTAAAGTAAATAAATGATTTGTATTTAATAGCCTATGTTATAAAATGCGTTTTATTCAACAGTGCCAAGATGCTAGAGTCTATAAAGCAGTCACTATAAGTATTCCAGTCAGTGACTAAAAAATTGATCGAATTTTGTAAGAAAAAGATATAATGAAAACTTTGAAAATGTCTAATTTCTTTACTAATTTCCCTTTTATTTATTGGTTAGTCTAGTTTCTGAAATACATTTTATTACAATGTGACCCCAAAAAATAAAAAAAAGAGGTCATTTGAAGCAAATTTATAGAGAATATAACTTTTAAATAAAGCGTCTCAGGTTACTGAAACTTTTGGCCGTTTTGGGTACAAACTGTACAATGATACATAAATGTCAAATAAATTTATTGATTTTCGCCTGGTTTTTGGTTCACATCATTTTTCGGGAGAACACATGGTTACAAAAGTACAAATATTGTTGCATATTGCCGAAGAAGCAGAAACCAAATTCTTTTATCGGATTTGAATAATTCGGATTTCTGGATTGCTCATTCCCTAATTATACTAGATATACCTATGTTGCCATGTCCGAGAACACTATTTAATCAATATAAAAACAGCCACACACTTTAATGATAAATTTTTACTAATTACAGAGATATCAATAACCATTATCAAGCCTGGATTTCACATTACGAATCACCAAGTTTTTATCATTATTCATCAAGAGAATGGCAGGATCCTCTTTACTGCCACCGAGCCGTATTATCAGCGCGATCAACATACTTCCGAAGACTAATCGAAAAACAGGTAATAGTATGCCAAAGTCCAATTATATCTCATCAAGTGTGATTTAATTGCTTTTTGCCTAGTTGGATACGAAATGTACGCTACATATGGATTGTTATTTTATTATGTTGTTGTCAGAAATATTTTTCTTGTAGTTATGAAATTATCACTTTTATCGTTAACCACTGGATCACTTCCTTTTCAGTTGTTAAAGATTGTATTTTTTTTAGAAAGCTTTATTTATTTCAAAAATTGTAGCGGGCTCCATCGGGTTCCTTTTTTTTGGGGCGCTCCCGAAGTATGTGCACCAAGATGGCGCACAACCTGAACATAGTATGTGTAGTACACATACTACTATGTGTGCCATCTTGGTGCACATACTTCTGGGAGGTCCTTTTTTTGTGCGCGATGACATTAAAATTAAAAATTGTGCACCTTGTGGCGGTTCCATTTTTCCAGCCTTTGTTCTGTCCTTCATGTCCATATATTTAAGCATCGCTTGCTTGTGAAATTAAGGATCAAATACTCTGATAGTCTGATTGAATATATATAGAAAATAATAAATATCAGTTGTTGTAAAAGAAATTTTTTGTTTTTTCGGAAGAGTTTTCAATTGATCAACATTTCCAAACTTAGATATACAGTGTGGTCATAAAGTCCTGTTACAATTTCAAAATTTCATTAAGAAATCTGTTCTTAATATAACTTAACCAGGATCGTTTTACTTGAATTGATGTTTATTCTTTGTTTTTTTATGTTGTTAACTGCATCTTTATGTATGCCCAGTACCCACCATTATTTGTAGAAGCACATCAAAGTTCTTTTACTTCATTTAATACTTATGAACATCCTGTACATTGAATATGTGTTACTTGCTCCAAAAATAATATTTTGCACTATATTCGGAATAGCAAGATTTGCCATTCTTTGTTATGAAACTGGAATATTCAGTTATAAGTGTTTACTCATTGACTCATTACCATCTAATTCTTGAACTTTTCAGATGTCATCAGCAAGCTGGTGGGAAACCTCGTCTTCATCTGTTTTTACTTTGGAAATCGATGGAAATGTTATTCCACCAAAGTATATGGGTGCAGTTTTATACACTATGTATACTGATAAGGTATAAACATTTTTTTTTTAATTTTATATGTATCAACGAAATGAAGGTGTTCTGTAGAGTGACTTAATCGAAATGGCATGCATTTAACCTTAAAAAAAACTTGGTTAATTGGATTTTTTTCATGTTACTAATGAAGCTATTGCAAAGGCAGTGTTTAAAGTTTGAGACCTAACTATAATGGTATCACAGGTTTAAATCCGTGGTTTGAATTCCATTCCTACTATCTCACCCAGGGTGTATTACGGTAAATTAGGTAGCCAATGCTGAACCCGAGGGATTCTAGTCTTTCCAAAAATATAGCTTCACACATAATTCAGTGACTGCTTATGCAAAGACTTGTTCATATATATTGAATATAAAATTAATTAATTAATTTTTTTGAAAGATTGATCTTCAACGCATATATGACCGAGCTGGACAACGTGGAATGCCGATGGGAGGGTCATCAAATCAATTCTTCTTGAGAGATGCCCTAATGCTGCATCTTATTGGTCGCTTTATTGAGTTCCCACAACTTGTTTGTGGTGGGTATTTTTCTTGTATAATTCTAGAAGAGATTTAAAATAGGCATGTTTTTTAGGATCTTCTGAGCTATTCAAAAGCATCGGGTTCACAAAAATTACAACTTGGCTCCCTGATTTGAGAGAAATTTTGAATTCGACAGCTCCAAACTTAAGGAATTTCGGTTAAAAAAAGTTTGGCGTATGCAAGCTTTCCTTCATTGTATGTTAATGAGCATTCATAAATCATAATCAATGCTTTTACATGGCAAACTTAGAATTCACTGCAATACCTTTAATTTTGAAACACTGCCTCTTCAGAGAAATGAGGGAAAGGCAGGAAAACGTAAAATAGCTGATTTCAAATTGTCTGAAATGATCTATTATGAAACCAAATCACAACAAAAATGGTAAAAAAGTGTATTTTATTTCAATAATAAACAGGTTGCGAAGAGTTTATTGTTGACAATCTTGATCAAAACAATCTGTTGCAAGTTCTACATTGGACTTCGTCACCTAACGGATCTGAATGGGTCAAACGACAAGTCTATAATTTTATCAGAGAAAGGTTTTCAGAGGTGATTAATATAAAACGTTTCATAATATGTTCTCTTGGTCATAAATTATAATAACCTGGAAATGAACTGTGGCTTTTCTGTCTTTGTTACATTGGTCTCTGATAACATTTACCATTTTATAAATTATATTACATCAGTATGGAGATGCCCAAAACCGAATATTTCCCTATGCCAAACATATTCTAAATTTGGTCCTGTTATTTAAATTATTTTGCGTCTGTGTACGGATGACCAAAATCGAATATTCTCATATGCCGAACATATTCTAGTTTTTTGTCATGTATGTCAAAGAACACATAAAAGGTATCAAGTATTAGAAAAATAAAAATGTGAAAAAAAAAAATTTAAATACTTAGGACCCGTAGCCACTAAAATTTCTGGTAGATTCGGCTCTGGCTTCAATCTAATATAGTAAGCTTGGCTCCACCTTCTGCTTTATAGGCTCCAGCTCCGACTTCTAATCCATTTGAGGCGCACTTAAAATTATCTTGAAACTTATAGTTTGGAAACGAACCACTGAGGTATCTCATGCATAGTAGCTGATTTTTACCTTTTGTTTTCAGCTTCTAAGCAGTGGAGTTTTATTTGAACTTGATTTATTGCACATTACTGAAGTTTTGAGTTCTGATTATGTCAATTCATCTGAACTTGATATATTGAAATGTGCTTTGCGATGGGGTGAACATGAATTACTTAGAAGAATCGAACAAAGAGGTAAATTAGGTTTTGAATGAATAGCTAACGCATTTTGTATTTTTGTATCAAACATAGCAATCTTTCGTACCTTGCTACGCTTTTTTGACCCAACCCTCATTAGCTGCTACGGATTCACTTGGCAATTACATTAGAAATTTCAGTACCGCTCCTTCAAAACCTTCTGGCTATGCCACTGTTTCAGGCGTCATCTCAATCTCTTACTCAAAGTGTGACGAATGACAACACATTAAAAAATAGGAGCATTATGTTTAAATGCTTGCTATTCAAAGAAATTATATTGAACAATGGAAGTTTAAAATATTTGCTTTACCAATGTGGTTGCAATAAGAATTTCTTCGATTTGAAAAAAAATTTAAGTTTTTGCATATATATTCATTCATACAGAGCCAAATTTATTGACGCATACTGCTCACAGCGTCAGTCGAAGTAAGTCAGCCTCAGCACGTCGCAGAGAACTTATTTCAGCAAGAATTGAGGAATTACATGAATGTACGGCTCCTGTACTTGCTTGCGTTCGAATGCAACATCTCCTTCCATTGAATCATGAAGTAAGTCATCAAGGAGTTGAACTATATTTTCAGTTTCTATTTTGAATGTTTATTTGTTCAGCATAGGATAGGATTTTCGTGTTTAACTCAGTAAGAGGTAATCTGATGAAAGAGATTGATTATATGGCGAAATATGGCATGGTAATGTTACAAGTACACATAAAGTTTGAGCAGAGTGAGTTCCATAAGCATAGTCTCAATGTTGGAGGAAGCTATAACTGGGCAGTGACTAAGTAAACCACACTGACAGGATATAGTCTAGAAATTCTCTTGCACCTAACTATTCCGAATTTATAAACAAGCACCAGGTAATTAGAGATGTGATGGCACGCATGCTCCTGACTAGGGTTGGGCAAAATATTTGAATGACGAATAGGGAATCTTGTAATATTTGAATTGGCTTTTAACTATGTGAATATATGGTAACATGTGACCTGCTCTACTTTGACACTGAACTTGCATATTGCCGAATCAAATGCTTTAATGCTGTGAGAAATTGCCTACGACTCTCCCCAACAGACAGGTACTCTCGTGGTGTGTGTACCAGGTTAGGGTTAGGCCATAATTTTATTCCGATTTTCCATATTTTAGTTCTATCACAAGTTCGGGGACTGTATGTGTTAGCCAAGTGAAAATACCCCCTGCCCATAGGTTTCAGTCCCTTCACACAATTTGATGTAAAGTGAGCGAACAAAATTAGTTACCTCCATATTGGTACACACACTCTGGAGCGCCCAACAGACAAATTCAAAATTGTATAGGTATAAAATACAAGCATTGCTGCAAAACTTCTGGTAATTTCCAAAAGGACTATCAACATCTGGCATCTATCGGTCCGGCCTGGTCTTCAGTTTTAGATTAGACCTATTTTATGCTCACGCCTACTTCTAATGGCACGGTGTGCCATCCGACCAATTCGACTTATATAACCCTGATTGATCATCTTTTTCTGTTAAGTTGTTTACAAATGCAGTGAAACGGGGAGTTATCAGTCGTCCACCTGCTGATTTGTTAGAACATATCAATGATAGAGAAGGATGTGCAAGACAGTGGATCAAATCGAGTGTCGACTTTGTTCCTCCAAGATTATTTCAACCTTACATGGATGAAACCAAGGTAAGATGGCTGATTATACTTTCTATCTTGTGGGCACAGTAGTGGCTAAGTAAACTGTTAAACTGAACTATGATGACATTGCGTGGTAAAATCCAATGATGACTATCACCTCACTTAGGGTGTAATAAATCGGGCAGGCAATGCTGAACCAGAAAGATTACGGGCTTCTTACATATGAGTATCTACTTCTGCTTGCGCGAAAGGGAAATAGAAATAAAGTACAGTTATCCCAGGATGACAATCACCTGGATAAAATGTAAACGAGAATATCGGTCGGAGACCGAAGACTTATCGACCGAAACTGCGCTTTCGATTCATGACCCTATAGTGGCACCGCGTGCACTAATTAATTAATAACTCCCTAATTATACGACATAATTCATCTAAAATCAATAGGCTTCTGGTTCGAGATATGATGAATGCACATGCAAAATTTGGAGCAGATTCAACCTCGCTTTCGTGAGATATCGCGTGCATCTAACAGACAGATAAACAGACAAATACCTATCAACATACTTACCGATCAAGATTGATAAGTAATAAGAACACACAAGTTAACATTGCCCGCCCGTATTTTGGATATTTACATTTCTTTATTGCAGCGTTTCCCAACCTTTTTTGGTCGCGGACTATTTTCTCACCGGCGAAAGCCTTTGCGGACTCGACGTGCGTTTATTGCAAATCTACTCTGTGTGAAGAAGTAATAAAACCAAACAGAACAGAATTTCAACGAATTTCAAAATCGGAAATTCGTCGCAATTGCGCGATTGTTGATAAAGCCAGCTTTTTTGTGTATGAATGGCCTTTTCTGTCGCATAATATTCAATCCATGACAACGAGTTAACGACGAGAATATAAAATGTCTTTCTATTTTAATTTAATTGTGTTCATGGTCACTCGCGGTTGCGTCGACTTATGACAACATGAAAGCACTACTTCTCTAATGCCACGGCAATCTGCGAACATAATAATGTGAGAATATATTGCCCGATTATATTTAGTTTTGATACATATTTTTTGCGATCTTGCGAATTTATTATCACTGTTAGAAAAATCCTACTATCTGCTATAAATTTCCAGAAAGTACAACTTGATTTAGTATTTTTTTTAAATATAATTAAAGTATATTAGTAAATAAAACATCGCCTTTCTTTAATATTAATTGTGATAATTTTAAGCTGCGGTTGTGTTGACGAAATAGAAGCAATTCTACTCAGAAAATATCATGACAATCCGTGGACACAAAAATGCGTGACAAAGTGCCCGATTATATGTTGTTTTGATTCGTATTTTTGTGAATTCGACAAATCTGTGCTGTTTGGCCCTCCAGTACTGTGCGTACCAATGTGGAGGCAGTAAAGCAATGAATCATAAGGGAAAATGCCCTGATACGGATACTACAGTAGCACCCGAAATTTTGCGATTTGCAATGTCTAAAAAAGCGGTTTTAATCGGTCGAGGACCATCTTAGAACAAAACTTGTGTTTTCCGTTTTATTTTTAGTATTTTGTATTGCCGCTTTTCAATTTAGAAAATTTAGGTTGCCAGTTGCCACCATTGACACCTACCAGAAAAGAAAATTATTCCTCGTTGTTCAAGCTCGCGAGAAACGCCACTTAGATATCTATTCATGCGTTTGCCGACTCGTGTTTACGTGGAAATCCGCAAGTGAGTTGTGAACTTCAATCGTTAAGCGACGCGCAAGTGACCTGTCGCGTCACCTGTTTCGAATAGTAAATTGCTATTCTAATAGTTGAATATTCGAATATATGCCCAGCCCTACTCAGTTCCCAGTAATTATTGACCTGATTAATGGTATATGAATAAACTTGCTTTTTATATTTTATGTAAATTGTAACCTAAATCGTAACTTTGCTAATGATCAAGTTTCGCAAAAAATGTTTTCGGCCCGCAGTGAATTTCTGGCTCGTTGCGGACTCATTCCAACGCTGGTTGGGGAACACTGCTTTATTGTTTAGAGATCGCAGAGGGATGTTTTGCTTGGATCTTCATTATTCTTAAGGTGGAGCCCTACTATCTGTTATCTGTAGCTTATTGTTAGTTTGTTATTTTAGTGGTGGGGCGCGCGACTTGACAAATTGTAAAAAGGGGGCACGACTTGAAAAGTTTGAGAACCACTGTAATATTTATAGAGATTTTCAATTTTGGGATTAATTTAGCATATTTTCATTTGAAAATTTGACATCTTCAACATTTTTATATCCGATGATCAACACAATAAATAGACAGTATAAAAATAGAAAATCCATCAAAATAGAGTTCACTGTTTTGCATAACCAAGTTGAATATAAACATGTTGTATGACAAAAGCATATATCTCAAAATCAAGAGAGATATAATAATGAATAATATCATTTTTTCACTTAGAACATTTTGGATGAAAGATTTGCTCAAGACAGCGATTGCGTGAGTTTACGATCAGTTCATAACTTTCCACGAGATCAAACTTGGTGTTCAGTAAGACACCAGATGGAACTGACAACTCACGGAATCCCAGATGCTCTGTACATGGTTGGACAAGCAAGACTTCCTTCTCGACGTCGCTATGGGAATCGAGATTTGCTTCTGAACTTTCCTCCCAAACATGAAAATCTTCCACAGCATACATCTGAACCAACAAAGTATATTGGAAAATATTACCCAGGTCGGTATTTTTTTACGAGACGTTTTCACCATAGCCAGGGTTGTGGGCATCATGTTTCTGTTGGAGCTGTAATCGTAATTTCACTCAGAAGTAATGCGTCAAAATTTTGAATTGCACGGAATCAGAGTTAAATTTTTTTTGATGGCGATATTCTCTACAGGAACTAAAGAATTGAGTTGACTATGCATTCTGAACAGTCCATTAATAGAAGGAAAAACTTTTATAGCAAAAATTTTTACAAGCCCATTATCCCTTTTTTTGCGGAAATTTCGGGTACTGCCGTAGTGTGTGTACCAGGTTAGGGTAAAATTTCATCCTAATTTTCCTCAACGACTTCGGGGACTGTCTGTGTTAGCCAAGTGAATGTACCCCTAGCCCATACGTTTCAGTTCCTTCACACAGCTTGATGTAAAGTAGGCGAACAAAATTAGTTACCTTCATATTGGTACACACACTTCTGGAGCACCAAATTTTGTTTTCAGTTATCACCAGTCTGAGTTTTCCTACTCCAGCAAATTAAAAAATGCAACTGACAAATCAGTAAAAACTTACCCGCTCAAGGATAATTTTTTTTTATCTGACGTTAATATTTTTTTTATGACACTTTGTTTACAGTTCCAGATAAAGATATATTGAAAGAATTATTTGCTCGTGAGAGAGAACTTCGATCTACGTATATCGTCAACAAAGTATTACGTGCATGCATAGATTGTTGTCATGGCAATAGCAAATTATTTGGAGGAAGTATAGGAAAAACATTGGGAAGATCTGATCTGACCAGCGAAGATGTAGTTGACTCTGATGATACTGAATATTGGTAAGATAATATTTACCGGTAATCATCTCATGTATTGGTTTGTAACTTTTGAAAAATTTGATTTTGGGATCGTTATGATCTTGACGGAACACTGATACGCAAACAATGTTTATATCAGGTTTTGCACTAGTCATCGCTGTGGTGTCGGAGTTTAACAACATAGGATGTCTTTAATCTACGGAGTCAATGTCGTATTTTCAAACTACCCAAAGTCGAAGTAAAAATTCTAAATTTTACAGACTCTGAGTTGGTATCACAGACTTTCAGGGGTAATAAAATAGATTAAAACTTTTACCTAAAACTCAAAAAAACACTAATTATCAAACGTTCTTAACAGACTATCGAAAGAACGTCCGCATAAACCAAACATTTCATTATATAAATTGAAAATCGTTTTTCATGTTAGTTTGAATAAACGTGGGTTGGGTTTGTAATGTACTGGGTCATATAGCTTGTTCAGTGAGTTAACAACGCCTTTGTAAGGCTGACTTGATAATGTAATGCTAACTATTGAAAACAACCTTACAATTAGTTTTTTATTTTGTAGTTTTTATGATGAGTAACTGTCCAAAGTTTATGCTGTAATACCTCATTCTGATAGAAAGTTGGTTTTTAAGTTCATAAATGCATCGACCATCAGTCACACATGCTTAGTTTCGTAAATTTTTGTATTGAATTTGTCTATATTTTTCACAGTAATCGGTGTTCGGCAATCCGATTGGTCCGTCTCTACGTAGTGCGAGAACGAGATCTTGCTGATTGTGCCATCGACGTGTTACAACAACCGGAACTGTATTATACTTTCAATGAACTGAGAAGCGCCATTATATCTGATGCTCCTGTTATGAATCCGCTACGACAGGGGCGTCTCACTCGACCACTCACCAGAGTCGAAAACCTGTTTCCCTCAAGACAAATAAATACCAATGATTCAATAAACAATGGCCGTCGCTGTTTTACTGAAAATCAATTGCTCGATTTGGAATCTACGGAATTACAATTATCGGACCCTCAAGCCACTTCTTCTGAATCAAAGTCGAGAAAAGGGTTTGCTTCTCGTACTGAAGGTGTTAATGTCGTGCGTACACATCACAGTGATAAAATTTTAAATCGCTCTTTTCCTCCCCCTAGTGTCGATCCTAATATTTTAAACCTGCAACAAAATCTTGAGAGCAATTCTGAATTATCATCATCCTCTAGTGACGAAGGAAACGTCATCCAGATGCGACGTAAACGAAGAAGTCTGTCTCGAAAAGGTTCCTCAAGTACAACCTCTTATCACTCAATACCTGATGTTGCGGCATCTGCCAATTCGTCATTACAGAGATTGCGCAATTCAGTAAAATCAAGACAGGATGGGCCACGGAATTCACCACTTGTAACAACAAGCCAAAATTTTACCCCCACTGTCCCATCTTTACCTCCTAATGATTACTTCGCGAAATTGACTGAAACAGAAACTTGCGATTCTTCAACCTCTAGTTGTGAAGAAAATACGTCGGAAAACGATGATTTTGCTCATGGTGCAAAACACCAGATTGTATCAGATCTCACAGAAAATGAATTCTTAGGTCTCACTTCTTCTATGTTACCAAACACGTCTGGAACAGATTTCAGTATGAATGTCTATCCTACCTCAATGCAATTGCGAAGTGAATTACCGCCTGACGTTCCACCAAGATCTAGTACGAAGATACGCCCACCTAGACGACGCCCACTTTCTACCGGCATGTCAGAATTATTTAACTCCAGTTTGAGCTTCATTGATGACAACATGGATTCAAGTGAAGACAATTTAATTAATAGTGATGTCACAATTGTTCCAAATAACAACCAATCAGCCTGTGGGCAGCTTCAACAGTCTGAGATGCCCGAATTACTGAAAGATGGTACACTGCCCCGACAAAACGGAATATCGTCGTTCGAAAAACCTGATATTTATCCAAGCGAAACAGACTGTAACATTGAAGAACAATGTGGACAATATTTTTTCTGTTCGCTCACTCGTGAAAAACTTTCAAAAACTAGAAGCAATGGCGAACAAGCCACGACATCACGAAATGGAACTTCATTTTCTTTTGCATTAAGCGAACAGAAAAAACAAAATTCACATCATGTGAAAATTAATGAAAGCAGCGAAAGTTCAAATTTAAACGAAAATGAAAATATTTTATTCATATAAGAATTGAATTTCATGTTATATTAGTACTGTATTGCTTATATTTTTGTTCCAATCAAATTGTAAGCCAATTAAATTCTACGGCTGGAAGGTCGCCTACTCTCAGCAGCATTGTTGGCCAGTAGATAAACCTTGAAATAGGATATTGTTATATTTTAGTCATCTGTTATTAACTGGATTGTGAAGTCAAGAGTCTTAATTTGACATGTTTCCACCAGAGTCCAATTTTCAAAGTACCTGAAATTCTGATTTCTCTGGTCTGGATTTCAACTTTCAAAGAAATTGGAATCTCCCGCAAAAACTCAAAAAGTATTAAGTTTACTAAGCATTTTTAGCAGTCTATTAAAAAGACTTGCATACGCAAATTTCTTCGTTATTAAAATTCAAATTTTAAAAGCTGGAGTCAGGGAGTCAAAATTTTTTACGATCCGAAATTGAATTTTTTTATTAACCAAGGAGTTGCGGATAAATTTGCTCCAGGTTCACAGCCATAGTTGTTAAAAAGATTTCTTACAATTGCGAACTATATGCTGCGAATTTTTATGCCCTTCATTCAGTGGTAACTTGTGACCAACTATATAATTGTTTACTATTGATAACTACCTGTAAAGTAGTTTTAATCAACACTTATTCAATAGGATAGGATAAAATTATAGCATTCACTTCCTCAAATCTAATAATGACTCACAACCATAAATATTCCAGGGAAAGAAAAACTGGTAAGACTGCTTGATTGGCAAAACGCGATCTCTCACCTTTTTGCTAGTCCAGCTTTGATATAGGAATAGTTAATCTACCAGTTAATTGTTCCAGATGCTTGGACTTTGACTGATTGAGAAATGCATAATTTGGTTTGAAGATATAATCAGTAAGTGGTCATGGGAACCACCACACATACGGTAATCAATCACTAACTGGGGGATTCGAACTCTGGAGTCAGTGGTGTGATGGAAAGCATTCCCCGACATGATATTCCAAATGCCTATGTTTTCCAATTCTACAACGTAAAAAGCATTTGACTTCATCTTTAATTGAATGTAGAATATACTATTATGTCTTTCAAAAAAAGTATTTTCTGCATGTGTAATCGTGTTACAATCATGTTTATATCTAGTAGCAGGCTACTATAATTCATTATCTCTGATCATCCTATCTCAATCAATATATTTACTGGTCTTGAATGAAGCGTGGTTTCTTATAGCCTTCTTATTGTGTTGATACTGGTGTATAGATTGAGGTCTCAGGCAGAGTTTGTGATGCACTCTACGTGTAAAGTCGTTAAGCTGAAAATGGTGAAGTTTCTATGTTGTCCTAGTTATGCTGGTGTGTCAGAAGTCGGATGGAAGTAAAAATCCATATCCTGTCTCCAGCGGCCTTGATAAGCTGTATTGGGCACTGTTTTTTGTCAGCGCTAAAAAGCTTTTAATCCCAGATAAAGTCCTACTCCTCTGAACTTTAACCCCAGAAAAATGTATTGTGGCTTTCACAATACAAAACTGTTGTGGAATGCGAGCTAGCGCTCACAAACCGGATTCTTTGGTACTTTTTATGCAGCTTATTCAGGGCTAACTTTCGGTTGAAGTTGTAAATCAATTTTTGATAACGACTAAAAATTAACAAATACGAGCCCACAGCCATGCTTGAGAAAAAGTAGGTGTCTGAACATCCGTACAATTTCAATTGTTTCTGAGATAAGAATATTTGCATACTGCCCCAACCTCAGCAGCACGGGACTGCCTCACCAACATAAATCTATTTCTTAGACTGCCTTTTCTCACAGCTCTATCTTAATAAATAACCAGAGAAGCAGAATTCACACGGCAAATCCTGAAAGACATTTTTTTATTGGTGTACCAAATGAAAACAAAAATATTTAAGCAATATAATTACTATGTTCACAGATGAGAATTTCAAAAACAAATTATTAAAATATTATTTCAAATGAATAAATCATGTTATAATTCACAGGTGATTGGATGTGCAGAAAATAGGAATAGAAAAAAAACCTTTGGAGAGTCGTTAGTCGATTGATAGACGCAGTAATGATTTATTTTATAATCCCAATTTGATTAAACTGCTGCGCATCAGCGATAGTTTTACAGTTTTCAAACTTTGTGGCAGTTTTATAAATTTTTTTCTGGCGATTATTCAATGAATTTGGTATTTTAAAATGTCTACCTACACAATGGATTGCTCATTATATTTTTGTTGCATACATGACAAACTTTTATGTTTTAAGTCATGAACTAAATTACAATAGGAAATGCTTAAATAGAGAAAATTACCATATGGTTCGCTACAGTCTCTACTCTAATACCAAGAAATAATTTACCCCCAAAACAAATCTGGACCAACCAGATAGCAGACTTTTGAAGATAAGATAACAGAATATTACATTATTATTAGACTGAAGTTGAATAATTTAATTACATAAAAACTGCAGCCTTGTGTACTACTATTGGTAAAGTATAGGAACACCTAAAACTAAATTTCATATTCAAAAATGAATTTGTGCAACCTTATTACGCAGATTGAGAGTATGCATGGTTCCAAAACATCCTTATTATTAAAATTTTCCTCTTTTTTACTCAAATATATCAACACAACGTCAGTGTTAAAAAACAAAATTGGCATTTGATGACGGTGGGATGTTTTAAATGTAAGTTCATTTGAGGGCTATGCTTCAGTATTTTTTTCTGCCAAGGTGATGATCACCCCTTGGGTTGCAATGAAATGTTGAAGCAAGTACCGTTAGTTGTTGCAGCAATTCGTTAGCTTTGATGAATGTATTTGAGGCAACTTACGTATTTTTACAGCTGTGATTATTTTTAGTTCTGGACTGATGAAAGCTCTGGGAATAATATTTATTACAGAATGGTATCGGATGCATGATAAAAGTAGAAAAATGAAGGAACACAGAACACATGCTGTACTACTACATACAGTGGACGAAAATAACAGTACCATATAAGTGAAGACTAAAATAGATAATTGATTTAAAAATCACACAGGGTTGAAAAATGTAATATACAGGTACATAGAACAGGTACAATGTAAACCAACATTAACTAATTTTAATAAAGAAGTTGTTTCACTGGCGATCGAAAAATTAATTTTCCAATGAAATAGGAGGATATGAATTTATAATGACTATATTTTTTATTCACTGGCAATCAAAGGGTTAATTTTTCACATGAAATGGTAGGGTATGAATTTATGAGAATTTATTTTCATTTTTTAGAAAAGCCTTCTGTATGTATGTAAGGAAGCCCATTTCCATCATGATCGTCGTTTTTGAAAAACTAATATCATAGCTAAACGATTAAAAAAGAAAAGCCATAGCACCACAGGTTATCAAGGAAGTGATAGGTGCTGAATGGAAAAATACAAAAAGTAAAAAGCGATGATAAACAAAGTCAATGTAACACTTAAATTTAAATCTCTTGGATATATATATCACCATAAAATGATGTGTAGTACGTTTATCATGAGTTATTTGAAGTTTTTTACATGGTGTTAATATTTTTATCTTTATATCAAACTTGTAAGCAAAAATGAGTTTTTTGTTATTGAGATTTATTAGCTCATATGGTAATGGCTTCCAGAAAGAGGGAAAAAAGTATTCATTGAGCACAGTGCAAAGTGAAATAAAAGTTTTGGGTGTGAAATAATATGGAGAGATAGGGTATATTTCTGTTTCAAACCTTGATTATATTGAATTGTTAATTTTGATTCTATATATAAAGATGGGCGCTCCAGAAGTATGTGTACCAATATGGAGGTAACTAATTTGTTTCGCCCACTTCACATATATGAACCCCAGATTTCAGCCTGCGATGCTATCATAGTTAAGTCTAACGCTTTAGTCACTATGCCAATGCGTCCACAATGACTAATGTACATTTCTTTTTGATACAGACAAGTGATAGAATTAACGTTTTAACCATTACCAAAAATTAAAATCTTTCAGTTGAGTTAACAGCATGTCTTCTCCTTACAAAACTTTGAATTATTAGTCAAAACTGAAGTGATTAAAAACTAAATTAAATTGAAGACGATGAAAAAAATATAATAATAATGACATCACTCTACAATGGCACTGCAATTTGTTGATTCAAAAACATTATCTGACAAAGCAGCTACAAGCGGTTGTTTCACTCTTTCGTGGTTTCCATTTTCCAAGTCACAATGTCGTTCTTTAATTTCAGTTGCAACGAAACTTTTAATAGCATTCTTGACTGCTTCCACTTCACCATCTTGTTGAGACTGAATTTTTTGAAACTGTCGAGTGTGTTTCAAAGACAACTGAAAAAACAATAATATTTTGAGTTGATGAGAAAAACATTTTAATAAAATATGAAATGCATGACAAAATAAAATGATTGTACATGTTTCATTTCAACAATTCGAAATTGTTATACATATTTGTCTCGACCCAGTGTTTATTAAACTCTTCCCCCATGTGGACCACAGTGAAGTTTTCTCATCTTATAACATTATTTGTTGGTACTTAACAAAGAATACATTTCCCACAAAATTTAATGTCACAAACCATTTGTCTCTCTTCTACAAACTTCTTCGCATTGGTGCTGCTTATTTCTCTGATCTGACGATCTTTTTCAGCTTTCTTTATAGTTTTGTTGGAACTAATTTCTCTTGTATTATGCATTGAACTTTTGGTTTGACGCTGAGCAAGGTCACTCATTTCTCTGGAAAATAAATTAAAAATAATCACTGGTGATAAAATGTGAAAATATGACGAAAAACAAAAATCCCAATTTGCATTCAGAACAGAATCTTTTCCGCTCATATTGTAGGAAGTGTATAGAGTAAGGTTCATAGCAGGGACCAGGGGCCGAAAAAATTTTGCCCACCTGAACTGGCGGGCCACGAAAGTGTGGCGTAATAATTTAGCTATTGATCTTCACCAATTAGAGTGCAAAAAAAGGATGATCGCACACGCCAAGCGCAAAAGAAAGGGGTGTGAAAAGCATGCTATCGAGTCTGTGGCAAGCTAAAATGCAACCTACACAGACTACGGTCATATTCTAAAAGCTTATTGCACCATACAGATTTCAATACAACAACCATGTAGTGCATGCAGAACTGGTTAAAAGCAGAAATTCATGGCAGCATCCGGTGGGCCAGATTAAATCACCCAACTGGCCAGATTCGGCCCACGGGCCATGGTTTGCCAATGTCAATTTTTTAGGGACTGTCATAAAGTTTTTCATGCCTTGTAATTTTTTTACCAAATAACTGCAGCACATGAACCAATTCAAACAGAAATTCATAATAAACCTGTTTTTGTTCAAACTTAAAATAGTTCCTTACCTAGCAGTGGCAGCTTGTGTAGAGCCATGTCCAGACCAAAGGGATATAAAAAAATGTCTCTGAAATTTGGGAATTTTTGCACCAAGTATTACTTTTTATTATTTTCACGTAGAAAGTCACATTCGTGAACATCTAGGTTTATCAAATATAGGAACATACTTCTCTTGAGCTTCTTTCAATGTTTCAAGCGCATTTTGGTGAGTTATTTTCAATGCTAGTTCAAGTGCCTCAATCTGTTGTTTTTGATGATGTTCGTTAATACGAGACAATGTATCCTTATAAGTCTTTATGCAAGATGTTTCAACTTCTTTCTGACTTTTTTGAAAACTGAGAACCTGAAAAAGTACATAAATTCAAACATTATTCTCGGGTTTGAATCCCATGCTCACCACCTCACGCAGGGTGTCATAAATTGGATAAGCAATGCTGAACAGAAAATATTTCAATCTTTCGTAAAATTACATATCATTTAATACCAGCCAACTGATTGTACTTTCGAGCGAAAGTCGCTAAATAGGTGTAATATTAACATTGCATGTGTAATTTCACAAAACACTCTGGCACCGAGCATTCAAAAGTTTGTTATGATGAAATACAGGATTTTTGCCGAGGTCAAGGAAGCATCTATTGGTGCTGAGATCTCCCTCTCCAAATTGAAAATCTTGAGTTTAAATCCAGATTAATTTATTATTCAATGAGAATAAATACAATGATTGAATTAGTCTATGACGAAAGGAAGGGCCTTGTTATCACATACAATAAAAAAGTAATGTCTGTAGTCTGTTCACAGTAACGGTGCAAATAGGGAGAAAATAACTCCTCGCTTAGGATTTCTCAAACAGGCCCTGGAATATCCTAGTGAGCAACAAAGCTGTCGTCTGGGGGCCACAAGCAAAGGCCTCCACTTTTTACTATTCACCATGACCAGATTAATTTGAAGTAAATTGACTCAGATTTATTTGATTCTTTGACTGTAATGCATTTATACTTTTACTTTTGTTTGTTGGCTTTTTATTATTATTAAACATGGCACACAAAATAACTGGTGGAAACGTGTTGAAAATTTAACTAGGAATTTTTTATAGATGGCAGGGGACCACTAGTCTTGAGAGTCTCTGGAAGAAGACCATGGATCAGAGAAGTTTGAGGGTCTTAGATAGACTTACCTTCTCTCGATCTTCGCTGTGTAATGCATTCAATCGAGTTTTAAAATCTTCTTCACTCAGAATACCAGCTCGTAATTTTGGTGCAAAACAACTGAAACAAACACATGGGGAAAACATGATGTAACTTTTCGAATTTGTATAAACAAAACGAATGAATTAGTAAAGTAAAATTTTACCACAAAGAGTTGGATCGCACTCGATCACTGTTTTCTAATGATATAAGCATTTCATTCAACTTTTCTTTGTGTTTCTTTTCAAATGTCTGACATTCCTAAAAAATACATATTCATTGTTAATGCAAGTCCGTCACAATCAAATTTTTTTTTCTATAAACTTAGGCTTAGTTGGATAATCTTTCAATCAGAGCTCTCGAGTCAAGCACATTGTATCTTGTGCAAATGTATGTGTATTTTATTGATTGTACATGACTTGTCACTTAAAACTTGATATTAGTGTTTGTGAAAAGTAACCAGTGGCCTAGTGGTTAATGGCATTCTACTCAACTATGATGGAATCTCAGGTTCAAATCCCATGCCCACCACCTCATCCAGAATGTAATAAATTGGGCAGGTCATGCCGTCCTAAACTATAGCAGCGTTATAGCTAACAGTGGCTGCCTGTGCAAAAGTTAAATAAATATTTCATACAAAACAATTTGCATCAATATTACTAAATGGGGAATGCATTTTAATAACACCTGTATCAACTCCAAATCTTGGTTGTATTTTTTGCAGCAAATTTAATTCGACGAAATATAGTCACACTACCTTCATCATTTTGTTTTTCAAACGTTGAATTTCCTTCGTCTGAGAAGCAACGAGTTTCAAATAAGCAGCATCTTGTTTCAACATTTCTACAGTTACTGGAGTTCTTTGCATCAAATCTAGCAAGAAAAACATAAGAAGTATCCAAATTTAATTCAAGAAATAAATTTCAACAATATAGAATTTTTTTTTTAATACTGATGAGGACTAAAAAGCAGGGGTGTGCAAACAGCGGCCTGCAAGACATTTAGTGTGGCTCTTGGTTACGCTCAGCATTTTTCCCCATCAAGCATAAAATCCTAATTCGACAAGTTTAGGTTTGAAAAGGTCATCACAAAGGTCATCATGGATGAAAATACATGTTTTTTTTTGCTTCAGACATAGAGCTAAATCTTTCACCGTTTGCCCAGTGCCTATATTACTAAGCAATAGCCGCATTCTATTCTCTTGCCTTTCCCGCTAAATTTTTTGCACATCCCTGCTACAAACAAACTAAAAGTTGTGGAAACAACAACATGCAAATCACATTTATCAATGTGTAGTAGAATCAAGTCACATAGCCAGGTTATAGGTTGATATAGATAACCATTGTTTTCCATAGAAGGAAAGGAGATTTTTTTCCAGGAGAATGTTTTGTTGTTTTCAGGGAAAGAAATACTCAAATATTACTATGTATTTAGTATTCTTGTAATGAATATTTATAAATATAAACTATTCAAACAGCACAAAATTCAGAGTATGATGACTTACGCTTATACCGAATCACAATTTGCACTCATGATGAAGGGGGAATTTATAAAATAAGGTTCGGAACCACCCAGCTAAATCAAGGTATGCCTGTAAATATATATAATAGTTACCTATCATGATTTTTTTAAACAAATAACACTAATTTCAAATATTTTGAATTGATCTATTTGCATCGCTAACTCCTCAATAAATTTATATACCATGATTTTGCTGCATATATAGCAAATAGTAAATAAAATATAATAATTTTGACTAGTGTTCATAAAAACAGAGCAAAAAATACCAACCATTAACAGGTTGTTGTTGAGATTGACCAGTGGAAGAAAGATAAAGACTTCTGGTTCTAGTCTCTGAACCGTTATTTTCCGATGTTCTGCGTGTTGCAATATTCGTAAAACCTGTGTGAAAGACATGATTTGTGATTTTCAAATTAAAAATCAGTAAAGTGGATTCATTTTTCTAAAGGTTTGAAGTGTTTTGTCTCTTCTGCTATTACATACATCCTGAATGAAGTCATGTAAGCAAGAAATACGGTATTTACTAAAATGATAATAAGACCAAGTTATGTATATGTGTATATGCTCGCGAATAGGCTGAGTTTAAAACTCCAAAAAAAAGTTGCCAAACGAAGGGACCGTCTTATTCGCGCATAACTCAGATTGCACCAAAAAATCGACTAATTCGCCCATCAGAATTTGATCACGCAACGAGATGATATTATGCTGACTTGCCGGTAATTCCAAAAGCTTCAAACAATACCGGTACAGTAAATACCTATAAACAGTAAAGTTTTCATGATAAAAAGCGTGCACGCACACACACAATCGCTTGTGAAGGTGGATTGTCTTATCATACAGCTGATGGCTTGTACAGTCTGTGATTGGTTTGTTTTCGCTCGCTTGTGCAACAGTGTCGATTTACGGCCAGTTGTTTCGTGTTGAAAACATTATTATTTGGTGCGCTATCGCCGTAGAGGCAATTGACGGCGCGCGACTTTTAATCACTCATACGATATGTTATCCGTTAAGGGGCGGTGATAAGGACTCTTATCGAAATTAACCGTGTTGTGGACGATCAAAGGAAATTGTTTTATGCTGACTCAGGGACTCCTGACAAACAATCCCTTGCATTAATACAAATCACGACGCATGAAAAGCAATATAGACTTTATCAACATGAATTTACAAGTAAGAGTTACGAGTAAGAATCTACGGCCGTCGCTAACAAACAGAAATGATAAACGTGAGAAATGTTTGCGTTACAGTAATTTTGTTCTCTTTCTACGTTTTTCTTGAGGCGTCCGACGTGTAACGATTCGTAGGACCGGCTCATGTGCGATTTTTTATAAAATCGCCGTATTAAGGCCGTTTTTAGGGAGTCGGCCTATTCGCGAGATAGGCGTAATTTCGAGAAAATACGGTATTTACAGGAATCCTAGCTCAAAGAAAGTCAAAAAATAGTTCTAGGCAACAAACCTTCTTAGCTATCTTATCAGTCTGGTATAAATTGCTTCAACTAGAGAGTTACGATGAATTTGATTTTTAAGTTTTGAATAATAAGGTAAATGGGTAGAAAGGTGACAAAATGTACGTTAACTCGTTTTACGTTTTGACTTTGCGGTTCTGATCCAAATATCGGTCTGAGTTAGTTATAGGGAAATTAATTAATTTAAGATTTCTGGAGATTGAAATTGGATTTTGAGAATACAATCTATTACTTTCCATAAACTACAAGCACAATACCTGAATCAGAACGAGAGGTATGAAATGAAAGTTTTTTCTCTGAGTCAGACTGAGAGACATGTTTGTGTTTAGATGCTTCTCTCGAGGCCATTCCTCCGCTTGTAGCAGATAATCGTTCAGTTAATTTGCCATTACTGTCATTCAGATCATCCTGAAAGTAATATTTTTAATTATTGAGCATCGGATCTTGCCTAGAATAAAACACAGGTTGCATGTCATATATCGAAAGGTTTTAATTAAAGATAAAATCATCAAGATATTTTATAAATCTTACCTCATCAATTCCCATGTTTCTCATTGAGGTTGCTCGCTCTTCAGCTAACGACAAATATCTTTTCGGATTAGAAACAGCATCCACAAAATCTTAATAATAATAACGAATAGATGATTAGTTAGTTTATTTATCATTTTGCATGTATATTGTAACACGATTTGGTGCGAAATGGAAGTGATTTTGTTGTATGTTGAAATATTGTGCAGACATCAACATAATGTTTTAATTTTTCCAGTAAGTTTTGATTGCAGATGTCAGCAAAATGTTGTTGTCCCATTGAGTCGAATCGATGAGCCATTAGTGGCACGTAAGGTGCTATCGTAACTCGTACAATTTCAGTAGCTCTTATGATTTTTGCTGTGCAAGAAACATCGTGCAATTGAATGGAGATGAAAATTGAAAAAACTATCGGATCTAACAAAGGATCGTGAATACCTATCAGGTCAGCGAAACTGTTTTTACTGCGTTCCGCAGCTTTGGAAAATTATCCTAAGAAAAAAAAACGGATTGAAATTTTAGTAAATTGACTGACATATCCATTCCCAGACTTTTGACAAATCTAAATGTTTTGATCAAAATACTCAAATCAATTACTTATGTATTTGTCAGGAACATAACTCTTCAATACAATGTTAACAAATAAAGAAGCAGGATCAAGCATTTGTCCACCAGCAGATCGTAGTGCAATGTATCGATATCCACATTGTAAAGCTTCTAGTGGAATCACTCTCTGGCCGATGAGCTTCCCGCTTTCATCATGAACAGCAAATCTTATCAAAGCAAGAGTCGGTAGAACAACCTGAAATATACAATCAAAAATAAACATATAGTATCGACGAGTATCTTTCTATGCTTCTGCGCCATAGATCCATCCATATGTATATAATACAAGGATGCTGTAGCAAGAGTGAAGATAACTATTCTAAGTGATTCAAGAGTCTTGCTGAGCACTACTTTGTAATTGCATTTCTTAGGTAGCAAGACTGTTGAATCACTGAAAAAACAGTTCGGGTTTAAGAATTGAATGGAATTTTCAAAATATCATACATACGGGTTCAATTGTTCAGTTTTTTATAAACAATTCAATATTGGAATAAAAAAATTACTAATTCGGCATACTTTTCTGAAGACAAATGGTGGTGAATTGTAGACAGGATCAAGTCCATTGCTGGGAACGAGCTTAGTTCTATGTTCTTTTCTAATTGTATCAGTAGGAAGCCCATACATATCAACTTCAACATAAGTTCCAATTTGTTTGTCTGAAAGGAACATCCCAGCAATCACCTGCAAAAATAATGGGAAATGGAAATTGAGTTTTTTTTATAATAGACGCTCATTCTCGTCTCGGACAAGGCCTACACCAGCAACCACTGATATATATAACGATATGTGAAAAGCTATGGCATTTTAAAAGGACTGGAATCTTTCCAAGTTGGCACTACTACCCAATTTATTACACCTGGATGAGGTGGTGGGCATAGATTTAAATCGGAGATGTGCAAACTGAGTTGCCAACAGTGTTAATTTTAACGTTTTAACCGCTAGGTTATTATGCATAGTTTTAGTTTGCACAAAATTTTTATGATGTCATAATACCTCTACTGAACAATGAGCAGCAATAACACCATCAACAGGAGATTCAGAAAATGGATCAAAAACTCTGTCATCTCGTCTCATGAATTCAGGTTTGAGCAGATAACCACACATTCCATTGAATTCAAATCTTCCTTGATTCAACTGCATGTTCAGATCTGAATGAGAATATTTCAAATTTATATCGATGGTTATTACGAGTGCTGGTGAGGCTTCGAGTTACAGACTCGAAGTGACTCATGTCATTTAAATCCAATGACTCAGTCTCTACTCAACTAACAACCAATGAGACTTAGTAACTCAGTAATTAACTCACGGCTCTGGCGACTTCCACACAACACTCCTACTTGCTTATTCATAGTAAAATATATACGTAAATGGTAATAAGCTAACAATATTTTTTAGCCAACTTTTACAATATAACTCATGTTTACAGTAATATAACAATGCATTCATTAAAAATTTGAACTAAAAAAAATAGTTCTTCACAATAAAGCCAAAAAAAGTTAATCTCAAAATACAAAAAATCCTAATTTTCATAAAACACCAGAACCAGAAAAGACAAATATTGACAAAAACAATTTATTGTGATGTCATTTCGTTATATCGAAACCAATATTTATTGAATTTCAATATTGATGTTCATTTAAAAATAGATAGAGCAAATAATAAAACGTCATTTTCATATTTTACCTGACGTTTGAAAATTAAGAGACACCATCTGGCATCCGGCGTTCCAGAAAACCTGCGGCATATAGTTACTGGAATCGACTCGATTTCCCCGAGGATAAATACGACTAAGCTGACGCTTGTTGTAACTGTAGAAAAAGTAAATTTCGTAAAATTTGTAATAGTATTGTTTCAATTAAACGACATAACATCTTCACCATTTTCATACATCACTCAGAGAAAGGGTATCTATTAGCAACCTCTGATAAGACCTAGACATATCAAGTGGCACGTAGGCATGCATTAAACAGGATCAATCATCCACATTTTTCAAAATATTTTCAATCTACAATTTATTGCTTTTTACGAAATGACACGACACATCACATGAATAATTAAATATGATAATAAATATCTATTGAAGCGAAAACAGTTTTTTTAATATTAGAAAGTCTCATCTTTCATTTTCTGAAATTGAAGAATACTGTATGCATGCCGGTATATAGGTATATATACCGATATAGCATTATTATATTCAATATCAATATCGTTCATCATGCAGTTTCCACGGAGGTAATTTTACAAATATATAAACCATGATGCAGAAAAAAAAACACAGGGTGTTCACGAAGTCCAGCTACATTCAAAATTTTGATATCAAATCAGTTCTCAATATATCTTAACCAGGTTTTTTTTAATCAACGTTTATTCGAGTTTTTTCTGCTTTAATTTAATATACCTTTAGTTGCATAAAGAACATCAGTGTTTTTTTTTACCCAATTCAATGTACAGGATTATTAGACTTTACTATAGAATATATTTTTTTTGTATTTTTAGTGGGTTAAAAGCGATTTTAAATGTTATGCAAATACAATACTTACTTCACAAATTCGATAGCACTAGTTTTTAAAAGTCCAATCCCAACAGATTCACTGAATGAAGACATTTGATAGGAGAGCTTTTGCTCTGTAAAAAAACAATGGATGAAAAATAAACACAAAAAAAAACACAACAAGCAAAGATTTCAAAAATTGTTATCCCCAATAAGATTGCTGTGATGTGTTTCTCTACTTTTATGAGTGTAGGTGAATGGTTAGTGGTTACAGCACTTCTTATAAAGCTTTCCCTAGATTTTGCCTATTTCTACTATCTTCCAGTCCAATTTGTTTTAAGTTGTTTATTTGTTTGTGCTGTGCTATAGACTAAAAAATCGTAGGAAAATTATATTGTGTAAATAAATGATAACTCCAGTGATTAACTCATATATTAAGATTAAGACCTTTATTCTCCACTGCATGACAAAAACCATCCCAAATTTGAATGAGTTCACAACACCATTATTAACTTTAACCTGACCATACTGGCCCTCAACTCGTCTAGAGCGCCATGAATCAGTTCTCTATGTGGCACAAGCAAAGGTATCACTAGGTAAAATTTGCGATAACATTTTAATTTGAAGTAAATTAACTGTGATTTATTTAATTCTTTAACCCAATTATTCTTTTTCTTTCATTTGTTGGCTTTTATCACTAAACTTGGCGACTAAAATAACATTTTGGAAACCCCAGTTATTATAGAAGAGCAGGAAGCCATGAAGTTTTGAGAGTCTATGAAAGGGTGACTCAGATCATAAAAGTTTGACAAGTACTGACTTAGGCCCTTCAATACGTTAAAGAAATGGTAAAATGGTAAATACTACATACCTTCAGCATACTCGAACCCTTGAAATTTAACGGATTGGCAATAATTGATGAATGAAGACAACACAGGATGAATATTTGTAGCCGATGTTTCAACGTATTTATAATTTCTTAACAATTCTTTTTCATCTTCTTCTGTTAATGGTTGTCCCTTTGAATGAATTTTAATTACAATTTTTGAGTATACTGTTTTAAATGTAAAAATTCGCTTTTTGAATAAATATGATGCTGATTAAATGTGAATACTTTTCTGTAAACAAACAATTATGAAGGAGAAATATATATGAAATTCTAAAAGTGCACAAAGTACATCAAAGTTCTTTTACTTAAGGTAATATAGAACATTATATACACCCTGTACAACTACACAATGCATGACGTAAAATAGAAAGAAAAATCTGCAAATATCTTTATAAAAGTTCGAAGATTATGATGAAAGACATTAAAAAATCTCTTAAACGGCAATTGATGAGAAAATATGACAACCGACATCATTATGTGATTATTACGGTATGTGATTAGTAACCATTAGGGAGCAATTCTTCCTACTTGAATAAGAAATAGATTTTTGCTAATGATCTTGTGTTGATATAATTGGAATATGAATCTTGCGGGTGTAATATTGCAATGAAAGATCTGCTCCATCATGTTAATTGAAAAGATCAATGAATTTGAAGTGACAAGATTCGAAATTAAAAAGATAAGTGAAAAACATGATTTCAAGGAATTGCAATTCTCTTTCGCACTCCTAATTAAAATTTGTCTGAAAGTTTTTTCTATTACAAAAATGCATTTCCAAGAATTATATTCAAAATTGCTTGATTAGGTTTTTTAAGTGAAGTAAGTTAAATTAATGTTATTCAAAGTAAAAACCAATTGAAATGCACGATTCTTCAATTCAACTCTTCTACTGAGAACAGACGAAGGGATATTTAGTTGAGTCAGTGTTGAGCACCACAGTACTGAATCATTTTGTACTAGATAGTAAATAATAATGAAGATAAGAAAAATTTTCAAATATTTCACCTTTTTTGATTTGGATTTTCCTGATTTTGTAATTGTTGTATCTTTCTTTGCTCCCTGAATTATAACAATTATTTGTATTAAATATTGCAAATTTATAATATAACTTGATATCACTAAATATATTTAAAAATGGCTCATGACAGCTGTTTTAGCATAGATCAGTGTAAAACAAAGACAAGTTAACTTTATAAACCATGCTAGAGCGTAACACAAGATCATATTCATATATGGATAATGGATAAGATGTTTCTTCCCTAGTTTTACTTAAATCGATATCAGTGGGACCTCCAAAACAATTCTCCGTTAAATAGTTTATTCATACAACGAAAAGTATTCGACAGCATAACCTAATGAGGGATTCAATCCAGAAGGGCTTAACTTGAAAAAGCTTTTGAAAAAATGACCAAGTATAAATATATATAAGTTTTTAAACTCCTGTAACATTTTACTGAAATACTATTTTTTAATATTTTCAAATTAAAATTTCAACAATCCCCCTTTTGTATTGAATGTTCAACCCTGGTATATCATCCTTTGTCACAGCAATTTCTGTGTGAATACTTGATGAGAAGTAGAGACAAATTGTACATAGCAGTATTGATTGTTTTTATTTAAAGATGTTCACAATCTTGAAGCATATCATTAAAAGAGCCCATGACACTGAAAAAAATGGGAGCCTCTAGTTTAAATCATTGCCTCATTGGATTGAGAGTACTTGCCATTGGGCGGCTAGTTAGCCCTTGGGGAGATCCTAGATCAAACCTTGCGAGAACTGAATATGAAGATTGCTGACTCTAACTATGGCAGGGTGGTTAATCGTACATACTGGACAAAAATTGTACAAGCTAACAACTTCAAAACCAGATTTAATCAAGATTAAAAATGAACCTGTCCATCTCCTTTTGAGAGACTTTCAGTCACCGGTGTTTTTTGAATTTCAATGTCAGATTTTTCAACTTCTGATTTCTCTTCCACGACACTAAGACTAGCGGCATCACTTTGATTTTCATCATAACTCTGATTGGATTTAAGTCTTGCCAGTTCAGGATGAGCTTCTTCAATTGATGCTAAATATTAAAAAGTAATCATCAAAAATTTGATATTTTGCCAAACTACAAAAAACAGTACTCCCGAAGTGTGTGAACAAGATGGCGAACACTGTAGCGTAGTGTGTGTGCCAGGTTAGGGTTAGGCCATAATTTCAGGTACAAATACTACGAAAGTCACTTGGTTAGTACCCGAACTCGTAATAGAACTAAAATAAGGAAAATTGGAATAAAATTAGGGCCTAAACCCCGGGGGCGGCAACCTTTTGTCAACCTCGCGGGCCGAAATTAAAGGTTGCAAGTCATTAGCGGGCCGCACATATTTTTAAAAAGGTAAAAACGGAACAGATGAGCGATGAATCACATGTTTTCACACAGATCAGAAGTTAAATTTTAAGAAGCGTGTGAAGACTGACCATTTGAATATTTTCTGCGCCGGTAAACCATTTGCACTCAGCATCAACTTTTCTGCGTTTTGCTGCCATTTGTCTAATCATTTTTAAAATTTATTAAACGCGTAATTGTGAATTTTAATATACTTGTTAGTTGTTAGGTTATAATATAATTTAGTCTACAGTTACACAATAAATGTCTCAAAATAAATTCTGTTACGTAATATAGTCGTCAAAACAGCTGTTTTGTTACTATAATTGAGTGAAGCGTCACAAGCCAAATTATACTGCTAAGGACCGTAGTTGCCGACCCCTGGCTTAACACTAATCTGGTACACATACTACGTTCCGGTGTCCGCCATCTTTTAAAATTTGAAACTGCAGGAAAGAGAAGATAGAAAGAGTGATTTGGTTGATTCTCTATTTTTCCTTATTTCCAGTAAATATGATGAATACCTGTCATACTGTGAGACATAGACTGGCTTAAAGTGGTTCTTAAAATTTAAAATAATGAATTAAAATAATGAATTTAAAATATTGAATATAAGAAATTTATATAAGTTTGTAGTAATATGAAGATTCTCTTTGAATAACACATTCACCTAACAAAGCATAACATTTTATGTAATCCAAAAATGTATGATGATATACATTGCGACCGATAAATCAAATTTTTTCAAACAAAACATCTATATGGAACCCTAAAAATGATCCAAACTACCACATATGGCCATTGATAAAGTGTCATCATAAATTTCAATTTTGTAATATCCATGCATGATATAATATGATGAAATGGAAGCACGGTATATTGAACGGTAATTGGACTATGTACATATTATACATCGTCAGTCTATCGTGTAAATATTCTCAATGAGGGCATTGCAAACAGAAACATATTGTGTAGACAGACCGGGAGTCGCTGAAAAGCAAACATTAAACTGAAATCTTAAACATGGTATATGATAAAGGATCGTTGTATTGAGATAAAAAACATATATATGAGTACTGTTTTGCCTTTCGGAATATTATTCAAAATAATAACCAATACTTGCAACGCAAAATTAGAATTGGCTATTCTGGATTGGACTTCAGTAATCTAGAATATTCAAGAAGACTAATTACTCTAGCTAGATTCTCCATCCCTTCGCCTAAGTTAGCACAAGAAATCAAATAAAAAAAAATTATTTTATTTCAAATTACTAATGCAAATTTGAGTTTTTGTCACACTTACCGGTAATTTCAATGACCCTACTGAAAACATGATGCTTCATCAATTATGCATTATATGAAAAAGAATAACATGCGGATTACAGAGAAAAATTTATCTTCATGCAAGCAGAATATAAGTAGCAGAATTAGTCTTTTATTTGCAGTTCAATACTTTTGTAATGTCTTTTTCATATCAGATTCACTTACACCTATATGCGATATGATTTTTCAAGATAGCTCTTGTTCTTAGGGTAAAAAAATATACTGCTATCAAAATTGTCTCGTAGACACTTCAAAAAGTTGGCACAAAAGGACATATCATTATATGGCAAACAACAGCCTCTCGGTTACCAGTCCATGTGTGGTATGGAAATAGTTAACCAGATATTCGTTTTAGATGCATTGTCTTGATGGTGGAGGAAGCTGTAACCAACCAGCGGGCCACAATCCTCTCTAAAAACAAGAATCCCCCACGGATTCAAACATGTTAAACCACACAGAGGTGCAAGTATGTTGCAACGCTAGGCACCTTGTGCCAACCTCCAAGGTTGAAAATTGTAAAATCTGATAAAGAAATCAACTTACAAGAATCTTCCTCTTGAACTTGACTTTGTTCTTCCTCGTCTTCCAAAACTTCTTCATGTTTGTAGTAACGTTCAAGTTGAGCTTGTAATGGGAAAAAGATTTTACATTACTTAAAGAACAACATATGAAATCACGATTAATGATAATGGGATCGATGGCCTAGTGGTAAAAGTGTTAGTTAAATGATGGCATCACATATTAAAATCTTGGGTTCAAATACCACGTCCACCACTCTGTACATAGTGTGATAAATTAGGTAGGCAATGCCGAATGGAAGAGATTCGGGTCCTTCCGAATAATAGCTCCTTACATATCGATAGAAATTAGCGGATCCTTTTTAAGGCCTCGTTCAGAGCGAAACGTACGAATGAGGGTCGTATAAAAAACAATTATTGAGTCCATGTCTTGAGACACATATGAAAAACGCCACTGAGTAACTACTATGTGATACCAATTTAGAATTCGTAAGAAACTTCCCAACCTGAGTCTACTCTTGCCTAGTATATCACCGATAGTGTACAAAATTAGCTATTCAGACCCGAAAATTGTAATTTTTTACGACCTAGTGAATACAAACAAATATTTGGCTGCTTGTTCATACCCTTGTTTAGAGTGTGAACCCACTCATAAAAAATAGGAGACATATAAATTTTATACCTTTCTCTACATCAGTTTTTAGTCGTTTGTTTTTGATTATAATTTTGCCTTTCAAAGCATTTGGTGAAGGAAGTTGAATGCCAGGATCAAGCTGAAAATACAAATAGAGCAATGCACAAATATACGACCACCATTGACTATTGTCTATTGCTATGCTAACAAAAATCCAGCCAAAAGTTTAAAGAAATTGTACCGAATGTCGGAGGTATGACTGTGAAACATAAAAAACAGCAAATCTTGGGGTGAAATGTCAGATCTCATAGATTTGGAGATTTAAAAAAAAAATGTAAATAATCAAATTTTAGCAACTTCTTCAAGAAACTTTGAGAGTTGGGCTGCGCCGGACTAACTCCCTATCCTTACTCTATGTCATAAAGCTAGTGGATCCATATGTGTATACCAGTGTTAACTCTAAGCGAATTATGAGTGCGAAAGTGCTTCGCAGTCGAAAAAAAAAGTGCGAAAGTGCTTTTGCCGATTTTAACAAGTTAGGTGCTCTAGCCTTTCATATAACCCATTTAACACGGCATAGATACTCGAAAAAGCGCTCCTCCGGTTAATAGTATGAATTAAAGAGAAGCCTTTCCGTTAACGGAGTTCCCTTTAAGCGAATTCATGTTTAATTAAAACAAGCGAATTCATCCGCAACGAAAAGACATGTGCTAACACTTGCCCCAAACAAAACTTTCATGCAATGTAATGAATGTATCACGGTGTCAGTTGCGTACTCGCGTGAACAGCAAAGGCTTTCACATTTGTTACTCCTTCCATCTAACAGACAACGATTGATACACGTAGGCTGGAAACCATATTAGTTACAGGGTGGATCATTTGTACAAATCCCGTGCAAAATAATTCCCCCCCCCCCCCCCCTCAAAAATATAAATAGCAATCAACTAATTAGGGTTAGGTGCGCTGGAAATTCAACTTTTCGATTTATCCATAAACCTAATCTGATAATTATTAATTTGTGATTTTGAACCACTTTGAAAGTCGCCACCCGCTGTTTTAAAATATAGGTTAACCTATGTTCCCTCCGAAATATTACACAGGATACTCCCCTGTTTTAGGAGATAGGTTGACCTACTTTCCTTTTAAACTTTTTTCTCCGAAATATTTCACAAGATCACTTTGAAAATCCTCCCCTTTCGTGAGCTAGCGTGACCTAATTTCTCATTTTCAATTACACTAATAGGAACGATGACACCAAAGAGTTTTTTTTGCGAAGGTACACGAAATATAACGAGGGTGATTCTTGAAAAAAACATGAATATAAAAAATAAACGAATGATATGATAGTGGATCCCAAATAATTTTGAGAGTGTCTCGAAATACCAATCCATTTGATAAATAATTTTTATTCGACCACATGAACGCTGATACCTTTGTAAAGTTTAGAAACCAACAAACAGAAAATAACTTATCCTAAAACACAATTAAAATTCAGTCGGCAATAAATTCGTCGCCAAGACCATGCCATACAAAACAAAAAAGATTTGGTCGCGAGAGTTACGTTAGATGACTGCAAAACGACGTTGTTTTTTAAGCAGAATGTAAAGCAATCGAATTCAAAAACGGTAGTTACGACGCCCTTACAACAAATTGAGTGTATTAAACTTCCCTGGTAAGTAATATTATTATTGTACTTATACACCTGTTGGAGTATTTCGGACAATTTTGAATTTAAAATTAATGAAAACCCGACATATAATAAAGACGCAAAAGTAAAATGAACATTTATTGAAAAAGTTATTATTTAAGAAAGACAACATGATCGTACAATTCCGCCCAAACCTCGATGTTCGCAAGTGAGATGATAAATAAATACTTCCCTGTATTCGATCAATTAACTTTACCGTATCGTTGTTCTGCCAACAAACAGCCGGGTGCAAAATATTTCCGTCCTGTGATATGCTCACAAATATTCTCGATATTAATATCATACCCTCGCGTATGTACTTTCTATTAGATCTTTAGTGATCCCTTCCATCCTTGGCCAAGTCATGTTTCGAATATGTGAACATTTTATTCGACCATACATGGCCGGCGGGATGTTAAAATTGTAAACAAGAGAGAGGTAAAATCAATCGCGAATTTCGTTATAACGGCTCGTTTACGAATTGTTGCGCCTGTTATCGTCGAAAATGATTACATTTGTTGTATTTTGAGGCATTAGAGCAGTAATAATTAGGGCATGACATCATCAAAATCGTCAAGTGAGATTTTGAAATTGCAAATTCCGTAAATAAAATTGTGAATTACTCGGTAACGAATTCAGCTTCAATGACCGTCGGGGTATTGTTTTGTTGAAAATTATAATTAATGTGAGAGCGCCAAAAACATACAGTCCATACCGATGCGACTGCAATTTATATGGCCGCACTTGGTGTGGCGCGTTTATTAATAGTGTAAAATAAATTAAACGAATATCAATTATAACCAAGCCTGTCAGCGTGTTTATTTTCTGTGGGCAAGAATCGTACAATACCATCTTGAGACAAATTCACTTCTATTATAAAATCTAATTTTTCAGTTATTATCGTTATACAAATAACGTGTGGCAACTTTTTAATTTATCGTCGACCAAAAAACCGTCCCACACTCGTCCAAACGTGTGTCAAGCTTGACCGACAGGAACAGATTCATCGACGACTTTAGTTAGGGAAAATATGTATTTTGTTGGGAATGCAAAATAAATGTAACAAAACGCATTTTTTTGTGATATAACTTTGTATTTTCGGAAACGGATTGCTGTGAAAGGTAAAATTTGATCTAAATTAATCGCAAAAATGTTTTATTTTAAATGTAACAAAACACTTTTTTCGCAATACAACTGTATTTTCGGATACCGGGTGTCATGAAGAGTAAAATATGATCTGAATTAACCGTAAATAATGTTTCATTCCAAATGTATCAAAACGCATTTTTTGCGATATAATTTTGTATTTTCGAAAACGGGGCGTCATGAAATATATTAATCTAATGTTTTATCTATCGTCTAACTAACGTCTGGTACACATCATTTCCGGGGAGAACTCTAGCCCGCGAAACGTCATTTAATTTAAAATAGAGAATGTTCCACGCATTCCAAAACGGAAAATCACCAGTAAGTCGACAGGGATTCAACCCTCCGGATTCAGTATTCTATATCCCCGTGTCAGAAATTTCTGAAGATTGGAACAAAGAACCATCAAACCGCCGCGGAAGAAGGGGAGTATTTTTTGCACTAATAATTAGGGCGTGACATTATCAATATCGTCAAGAAACTGGTGAATTTTCAAATTCCATAAATAAAATTGTGAATTGCTCGGTAACATTTTAGCTATAATTATCGCCGGGGTATTGTTTTGTTGAAAACATGTTGAAACTTGAGGCCTGAGGGAATTAGTTACAATTAGCGCCTGACCTCTATTAGGCACTCGAGCACTCGAAAAAAAAAGCACTCGAGTCCAATCTTTTTAGCATTAAGTCGCATACGTAAAATATCCTGTAAAAGAAGTGCTGTTCATTAACGTTATCTCGTCCTATGACCACACAGAAATGCCTTTATTGCCGAATTATTCAATCACTATTTTAAATCAACAATCAGGATTGGCACAATTTCAGATTTGCGAAATTTATCACCATAGAAAAACATGAGAAAGTTAATTATCGTCTTAATAAACATCAGCATCACGGTATCCACAATAATATTACCATTCGCATAAAATTGGGACCGTAAATTTACAAATCTTGATGGTAAAATCAAAGCCAACGCAAATGTTAATTTGAGTCCTCAATGTCTTCAACAGCTGTTGCCGATGTGAACAAACGGGTAAACCCGAAATATAAAACTTCGATGTCCGCCGACCCGCAAGAATTCATATTTGTAAAAAAGAGAGGGCGGGAATATGGATTAACAAAACCTGGATATCGCCGCCAAAACGATCGGTGACAAGAACAATTAGCGATTACAACGGAATTAACCAGTAAAAAGGCTTTGTTGCCGATTTTTCAATGTTTCCACCGACGTTCCAAAAATATTTGTTATTCGGTACTGGTTAAAAATATTCAATTCAATGAAATATTGAATTTTGCCCACCCGTACTCGCATATCAATGAGAAATAGTTGTGTAAATATCGCAAAATGCCACGTGCTTTCAACATTGTGATTACAATAAAATGGCACTTAATGGTATTAACGATATCATTGATAGTCACATGACCACTTTCGTTCAAAGAAAGGCACTGAGTAGTATTCCAACATCTGGTTTCAAAGACGCGGAGCGTTTTTGCGGGAGAAGCGGAATCAGTGTGCTTGTATAATAATCATATTATAAACAAGAATTTTGCCGTTAATGCAAATGCTTTATCTCCTCTGTCTACATCTCATAGGTTAGAATTCCGGTAAGTATGGTTATGATATGCAGAATTGAGTTACAAAAGTACTAGTATGTTACTTATTTGTCAACTCTAATACTCGAAAATATTTGTTAACTTTGAATTTTTATTCCATTCAAAATCGGAAAAAAGTGCTATTTCTCTTCATAATCGGAAAAAAGTGCTATTTCGCAGTCCCTAAAAAAAGTTGCGAAAGTGCTTCGCAATTTTCGCAAAAAAGTGCGCTAATAGTGAACACTGGTGTATACTGCAAGGATGCTGTAGCAGCAATAAACATGACTATCCTATCAATTGTTGTAAACCGCTTGTCTGAGGAAGTCTGACTTTGGTTGGACAAAACGTTACGGAAATGTTTTTGTGTTAGTGTGCAAAATGGCTCTTGAATTGGATAGAATTCTTCAAGAAAAAAACGTGAAATTTATTAGTCCAATAGCTGCGTACAAAACTATTTTCTCGCAACAACAACAAACACTTGAAGAACCACAAACACGTAACAAGAAAAACAAGTTTGCAAAACGATCAATAGGTCCACTATGTGTTCAAACATGTCACGCGGTTCACGTTGTGAAATGCTACCAGGTGGCCCAATCAATGCAAACTCCACAGAAACACTCATGTCTCAATGTACTAGCAAAAAACTAAAATAACAGTAATAAAATGTATATTTGATGACATATTATACAGTAAATAAAGCTGTGTTTGTTTTGAGCATATTATGTTATTATGAATTTGGTATTTTCACTGATTATAGTTGGATGTAATGATCAGAGATGGGCAGATGCATTTATTAGTTCAATCTCAATCAAAAATATTGATTAGGCAATACTTATTCCAATTGAAAAACCAAGCCAGAGGAGGCCGAAAATACGTATTAATAAGAATTGCTGTTCATTTTATTTGTTTGTACTTCGTGCAATGGGCATTGATTCAGAATTTTCAGACTATGTGTCATAAAAAAGCACAGAGTCAAGCAGTGTTTCCAGACCCCACGAATGGGCTAGGTGAAGCTGAGAAAAACATCAGATGGGCTTTGACTATCACAGACCACTATTATGCCTGGTGTACTAATCTTAGCGGCACATTTGTCATAAAAAAGCGGTTACTTGCATAGAGCCTTGTTCAGAGTGGACGCTTGCAGTTACTATGATTGTATAAAAACTTTTGAAAATCTATCTATCATCATTATTATCTTAATGTAAACAGTCCCTACAAATACAAGATTAAGGGATTATTGACTTAACATATTATCCGATAAAACAGTTTGTTTAACTAAGTGAATTTGAAGTCGACAAACAATTAGCTTCAAAAGAACAACCCGGAACTACTGAAGCTGATATCACAAACCTATTCACAACAAAAGTGACGCCAATTTAAACATATGATTTCTAGGCATAGATTATTTTTAGAATGAATCGATATATTTTGGACTTGAGGAGTATTTTTAAAAAATTTAATAAGTGTTGCCATGGAAATATTAGTTTTTCCGAATGAAGTCAGGGACATCCAAATGTAGCCAGGAACAAAACTGAATAAATTGTATTTCCGAATATAGTAACAGTATGTATCCTAAATTGTGTTGTTCAACAAATAATTACCATAATGATAACAAAAAGAAAATGCAAGAGGAAAAACATAATTACATTGATTTGCTGTTAAATTTAACCTATTTTTACAATGGAAAAATGATAATTTTTTAATAAAAATTATTTTGGGTGGGTGCAGGACATCAGCCTTTGTTTGCATCACAGGTTACACATCTTGGGTTCAGAACTCATGCTCCCAACCTCACCTATGATGTGATAAACTGGATAGGTAATACTGAATTAAAAAGACTCTGGTCAATCTAAAATATAGTAGTTTTCTGCGTATCGTTCAATACCAGTGGATGCTTATGCGAGGCCTTGTTTGGACCAAAAGCGTAGTGCGAGGGACTGAATTGTGTCAATCAAATAGCGTTTACTTTTCTCTAACACCCTATCATAATTCAACAGGGTTTGAGTAGCTCTTGCCATTTGAGTATTTTCAAGTGACTTGTGATCAGAGGCTATTTTTCTCTATCTCGGAGTGTATGGTCTTGTATTGAGAAATTTCTCATAGTCAACATCCCATAGCATAAACAGTTTAAAATAAAAATATTTACCGGACAATCCTCCAATGGTTTCCGAAGCAATTTATCACCGAATACTTCTTCGCAATATTTTGCCAGTTGGAGCTGTTGAGGTTTGCTAGAGAAGAAATAATAAAGGATAGATTAAAAAATGTTTTTTAAAAATTCATTTGGTTTCACAAAATCACCGAATAGTAAATTATTCAGTCTTGGCCATTCCTGTGTAGAAATAATATTTCCAATTGAGGATTATATTATTTCCTTCCGTCAGCTAAAATAATCGATTTATCGTACAAGACCTCCAAGGGACTAAGAAAATCAATTGCGTGGAAAAAATGAGAAAATCAATAGAATAATCAAATTACCTTAAAGCTTGTGTGTTACTTTTTAGCAATTAGGAAAGAGAAATTTTGAAGCTAAAATGAAAAAAATAACCATCCCAAAACAGAAATTTGAAATATCAAATCAATATTTAATAAAATAAATTCGAGATGGTTCATTTGGCCACTGGTTAGTTACAGCTTACTCTGCTCTCAAGTACATGCATCAGAAACAAAGTTAACTATTCTTATATCCAACATGGCCTGGAACCAGTTGAGAAGCCATGGTTCTCCATATGATTAAGTCGTCTTATATACCGGTACTTTCCTTTACGGGATAAATATGAAAATCCTATTCTAATTTTGTTTTGAATATTGTGGATATTTAAAAAAACTTGGTATATTTATTTGGTTTTATAGAATTACAATTTATACAAATTACAATATTTTTACATTTCATGACAAGAACAAACACACTTTCTCTTGATAAATTTCATTTGGAAGTAGAATTGGATCTTTAGGAGCGCCCCCCCCCCCCCCCCAAAAAAAAAAAACACCTGAAAAAAATAGTAGATAACCAGTTAGGGTCAAGGTAAGACATGCAACTTGCAACTGGACATTTTTGAATCATTCTTAATCCCAACTAAATAATTACTAATTTGTGTTTCTCTCAAATCTCACATTTTTACATTAGTGAAAGGGGCTTGTGTTATAATTTTTCAAATTCGTATTTATCAAATATCCAAAGCTCATTTTTCCCTCTAAATTATCTTTTTTGAAGAAAAATTACTCAGGTCAGAAATTTTATTCACCAACTATACCATACATTAAAATCGAAACGATCTCAGAAAATGTAGAAAATGGAGAAATAATTTTCTAAATAATATTATCAATGAAGTCATCAAATCCCTTAGGACCTTAGGCCGACTCAAATCAACTCCAGATGTATATTAAAAATGTAGTGAAATCTCAATTCAACTTGAAACATTACATGTGATAATATAACTACATATGGAGAATGCCAGACCAAAGAAATAAAAGAAACTGACATTTTGCCAATACTTTATTAGTCAAAGGTTCAATATGACAGAATCAATGCGCAACATATGAACCATAAAGTAGATGATGACTTTATCAAAAACCGTTATCTATTGACATTTAAGCATGATTGGATTTTAAAAAGATCAATGATTCGATAAAGTGATGAGTAAAAAATTTAATGAAAGTTTAAATGCGAAACTCAAGACTTTGTTACAATTTAATACATTAAGTCAGATAAAATTAGATAATACTCCATATTATCAATCATAATTGAATGAGATAAATGGTATGATTTAATGTTGTCGATCTGTCTACTCATTTTTAAGGACTGAAAAAATAAAACTGATTCAAGATAATAATATTTTCAAACTAATAATTTTGTGAAAATGACACAGTTTTATCAGACTCACGAAAAAGCAGTTTGATCTATATAATGACTTGGGTGATTTGCCTTGTAATTTCTTGGTTCAAATTGATCTCAAAATGTTCTGTGACTAAACTCTGACTTTGATTCACAAATGATTGATCAATCCACTTGACCCGAAATAAAAGTACTTCAAATAGTGTAATGGGAATGTAATTCCACTTGACATGAATCAATTTTTCAAGTAAAGTCAACTTAGACAAAAGGGCTGATGACTCAATTCTATATTTTTGAATAATTACAGCTATACTCATAAACATAATATGTAATATATAAGATATAAAACATACGATCAAATAATAGTTCCAAATTAGGATAAAATTTCTGGTTAACGTTAACAGTGGTTCCCAACATTTCATGATAAATTACTCTTCTAGCTTTTTTCAGATCCCTGTATACTTCCCTCACAATGCATAGAAACAAACTCTCTTTCCAGTTTATGTGCAGTCTTTAACGGATTCTTAGCAAGTGTTACACCCCAAATCACACTCTGGCTTTTGCAAAGTATGAACAGTTTATGTCTCAAGAAATACCGGTATGTATTGCGATAATACTAAATAACTTCACCAAAAAAACCAACCCCCCCCCCCAAAAAAAAACAACCAAATTCTTCTGTGGAGAGGAATTCATCACTTGTATTCATCACCCATAAATTCCTCATTTGATTAAAATAGTTTACTTTCAAACTACAATTTTTTTTCTTTCTATCAACGTACCTGCAATGATTCTCAAATGATAAGATGACAGGATAATCGGAAACTACAAATGCTGTTTCGTTAATTGCATGAATAACGTCAATAAAATTAACATCCGTGCACATTGCTTTTCCGTGAGTTACAATAGGTTCACCTTGATTTTCACCTTTTCCGTCCCAACAGTCAAGTTCAATACATCTAAGAAAAATGAATACACAGAAAATGTTATTTGAGTAGGCGATGCCAAACTGAAAATATTCCGGTCCTTCTGGACTTCAAACAAAAAAATACATTTACCTTTGTAATGTAACAATGTAAAAAACAGAATTGTTTTCAAAAATCCCAGCTATTGAATCTATATGCATTTTATATTCTACATTACTATATCCAACCCATACCCGACATGGATTAGTAATTGGACGAGAGGCCGTAATTAATCATATAATTAAGATGTCCGATTGGCTTTCCACTCCCTTGGGATGAGTAAATCCCATCCTAATCAAAATTTTCATAGAAAAATAATTAATGACCCAAATTACAGAATTATAGTTTAGAAAAAATCAAGATAAAAATCTGTGGAAGGTATGCCATCACAAAATTGAAAAAACAGTGATACCTCGATAGTCAAACGACTCAATACTCGAACAATTTGGTAATCGACCAAACAATTCCAGTCAAAAATGCTGCAGTACTTGAACGAAAATTCGGTGCTCGAACACCCGAGCGCGCCATCGAGTAAGATGACATCAGCGAACCGTGCATCTTAGCTGGCTCTTAACCATTCAACAAGAGAGCGATGCTTAATTATATGGACACGAAAGCCAAAACAAAGTAGTGCGGTATGCAATCTGTCACAGGAGACTACCGATATGGCAATCATCACGACAAATTAGGTTTGACTACGAAGGTATCAGAGTATTCTGTCGTAAGTCCCAAACAAAATTGTTCAATCATAATTGTTGTTTACAATCAGTGTCTCCATATTAATATTGATTATTTAAATGAAACAGAAAATGTCTTCTATTACAATACATTACGTACAAAAGTAAGAATAACTTGTGTCCTACTTAATCTTAACATAGTAATAATCTTTTCCAATCCTAATAAGTTGGATGCTTAGATCAATATTTGGAATGAGAATATTGATTATTTGTATAAAAAAGTAATAATCATTGACAAGTTTGTTGTTATTTCAACAAATATTATTAAAACATAACCAATATTGATATGGATTTGGGCATCGGTGCAGGTACGTACAATAAAGCCTGAGAGTGTCAAGTTTGACGACAAAAATTGTCAAATTGACCAAATTAAGATTTAAAACCCCGAAAACCTTTTGACTGCGATATTGTTAAAAAATGCAGTAATTTTGATTATTTTCTAAAAATGTATTTTCATAAAACTAGAGATCTAATTTATAAATTTAGGGGAAAAAATAATTTTGATTACCCTTTTTAATAGCATTGATATTTAATGTAAATAGAGATAATTCAAAAACTAGGGGGTTCACAGTCTTGAATTTTTTTTTTTAATTTTTGAATTGCGAAGGAATTTACTGATACCATATATATAGTTTCTTGGCATTACAGGAATATTAAATAAAATAAAAAAAACTTCAACAAACACTGATTAAAATAAAACTCCATAACAAATTTTCGATTGTGACAGAATTTTATGAACACCTTGTATATCCCAGCTGATGGGGTTCAATATAGACATTAGAAAATAAATTCTATTTTACCTGCACCCAGATAATAGGACTTGTCTGTACATATCGACGGAAGAATCCCCGATAAATTGTCGACCATTGAGGTAAGTATTATGAGATGAATTAATTGAATAATGACACAGTGGTTGATCCATGTCTTCGAATACAGTCAATCTATCTCGGAACACAGATGAATTTTCGAGACCAGAAAGATAACGACTGAAACCTTCTAGGGTCAGTCGACCTATAAAATAATATATAGGAATTTAAAAAAAAATTCCAAGTCCAGAAATTAGTACTCTAAATCCTAAATATCCTCACCAAGTTAAATATATATACCGGTAGGCCTACATATAACAATATTACCATATATTAGTCTTTCCTCTAGTACATGGATAATGTTTATGATTTGAGATAAAGAAAGAGAGCAATGCTCAAATATATGGACATGTAGGTCATAAGGGAAAAGGCTGATATTTTCCAACGGTACCAATAAACACCAGCAATAACAACAACAGGAATTCATCAAAACTATACTCATCAGAACCAGTACATTGAGGCCTAACAGTGATTGCGAAGGAAACTTTTCTTTCGGAACAATAATTACCCCAACAACAAGGATTTGGCAAAACAATTCATAGATCCACTTTACATCCAATAAGAAGCCTGTACTATGAATATTAAATTTTTGAAATCTGGATTAAATAGGGCTCTGTCATGGAACTCAATATTTTACCATCAATTTAACTTTCGTAGCTTTTTCTAAGCATTGGCCTAAAGTTGAAATCCAATATATCTAAATTCACTATCAGAAGTTCTGGGACGAAGATTTGATGCTCCTCAGTATTATCAGTAGCCACTCAAATATGGGAAGGCGAAGCTACAAGATTTGCATCTACCAGGACAAAAATATTTTCATTTTGGAGAAGCTGCCAAATTTCTCACCATCTTAGATTATATAGCGAATATGGTCTAAGTATGGCTCAAACAAATTGTAAATACAAATGTAGATCAAATACACCGAAATTATCAATCCGTTATAATAACCTATAAAAATTGATTTATATTATTTTTTAATTAAATTAATTTATTATTTATTTTAATTATTTAATCTCATCCTGAGAATTGGGATATAAAAACCAATGACAATGTGATTAATTCCTTTCAAGCCATTTCACAATCTTTAATAGGATTAACAGAATCTCATTTTAAATTTGCAGAGTAAAAAGTAAATGAAGAAAGGTTTAAAATAAACTAACAACTCTGAAATTCTGTCACAGGACAAATTAAAATATACAGTTTTATCACAAGCGATTTTATCACAACAAGAAGAAGGAAAGAAATACTAACAAGATGAAGATAAACAACAACAACATAAAAAACAAAATGATCCATGAGTACATTTGTGTCCAATAAACGAGCTAGTTATCTATACATCAACAAAGTAACACTTTTTATTTACCTTTTCTAGCCAGCTCAGGATCAGGTTCATGTTTTTTAATTAATCGTTTCGTTCTTTTATGGTCATACATTGGATCCAATATTTCGTTGAGTCTTGGATCTCTTTGATGAGAATTCATCCACTGAGCTAGTGATCCAATTTCAACATAACTACATCTAGCTCCACCGATTCTGTTAAAAGCAGAGAGAAATGGGTAAATTGTTGGACATGAAGGTTGATCCTTCACTCTGATTCGTGGATGGACTGTCACAGAACAATCATCAGACCCAAAAAGCTCACAAACAATCACTAGATACCCGCTGGTGGAAATCAGTCTTAAACTACTGGAAATTTGAAATTGACGGGTCTATCTTTTTTGTTATTATTCCAATTTTCATCATTCAATTCGAATTGGGTTAGAAGTCACTATACAGGGTGTCAAAAAATTTCGCCTGATTTTGCAGTTGCAACAATGAAAAAATTTGTTTATTAATAGTGTTTATAGGGCTTGTAGTTCTCATTTATCATACAATAAAATTTATTTTAACTTACAATTGTTGTTACTAAAAATCGGGTGAAATTTTTTTGACACCATGTATATTAGAAAGAATCGCTTAAATAGGAGAAAGTTCTTTTTTCCAACAACAACAACATAGTAAATAATCTATATTCAATACAGAAGTAATATACAGGGGGGTTGCTAGAAAAGCAGAAAATTTGAAGGTCCGATGAGATCATGAATAAAATGCGTGCTTACTCATTTTTTTTTCAATACGTTTTTATTTATTTTAGGTTCTAGGTTGTTTAGGTTGATATTGTAAATAAAAATATTATTACTATAACTTACAAATTATTGAAGACTTGTGAAAGATCAGTTCTGTTGCATGATTGTTTATAAAGTTGATAATATTTCTCGAATGTAAATTCTTTCAAATCGATTAAGTCATTCTAAAACACATCAATAAGTAATTATGAAAAAGAAATGTATCATAATCAAAATATCTGAAAAGCTTCTTATGTATTTCAAACATAAAAATGAGAACTGGTATGTTAATTTCGTAAAATATAGGAGTCAAGGTCACAGATTTTACAAATGGCTATTTTGGTACTGTAAAACTAATGCGCTAACGAGGGTGTGATTGAGATACACAAACACTACTTTTGTTCACAATTTTTGGGGTTCTCCACTGAGGGTAACCTTCACCTTTGGGGTAAAAATCAGAAATAATACGTTGTTATCTACAGTAATGTTGTCCAAACCCAATCAATTTTAGGGATTAAAGCTACATTCCTAATTCTACGCGGAAATTCATTTTCCAAAGTCGTTTTTGCACAGTGAGTCAGTACTGTTATGAAAAAAAAAAATTTAGGGGTAAATTTTGAAATTTGTGTAAGGGTAATAAAGAAAGATTGAGAACCCTTCCTGTAGATAGTGGAAATGATTAAATCAACATATATATATTTAAGCCTGTTTCAAGTTCCATCAAAATTGAAGATGTATCACACAGATCACATTTAAAATTAAAATGGCTTACTTTTGTATTTGGAAATCCCATTTCTTTCAAAGCAATGAAAGCAGCCTTTGAATTTCTTCCTGAGGAAAATGGTCTTGCAATACTGAGAAAGAATTAAAATTAAACATTGAACAGTTATAAACAGAATTGTAAGTTATAACTTTTTTTAATATTATGTTTTGCATGTTTCAAATGACATTGGCATGCTGGACCATATATGTCTATCACAGACTTCGTTTCTAAGTGTGTGCTGTGGCACACTGGGCTTATAATATAAATTATACTTATATCATTCAGCTTCTCTACTCTCCTTTCATTTTATTGAATTCTCGCATATTTTAGGACATACAACATAACATGATATTATAAAACAGCGATTGCAAATTGTCAGAAATCTTTCGGTTTTGATCGAAAATAATTATAGTAGAAACTAGGAGTTTCAGCCAATCTTGTATTGAAATATTATGCAATCAATTTCCTGTTAAATTTTATATTAAAATTGGAATTTTGATTCAAATAAAATTTGAATATTCATCTTCACACACAATGAAAGTTTTCAATGCACAATGATAGAAAATGGAAATAAAAAAAATAAAAATGCTAAAATCATTTGTCACAGACAGGCACAGGGTACTACGTTACCTAAAATAAATAAGATTTGAACCATAATTTGCCATAATTCACCAGAAATTGAGTTCTGATAAGAAATCTTGTTCCTTTTCTTTACTCATGGTATAACCAAAAAACAACAAATTAACGATTTATATCTATCCACACTTGAAACATGTATGAGTGAATCATAAGCATCCTGTAACATGAGACAGAAATAGATAACAATCTGACGCTGGTAATATGTCCAAACCCTGTCATTATTACTAAGATTGTATTCCTGATTATTTCCTGTACAGGCCAATACAAAGGCAATTTTATCGATAGATATTTTATAGTGGTCAAATACAGGCAGATCTTGTTGTGACAAAACTTTGGATATCTGAATAATATTGTATAGTGTATTATATCTAGAATTTAAATTTCAAAAATCATATAAATTTTCTATGTATCAGCAAAATCATAAAATAATACTACAAACATGATAAATTTTACATAAAAAAGTTATTACAGTATTTGAATTCCTAATAGTTTCAAACAAGGATGTCCAATACTGGAACTATTACCGGAACTGTACTATTTTATTATTTGAATCAATATTTTCGAATAGAAAATGGTGGGAATATTTGAAATTATTTGAAAAAAACAACCCCGGTTTCAAATTATATTCATACTAAAATTAAATTCCTCAGATATTTCTATTTAAAATCACAACACAATCTGACATTTTTTAGGGAAATTTGCTCAAAGCGCCCTCGCTGAGAAACATAAGAAAACGATCTCTGAGCGAAGTTACGGATGATCACTACGTACCAAAAGCTACTCAGACTTGAAGAAGTTCATGTCAATACATGAAAACAGTTATCAAACATTGACTATAGATACCCAATATATATAAAATTTACTGGATATCTAGAATATTGAAAGAATTACTGAATTCAACAAAAAAGATTGGTCACTAAAATTTAGATACTTGCTTGGAACATGATTGATACATGGTTGGAAAAAAATTGGAATTTTAGTTAATTAAAACTAAATAACAATGAGCAGGTTTTAATGACAGGTTATTATAAAACCAAGGATGTGTGTGTTATATAAAACTGAATCTCAAAATAAAACATTACAGTTATAATATGATATTCAAGAGATTTGAAATAATGAAAAATTTCAGACATTCAATAATAAAGAAGGAATATTATGACTAGAAACTAGACATAACACAATATTATATTGGGTCCATCAAAATTAGTAAAAAAATATTTGGAAGCGAAAAAAATGTATATTCAATAATAAGACTAACCTTTTTACAGATATTTTTTCATTCTTGTTTGCAGAGAAACATAATTTCATCCAACTAGATAAGATAAATTGAAATAAAATGTTAAATGAAAAATAGCACTAGATATAATAATTATCTGCGATAGCAATGGCTTGTTACCCGGGTTACCGCCGGGTATACTTATGTAATAATGCAATTTGATTTTTATTTAGTATTGTGTTACTAAAATAACGTCACATACACAAATAAAATTGAAAATAATACAGTTGTTTTGCTATTCGCACGAGTGAACAATATTGTTTTCCCGCAATATATAACAGAGGTGCAAGAAACAGATGATGATTTGAAGGATTTTAATAAAACTGACGATTGCTTGTGCAGAGACTTGTTCTGAGCAAAGGTGTGATCAACATAATGTGTATTAAAAGTTGAAACAAAAATGGTGAAATACATTCCTATCTTCCCGAATAAAAAAGAGTGGATAATTGTAGCCTTTATCTAAAAGATACCAGTAGGCATGGATATTTTATCCCATGCACCGTCATTTAAATGACCTTTTCCGGGAAGAGCTATTAAACTGCTTCACCAGCTACACTTGAAACAAAAGTGCCATTGCGAGGTTTCATCCGAGTAACATCATCATTATTTATCACCAATATATAAAGATTGAGATTATATGTGTTGAAAATAATGAAGATTGAGGGTAAGCAACGATGTCAAGAGGGGTTTAAATTTTGAATCAAATAAATGAAGAAAAAGTAAATAATTCTATTATCCAATAAGTGTGCCAAGAGCAAACAATGTTTATGAGAGTCTAATTGAAGTCGATCGACCATAAAAATGACAATTTATTATTACGTGCTTCAAGTAGGCTCAAAATTCAATAAAGTGGAAAGAAAAATATTAAAAATACTCCTTCATAATTCATGCATAACTATTTTTATGGAAACAGATGAATGAAAGTAAATTGGTTATAGGATTAATATGTTTATATAGATTCAATACTGCATTTTATTTTATTTTAAATTGAGCCAATTTTATTTCTTCTTCTATGCAGATCCCAAATTAATTATGGCAATTTAAACCGATAAAATGATAAATGACTGTGATATTTTTCCAGAAAGTGTTAACAAAAATAAAATGAATGATTTTGTTCAAGTTGTGATTTCCAGAAAATATAAATTTTTGAGAAAAAATAAAATAATAAACAGACTAAATATTCATTACTGTAATGTATAAAACAAGCGTTTGATTTGAAAAATGAAGACAATAAATTTTTTATTTTGTATGTGTTGAAGAAACATAGTATTATTTTAACTGATGTTGTTTACCGATTAAGAATCGCCAGCTGGCTAAGCTCGGGCATAACATTGGTTAATAAATATTTTTGTATGATTGTACGATTGCTATTCTTTTTTTAATATTTACTTTATACTGCAACCTGTCAATTCATTCATCATGCAAAAAGCTTGTGAAAAAAAGATTGACAGGCTGAAGATTAGCAACAATGGAAAACTCATCGTTGTTTCCTGACAGGGAAAAAAAGGTACAGACAATCAGTGTATTTAGTGAATCATCACCCATCAAAATATCATGACAGCTTCGCCAAGCAACTAATGATATACAGGGTGTCCATATTGTCCCTTTAAAATTTTGTTATGAAGTCAGTTCTCAATAAATCTTAACCAGGTTTGTTCTTTATTTAATCAGTACTCGTTAAAGTATTTTTACTTCATTTAATAATACATCTATGGGGGCCAAAACAATATATGTTATCGATAAAATCCCTTTGCAATTTTTTAAAATTTAAGACTTTATGAACACCCTATATTTCCAGCACAGCATTTGTAAAATTTCTCTCTCTGATCTGTTTATGAGTTTCCCCCAGTGCCTCTCAGTTTGTGCTAAATAGTTATTTTTCATAGCATGTTTAAAAACTTAATAATAAAATGATTCGGATGTAAACAAATGGAAATTTATATAAGAAAAATCACCTTTTTTTCAAAGCCATCGCAAATGATATATTTCTTTGTAAAGGGTTATGAATAAGTTTACGAAGTCCAGCAATCCATTTCTAAAACAAAATGATCAATTTTATTTTTCCAAAACAAATAAAGCAAAAAGAAAAACAATTTCAAAAATAAAAAATAAAAATTATTCCTGTGCAAAATATTTGCATCGTCATATATGGTCTATATATATATGAGGAACCATGCTACAGCTATTTCCTGAGCTTGATAGTGAAATTCCATGAAATATTTTTCGTTAAATGTGTTTACTTCAACAATATGCATGACGAATGTAAACTAATAACTTGAAAGTGCTTTGATCTTATCATTGTATATAGTCTGTGGGTGGTCGTGGTTTCCAAAACAAAATCGAAACAATTGACATATATGATGAAGTAGAAACATGCTCATAGGGATGTCCAAAACCATATAATTTTTTACTATTTATCGTAATATAATATTTTTGATTAAGAATTAAGATCACATTGTAAATTGAGTCATGTTTATAAAAAAATGTTTGAGAAAATTATTGCAAATTCATAAATTTGTTGTTCAGGGATAACAAGGTTCCACATAATAACAAATAAAAAATTGATAAAAAATCGAAATTAGAGGTATGTTGCTTACTTAATTAAGCTGCTTAGGTCGAAAATATTAATTTTTCATAATTTTTCATCGTTATGGAACAACAATATTTTTAACATGTATTGATTAGACGTTTATAGGAGTTTTCTAAAGGAATTATAGAAATTATCAAAATTTGAAAAAAATACATTTTACACTCAAAATTTTTAAAAAATTGTTTCTTGCAAATTTGTCACAGTCTGGTTCAAAACACAAATTCCCCTGAGACATTTTTATTGATTTAACTCAACATAAGATCTCCATCATCCTATGCGGGGCACAGAGCCAATTATCGAATGAATGTCGTTCCTAAGACAGCATTCATGCATTCATGCATGCATGTGACGAGCATGCACCAATTGATAATATATCGAAAAACTTGAAACATGAAAATATTCCTCAAGGGGATATTTGAACTGAGAAATTGATTTTATGAAAGGACTTAACGTCACCTATGACAAGAACATATTAAGAAATAAGAATGAAAAATCAACAAAAATATGAAAAAAAAAGTTATGGAGCATCATTTCTTGAACCTTTTTGAACCCTGGTTCTATGACGTAAATAATAAGATTGTTTCAGTATTCTCTGTATATAATTACAGTGATTATATAATTTAATCATTTGATGGGTGTCAAACACAATGTTTGTGATTTAGAATGAAGGTGAATCCCACCTAAAATTTGACCCCTAAGTATACAGTTTTTTAAAATTCATATAATATTGACTATGATGTGCCGGTATATAAATTTTGGACAAACATAATCATTTTACGTTTTCAAACATGGTCTACCAGAATTTCAACGTATCAAATTTACCTTAAGCATTGGTTTTTAACCGGGTTTCTGCAAAACTTTGAGGTTCCGCAACTTTATGCTCAAATCAGAGGGTCTGATCACATTTGCCACTATTATGAACTTACTACTACACTTTGATTCATATTGTGTTCATTCAAGCATAACTATCAGAATAAATGTCAATCTTTTTACCTTTGACGTTGCTGCATCTTCAGCCAAGAATTGAAACGTGGAATAATTGACCATATCAGCTCCACATACAATAACCACCAATCTATCACTGACTGTTCCATCTCTGACTTGGGATTCCAGCAAAGTATAAGCTTTCTGATCCTGTTTAGAAAGCAAATTAAATTGTAAAGTCAGAGAAAAACTCATCTAGCTTCCAATACAAGCTATTAAAAAACCATGCCTTGCCTATCAGTTAGAAATTTCTAATCCGACTCCCATTAATGACGTTATTACAGATAACAAAACAATTTGCAATTTTCAATTGCAATTTCAGAGTGGCGTAGTGGTTTAGTGAATAAAGCGTTAGAATAACTAAGATAGCATCATAGAATAAAATCTAGGATTTGAATCCAACATCAACCATCTCACTGGAAAGGCAATGCCGATAATTGAGAAGTCAATGCCGAACCAGTAAGATTCTGATTCTTCCAACCTATAGCAGCTACTTACCTAGCAGTGCTTGGCTGTGTAGAGCCTTGTTCAGAGCAAGAGGCGTATAAATACAGGGTGTCCAAAAAGTTTGGCCCGATTATAAAGTCTTTATAATCAAATGTTATTTTTTTTTTAATTTTAAAAAAGACTTATAGTCAACTCGTTTCTAATTGGATGTTATAGATGTTGAATATTGTAGTCCCCATTTATCATACAACAAAATTTTTTCTTAATTTTTTTATGGAGATTTTGGTCAGGAATCCTCACTTATACAATTCTGAAATTTAGGCTCCAATATTCAAATTTCTCCCGCCAAATGAAAATAGGAATTTGGCTATGACTACCATTCCAGTACTTAGCAAATTTCTGGAAACCTGTTAAATACCCAATCTCTTAAAAATATATTTATGTGTTCTAGTCAGAACATATAACTTAATTTTAAAAAATATTTTTGTCTATATATCAATATATTATGTAATTGTTGGAGAAATGCTACAAAAATAATTTGAGTGAAATTCTGTAAATAAACCAATATCATCATAATACTGAAATGTCAAATCAAGAAATTCTAAATTTAGGTATTTCAATGGTAATAAAATTTCTATCCACAATATAATTATAATAATTCCCGATATTTTGACTAATTTGAATTCTATCCCTCATTTTAGCTGTAGAAAATGTGTTCTTCTTTTCCCATTATTGTAATAAGAAAATAGTGAGAAACTAACAAATCCAACTATAAATCATCACAAATATTTCATCATAATACTTTCATACCTTCACCTGGTAGCCGTTATTACAAATTTCTCTGATTTGGCTGCAGTCCAGCAATTGAGCTTCCTAAATATAATAAAAATATATAAATTCAGCCCCTTTAATGTCAACAATATTCAATATTAATAATATAAATTATAACCAACTCCCAAGGTCTCGTTTCAATTTCAATTTTGTTATGAAGTCAGTTATCAATATATCTTAAACAGGTTTGTTTTATTTTAATCAGTGTTCATTCAAGTTTTTCACTCCATTCATAACACCTGTAATGGCCAACAAACAATATGATATTAATAAATTCCCTGTGCAATTTAAAAACATTTTAATACATTATAAATACCCCATATTACCAGATATAAAAACTGAAATACAAGTTATGTTCAAATATACTATGTATGTTGCCCAAAATAGGAAACAATCACACTCCAAATGTTAATAAAAGTTAAAAATACCACAATAATGAGCTTAAAGTTAATAAAGTCCCAATATACATAAGAAAAATGACATTGAGTCATTCATTAAGTCTTCTGCCTAATACAGATTATCTTCATCTGTAGACAGTTTAATCCTCTCTAATGCTTATATTTGTCTATTTCATCCAGTAATTTGAAATTTAAATAACTCGTATATAATGCAAAAATCTTTTCAATTATCAAACTTATTTTGAAATGTATCTAATCTTCAATTGGAACAAGGCTCCATATAAGTAGCAGCCAAAAGAAATCAGGTTTTAAAACCATCAACCAAATGATCGGATGCCAAAACAGGTACAAAAACTGTAAAACCACTAAGGCGATGGTTTCCAAAACATAAGCCTTAACAGACGAGCAAAGACGTCAAAGTTTTGTGGGCAAAATTTGGTTTTCTCAAAGTTGAGAGCTGAAGAAACAGTCAGTATTTCCTCCAACCTGGGGCAGAAGTTTTCGTCAATCAGCATTCATAAGAGCTGGGAGTTTCATTTAAGGAGGAAAAATTTCCACAGTTCTGTCTCCCTGTGATAATTTATTTCTTGGATCAACATGAATCAAATTATTTTAATTTTAGTTCAATTTTCAATCAAATGATTGTTTATAATTTTTATGAAACATTAAATCAAAACGTTCCAAACTAAATTCAGACCTGTTCCTGATTTCTCCATATCAAAAAGAATCCATGTTGATCAACCTTGATCAAACAGCGTTGAAGAGATTGAAGTCCTGATGTAAATACCTAGAAAATAAAAAAAATAAAAATTCAATAAATAGGCTATTCAAAATACATGGTAAACATTACATGAAATTCCCAATTAAAAACATATATTTTCAGAATTTTATTAAGTTCAGCTTACTCTTACAATCTGAAATAACCAACCTGTATAGGCAGACACTGATATGTAACAATATTCAATTTATCAGCTCATTTTTCGCCATAAAACAGACTACACAGCGATTGGTAACAAACCAAATTAAAATACCAATATTTATATTTGGTAATTTTTTACAAAGAATATATAATCACAACTTAGAAATGTCCATAATAATGGATTACTTAATAAATATGGTGTATAAATATTGCAAATTTTTGATTTTTTTTTTTCTGATATTTTACTGATCAGAGTACGATATCAATACATCATGTATTGCGATTTTTTGAGAAATTTAAAGTTTGCATCAAATATAAAATATGATGCTGCTTAATTTACATCTGAGGTTCGGGCAAATTTATTTACTTCAGACAACGGTAAAAAATGAATTATAAACAATTATACAACTGTTGGGTTTTATAAAACTTGATCGTTAAGTATTTAAGTGATTTTGGCAAATTTCATTTGTTGAACATCCCCGACTTAAAATATTCAATTATCAGAAATATTAATACAGAATTAATACAAAACTATAGCCAATTCTGATTACAATCAATATTAAATGTATTAAAAAGAGCACTATTCTAGGTATTCTTCGCCTTCATCCTAAACCAGAAACAAATGATGTTATACCAAGCGTGTCAAATGATAGTGACAAGGTATTATGATTATATATACAGATACCGATATTATTAACCTTATTATTTACGTCATGGACCCAAGGTTCAAAAAGGTGAAGTAATGTCTTTTGAACAAATATTTGAGGATGTCCTTGTGAAGAATTTTAATTAAATTAATCATCATCAATTCTGCATCTATGAATGCTAAATTTGCTAAACTTGAATAAAAGAACATACATCTTGGCATAGTTGAAAATAAGCTCCCTTTTGAAGAAAGTCTGGTACATCCACATGCTCATCCAAATCATTCAAGTTGGCCATTTCTAAATCTTGTGCTGTTACAGTTCCAAACAGCAACTCCAAACAACAAACAAGAAGGTGCTACACGAACCTATCACAGTATTAAAGATATCGTTACCAGTTCTACTTTCAAAAAAACTGCACATGAAAATATAAAATAAAAGTAAGATAGGAATGGAAAAAGAAAAGTCGTTATTTCAGCTTAATTACATGACTAGGGCTGGGCATTTTCGAATACCTTGTGATTTCAGAATCGAATCGAATAATTTTTTCGAATCGAATCTCGAATACTTGAAAATATATAATTGTAAGCGACTTTATTATAGTAATTGGTTCCCTCAACCAAGGAATTACTGGAGACATAGAATAAATCACTCAGATAGATTACTGAGCGTTCACACAGAATACCTCACTACAGGAAATAGTCATATGTTAGAATTTCGTTGAAAAAATATGACTCCAATGAAAAAAAACTTGGGGAATTCACCTCGACCATTAGCGGAAAGATAAAAACAAGATGGCGGCGATTCGAGGTTTAGCTCTGAACCGATTCGAATAATTTACTATTCGATTCGAAACGCCCACCCCTATACATGACTAACCACAGACTCTCATGCGGCTATGTCATTTATTGGATTAGTTAACTAGTTATTGGATTCAGATGCATGGAATTTGTATGATTTTATAGTGTTGCTTGAGTCTTTACAATTTGCTACAATTTGACCTAGTATTAAATGGAACATGAAATAGCAGCATTGGCACTTTACTAATAGCTTACTACTACATAATAATATTTGAAATGAAAAAATAAATAAACAAGGCAAGAATTGTTTCGGCCACTGATCCAAACAATAATTAATAATTGACAATACAAATCTCAATCCAAAACAATAAACCAAATTAGTAAACTGAATGAGTTAACGAGATTAAGAACATATTTATATTAAACCAGTACTATATATTTCGTTTATGAGCCATATATATTTCCTGCCTAACAGCAATTAACATCTTCAGCTCATGTATATAAGGGAGAAATACTTCCTGAATAGTTCACATTGCAGAAGTGAGAAAAGAAGGGAAAAAGTGATAGTTATGTCACTTCATGTAAACATATTTGAAGCATATATAAATCAGTTAGATTATAAGAAATTAGCTAATCAATGTAAACAAAACTATTCATATTTTACATACAAATAAATAATAGGTTTTTGATTATATCATCAAAACAAGATTAATTTTCTGATACTGAAGCGTAAAATTCTTTTATTATCATAATCAGATCTCTAATTTATATAGCACCGGTAATCTATTATCACAAAATACAAAATTAAATATGATAAAGTTAATCAAACCTAATTATGAAAGTATTACCAATAAGCAAATCATTATGAGAGAATTCCATAATATCAAAACAACACAATAAGATAATCAACAGAAAAACATAATCGTATATTTTAGTAATCAATAATACCTATTCCCATTCCATGATTTAATTTTATGTATGTTTGTATGAAGGGATACTATTTTTGGCAAGTGTAATTAGCAGAGCAAAAAACATAATCATAAAAAGTTTATATTGATGACAAATTACTATAAATGCAAATTATATACTTACGTCAGCAATTCGTTGACAATTTATGAATTGAGAAATGAACTATACACAAACAAAATTAGTATATGAAAAACATAGAAAGTGCATTATTTGAAACTACGATAATATGCAAAAGGGCTTGTGAAAAAATCAGTAAATTTCAGTACTGTTTTATTGAAAGATTTGCTTAGTTTGTATTCAGGTCACGATTCAAATCAAATTTGACGAAGCATAACTCTAAACAGATCTGATTATAATAAAATAAAAAGAAACCTTTTTAACAATCATAATTAGTATTTTTATGAGTGAATTATCAGAAGATGAGAATGAACGTTCTTTTTTGCACTCTAAAATATATAATAAAGTATATAGTACTATTTACCAAATTTATAAATAAAAATCTATCATTTTTTTTCCAAATTTATTTGTACATTTATATTAAAATTTAGAGACTAAATATGAGTCAAATGCCCTCTGACTAACACCATACAGCCATACCACAATTATTCATAGCTAGCCTTAGCATCATAAATGCTAATGAATTCACAATCATTTTCTATTTCATTATAATTATCATGACATTTCCTACAGAAACCTAATCAATTCAAACTTGTAATAACGTGTTATTAAGAGCATGCCATATAATTACATATTTAAAACCTATATCAAGGATGGCCTAGAAAAAAATACACCATAAATTAATTAAATTTATAAATAGTATTTACTAGCCAAATTAATAAAAGTAATTTTCCAGTTTTCTCCATTGTCAAAGTTTTTGAATGGAAGTTAACCTTTGATAATATATATTCCTGTATTAGTCTGGTACACAGATAAATTGCGAGACAAAATAAAAATATTCCAACACTACTTCATTCAGTTCTCACATCTAGCTGTTTATAAAACTGTAATAAATATAAGAAATGTACAGAAATAACATACTACTGAACTATCAGTTTCCCCTTCCTCTCATAAACATATGTCAAGTCCCATCCACTAACTCCATTCAGTTCAAGTAAATAACTACTGAGAATTTTAATTATTAAACAGACGCCAGCATTGATATCAGACGACGCCATCCTCAATAATGAATATTAATGCCTGAAATAATAGCAAGCCATATCGAATGGAGAGAAATTGGCGCGCCGTAATTGGCATAATTAACGTGTACTCTTTTGTCAATGTTACGTTCCCAACCTTACTGAGACGACGTAAAACATTACACCAGGGATTTGCTGTCCAACTTTATAAAAACAACTAAACAAGAACAGAAAATGAGATTGCTTTGCATGGAGCTATGTTTAGGCGATCCCAAGGCGACCACCCGTCTCGAGTGAAACCTCAACATAAACCTTTTATATACTGATATTGAATAGGGGTTAAAAATTTCTGATCAACTCACCAATGGCCAATAAAACACCCCAAACTTTAGTATTCAGTTGTACATATATTGCAAGCGTTTTTGCTTATCAATGTAAAATATCAATGTTTAAAAACAAGCAATCGTCCATTGCAATGACGACCGACGTAAACACGTGCCGCCTCAAAACACCGGGAAACACATGGTCAGTGACTGGGGAATTCCCGATAAGTTTTGGTGAAACTTGAGCCAGAAAAAAATAAAACATCGGCGTTTTTAACTTCTTATATCGGATGTCTTAGCGGCGTTTGGTTATTATACAATGCGATAACTGGTATTGGTAAACTAGTCTGAATATATTAAACATCAGGCTATCTCAATTTCAACATCACGTTCGCTATCAAAATATCTCAATCTGAACATTTATAAACGACAAAATATTTCTCTTCTAACTAAAGTTCTGCTGGTGATATTTTCAAGTACAGCACGATGCTCTCGAGAATTAGTAAATATGGTCGATATTCAGATCGTATGGAATTCTTGTGAACAGTAGAGCCTTATTTCTTTGTATTGATCGCCGTCTGTCGGTCACCATTGATTTGAAAAGCGCACGTCATTGAAATAAAAGAAGGGTTCGCATAACCATAGCCATTCAAAAATTGCGTAGCGAGCGATAACGGAGAAGCCAAGAAATACCTTTATATAATTCACTTCGATGCCTCGTAGGGCATGTAAACGAATAAAAAACATTATTTTGCTTTCAATGCGGTCAAACTGCTAAGTACATATCGGGGCTTTGTTGTACAAAAAGAGAAGTCTAAAAGCTGAGCAATGTCGATCTTCTGATTGAGAAAGTCAATACCAATATGACCTAATCATCGCTGCAGATCGATTTTTTCTTTCCAAACACCTTGATCTTTCCAAGCTTTCCTGAAAGTTGCGGAACCCTTTAAATAAAAACAGTCAATATTGTTGTGTACAAGTGGCCCTTTCTATAAAGAATACTTCTCATCAAAACTGCACACAGAAACCACCTCAAATATGGACGATGATATAAGATAAATGCTTCACTGTCTTAAACTTGGAGCATATATGATATCCCAAGAAAAAGCAGTGTCAAATGTTCCCTGAATTTTCATTTGACGAATTAACTTTTCATAAAACCATTGGCTCATATCAGCAAGATTTTGTGTTATATAGCCCAGAATCGCCTTTATATGCATTTCACTGTTGCTTTTTTATTTTTTTGTTTATCTTATACGTGGGAAGCTCATGTCCCTACCTGATCCAAGCAAACCTGTATGAAAAAAACGAGTGACGGACAGACCTTAACTAATCAACCTAATTCCCTTCCTCAGAGCAACAGAAACAACAAATATCAAAATTATCTAAACGTCATGTATTAACCAGTTAGGAAAGCATGGATAGTTTCACACAAAGTCACCAATATTCTAATCCACGATTGATATATCAAAAACTTCAACATGGCATGTGATTCAAACATTGGTGCTTGATTACAACTAGCCTGTTTTGACCACTAAACAATTGCACAAGGCAAACACCATTGGACGATTTTAATTTCTGCATTTATTTCAAACATAAACACCATATGCAGATCAATTGAAAAAGTAGATCAAGGTAAAATCACATTAACTGTGTTAAATGACCCCTGATAACATTGCCTATATCTTGGCACTTAGTAACAAGCTCATGAAAGATCGCACCCATATGTTCATACCCATCAACATTTAATTTACACATAGAAACATAATAAATCGCTAAAAATATAGCCTAAAAATAAAAGTAAAATAAATGAAATAAACGCCATTTTACCATGAAGATTTAGCACATTTTTTCATCTTTTACAAGTAATACCTTGGTATCAACCAAAATTCAAGTATAAAATACGTATGAAAACAAGACATTATAACCACATGAAGTAAAACTTGAAGATCTTCAAGATAACATCAAAAATGTTATCTTGAAGAACAAAATAAGTATAGACGACATTCAAAAAAAAACCATCCCAAGTTTACCATCAAATGAAAGCACTAAATATTACACTAAAAGTTCAGGTTACAGAGCACCACCCTGGTATACACCCTGTTTAGGTACACAAGTTAAGTATGTATTAGAGATATTACTAGTCCGACCTGATCTGAACCCAGTATGTAACCATGGATTTTTTATCTCTTTCATAAGCTTCATGAATTCAATAGAATGCTGTAGCTGGGGCTTGCTGCACTGGAAAACCACTGGTATGGATTATCATGTATAAAAATACCCATGATGACTTACGAGATAAAAGGGTGTGAGCATAATAACACTTATTCTGCCTACAACAGATGATGTTGCAATCCCAAAAATGTTGCAATTTGTTACGTGGATAACGGCAGTATTTGATTATGTGCTGGAATGGAACTGATGGCTTATTTTAGCAAGATAGAAAAGCATGAATTTTGTTGCTTGTAAAATCTAGCCCCAGAGCCTATAGAATTTACCCCTGATTGAGGACCCGTTTAAAACTAGCAATCGTAATAAAAGCCAGTAATTCGGAAGAATTTTAAAATTTGTGACATCTCTAGTATGTATATAATACAATGCATAGATGTTCAAACTTAAAACGCCTAGTCCAGAAGCATAGGCAGTAAAAAACTGAGACTCCAATTTTTATCCAATTGAGTAGATTCAATCACAATCGAAGTATTCATCTTTGTCACTGTCGTCGTCATCATTATTGTTATTGTCATTCTGTTGATTTCGGAATTTTTTTAATGTTTCCAAATCTAAATTTGAATTCCAATCAGCTTGTTGGTCGCTCTTTTTCTTCGGATCTTTATTTTGTTTCTAGGAATATATTGAATCGTTTTGTGTTGTATGTAATAAGATAAAACAAAAAATCTTCATCACCAATCCAGGGATGGCCAATTCGAATAAAGTATTCGAATGTATTCGAATATCTCGTCATTCGAATATCGGAATTCACGTTCATAAGAATATCGGAATTCACGTTCATAAGAATATCGGATATTTGTGTGACGTCACACATTTACGACGCCGCTTTCAAGACGTTTTCGTTGAATGAAAACATTCTCGATAGTACCTTGCGCGTGATTGTTTTCATCACTCATCAGCGTAACGTAATATTTAGGCCCGTAAACGCCTTTACAATTATGTTATTTTCTCTAAAACGAAAATTCACGATAACGATAACATTTATTTCATTTTTGTACACGCACGGAATTGTGAATCTGGTGAATACGTTCATCGGCGGCGAGTTTCTAAAGACAACGCAACTTTTTGATTGAAAAGCGGCAATTTAAAATACTGAAAATAAAACCGTAAACAATATAAGTTTTATTGAGGCCCGCGAAAATTTAAAAAACGCTTTTCTAGGCAGTGAACGCAAAATTTCGTGTGCCTCTGGCACACATTATGTTTGGTCGGCGTTTAGAAACATATCGTCACTAATTGAGGGCGGGATTTGCCTGATTATCCATTATTTTAAATTGTCGTCAAATATTTTCGTGTTAACACGATACAAGGTTTGAAACGCGACTTTTTCCCGGGTTGTGAGGATGTATATAAAATAATTAATCTAAAGTATATTCAATCAATTTTATTTTGATGAAATAAATTTTACTCTGAGATATTACAGCATATTTATGGATTTTTCGAACGGTTTTATCTAAAAATAATCCGAGTGGCAGCATTTCGATCGAGCGGAGTCAGCGAGCGAGTTAACAAGTACATCTAAATATTTGCCGAATTCGCAAAATACGTATCAAAACAATATTTAATCGGACAGTTTACCTCACGTTTTTATTTTTATGACCGCGGATTGCAATGGTATATAAGAGTGGTGAGGATTCCATTTTGTCGACGCAACCGCAGGTTAAATTGAAGACAATTAGATTAATAAAGCAAGACATTTTAAATATGCCTGTGTCGGTCACGAATTCATCACTTTGCACAACAGAAAAATATATATTCGTTGTTATATTATTTGTTGTAAAAGTCGACTCTTTCAACAGGTGGCATAATCGCGGCGATGAATATGTATTTTTAATTTACTTCTAAACTTTATATGTATATTCATTGTATGAAATGAATTATACTCTACACTTAACAGGATTTTATATAATTATTTTAGACTTTTCTAACGGCGATAACGAGTTGGCAAGATTGCAAAAATACGTAATAAAATTAAATACATCAGGCAGTTTATCTCGTAATTTTAGGTCACAGATCGCCGTGAACGGAATAGTAATGTTTCATTTTTGACGTAAGAAGAAGCAACCGCGAGTTACGTTGGACACATTAAATTTATATATAAAGATATTTTAGAATCTCGTAGTTGTCATGGATTGAATATTTTACGTAACAGAATGATCATCATTATACGCTGAAAAGGGGGTACATTTGAACCCATGACAATTGCACCTGTATGCTATTGCACCTATGGAATTTTTTTTGTTTCACGGATAGTTAAACCCATACTAACCCTAACCCATGGGTTTTAGCACCCGCATATAGATTGAACCCGTGGATATACGCATGGGTTCAAATGTACGGTCACTGCTGAAAAGACGACTCTTTTAACGAGCGCGTAATCGCGGTGGTTGTTACAGGCGGCAATGGGAAATTCCGATTTCGAAAATCCTGGCTGCGCGCTCGCAGTGATGGTCATCTTTTCTCTACTAATTTATTTCTAATTCCAAACACAACAATATTTTACACATAATAACCATATGGTTTTCATAAATTGATATACAAATATACTGGTAGGTAGTAGAATACTCTAGGCCCAAATATTAGAATTTTTAAAGGCATAATGGATTTTCGATTGGTATTGCCAATAAATTTTATTACTCTCAGAAAATATACACAATTATCTGAATACAAGTAGTATTTTTGTCAATAGACTTGACTATTATCGTAATATCATGGTACCAATGATAGAAAGCGTCAGACAACTTTTCATATGGTCATTTGTACAAAGTGATAAATTTTAATTAACTGACTGTGTCACAAGTTGCTATTATTTTTTATTGATAGCTATAAACTATCAATTACTTTGTGTACATATACTGTTGGTTCGTGGCTTCATTCTGATATTTCTATTGAAGCTTATTTCCTAATTTACTGGGTTTTAATCAACTAAAACAAAAATGTGTGATTTTCGATTTTAGAATGTATTCGGAATTCCAGATTCGAAAACATTATTTTAGAATGTATTCGGAATAGTTTAGTATTCGGAAATGGCCATCCCTGACCAATACGATCTTTACCACCGGTTATTGACCAATGATCATTTTTTATAACAGAAGAGCTCAAATATAAGGACACGAGGGCCAAAACGAAGTATTATCAAATCTTTTACAGTAAGGGTAGTCTGACCAACAGATCATTAAGATGTGATCACGGGACCACGTCACGCAATTTTTAAGTTTAATGACGTCATTCCACAAAACTATAAAGTGAAAAATGAAGTCCCCAAAGCTCACAGATATTTTTGAAATAAATAGAAATAAATAAAAGTAATAGCCTTCTAGCAACAACAAGCGTTAACCACTGAAAATTTCAAAGCAATTGGTCCAGTAGTTGAGAAAAGCGTTTTATCACAACAACAACATAATAACAAAACGATCCATAGTTCCAATTGCATTACAAGAATGCGTTACAGTCAAAGAATTGAACAAATTAGTCATTGCTAATAAGGTATTTTGAAGGCCCCCTGAGAACATATCTGAGCCCCGAACCAGGGGCGGACACCCGGGGGGGCGAGGGGGGGCGGTCGCCCCCCCAATAATTTCGCAAAAAAAATTAATACATGTTGTTTCCGCCTTACAAAATTATCATTTCCGAAAAGTGCGATAGTCAAGCGCAATTAAACAGTTAATAGTCACCGATATTATAACTGTTTTCTCACAATAATGTGGACCAGAGCGTCTTCGGAGCACCTCACATTTTCGTGAAACATGCGCGCCCGCACGGGTAATACTCCGTCTTCAAACGCACCGCCGATCACGCGCCACGGTTTTGCACAACTAATTCATTTTTGTACAATTTAATATGATTTTCTCATTGTCAAAATCTTTCAATAGTGTTATTGTTGGCACTTGCGAGAGAAGTGAAAGAGGCAAACTGTGTTTCATTACAACAATTAATTATTATCGCTAAAAAATTAACTAGATCTGAAGTTGTTATAAACAATTTTCACCGCTGGACGTATCTTTTCACGTTATGGATTTCGTGCAAGGCCCAGCATAATTTGCGGGCAAAGATCAAAGCATTTACTATGTCGAAAAGTTGAAAAGCGGCAATATAAAATACTAAACATAAAACTGTAAACAATATAGGTTTTGTTGAGGCCCGCGACAGTCTAAAAACGCTTTTCTAGGCATCGAAAATCGCAAAATTTCACAAATTATGTTTGCTTGACCTTTAAAAACATTTCGTCACTAAAATCGAAACACGGTCAATTGTGAGCGGGATTTGCCTTTTTATCCATTACTTTTAAATTGACGTCGAAAATTTTCGTGTTAACATTAAACAAAGCTGACAACGCGACTTTTCCCCGGTTTGTGATGATATATAAGATAATTAAAGTATTTTCGATCACTTTTTGTATTTATTTATGTATTTTTATTGTACTGAAATAACTTTTACTACGTGAGAATTGACAAAAAAGTTATGGATTTTTCGAAAGGTTTTATCTTTAAAAATAATCGAAGTGACAACATTGCGATTGGTGCCAGTGTTACAAGTAAATCTCAAATTTATCGAATTCGCAAAATAGCAAAAATACGGATCAAAACAATATATAAACGGGCAGTTTACCACACATTTTTATGTCCGCGGATTGCCGTCGTGTGTTAGAATGGCTCTTGTTTTGTCGACTCAACCGTAGTTTAAATTGAAGACAATTAAAATAATAAATCAAGACATTTTGAATATGCCCGTATCGGTCTTCGATTGATTACTTTGCACAAGTGAAAAATCATTTTTCGTTGATAAAGTCGGCTCTTTTAACAAGTGGCGTAATCGCGGCGACTGTTCCGCGTGGATTTCGAGGCGGTGAATTTGTATTTTTGATTTACTAGTATACTTTATAATTATTTTCATTGTATGAAGTAAAATTAACTATATGGGATTTTATACCAGATATCGAGATTTTTGTAACGGCGATAACGAGTTCGGAAGATTGCAAAAATACGTATCAAAATTATATACATCAGGCAGCTTATCTCATATTTTTATTTCCCCATATCGCCGTGGTACTTTAGTTTAGTAATATTTTTATTTTGACCTAAGAAGTCGCAACCGCGAGTTACGCTGCACACAATTAAATTAATATGTAAGGACATTTTAGAATCTCGTGGCTGTCATGGATCGACAGAAAAAACATTATACGCTTAAATAGGCGGCTCTTTTAACTAGCGCGTAATCGCGGTGCTTGTTGCAGACGGCAATGGGAAGTTCCGACCTCAAATTTGTTATTTTCTGTTTGTTAGCAAGAGCCGTGGGCTAATTCTCGCGGAATTCAAGAAATTGGTTCAGTGACGCGCAAGTTCCGTGTCCGAGCAAAGCAGCCTAGGTAATCGATATATGAGTAGCAAAATGACATGCTAATACTTAGAGAATGACATCGACAGGTTATTGTTACGTGACGATACACGGCGCGGTGTTTTTCGGTAGGCGATCCAATTTCGCCCCCCCAAAATTATGGAAAGTGTCCGCCCCTGCCCCGAACGTGGCTAATGGTCTATTATGAGAAATCTTGTTCTATGAAGATGGCTTGGTGGCTAGTGGAGCTCGGGCTCAACCAGTATGCCATCATTCAACCTACAACAATGTAATAAATTGGGTGGGCGATCCAAAAATATTAGCTCTCTACGAATCAGTCCACGCCTTGTTTGAAGTGAAGGTACGAAAAACACTTTTTGAAAAGTCAAAAGTCCGTCGCCAGTTAAAAAGTATAGAACTAAATGAGAAATACGTTTTTTTTGTCAATTCCCTACCTTTGCATTGTCATATTCAATCAATGTTCCTCTCATCATTTTCTTCTTCATTTGAACAATAACACGATCTGCTTCTTTCCTAGACAAAGAAAAATGGAGGATGGTTAATATTGAAAAGAAACTCTAAATCTGATATTTAAATAATTCAACAATAATTCACCGTTATCGACAGTGACTAATGATCATTTTTTATTTGATTTAGAAATTTGTAATATTACTATTGGACACAAAGTAGTGAACCTATGGGATCGTTTGCTGAAAAAATAATTTTTTTTTGAAATCTTGCTACCCCAAGGATATGCCGATAATATCCTAAATGACGTGTAGTGCTTTTATGGCCTCAAAATAAAATGACTAATATAAAACTATCATTTTTTATATGATGATTATTTCCAAGAAAGTATGACAATGTGAGAAAGCTGCGCTTGTCTGCAATCATCAAGTTTTTGAAATTGTGACGTGGATTCACTTAAGCAAAACAGCAGCTGCCAAGTTTTTATTCTTTGATATTTCTCACATATACAACTACTATTGAGCAACACTTCAATGCCAAATATAAAATACAATCTACTAGAAAATAAAATCAAAACCTTTCAAGTTCTTGTTGGAAAAACAAATAACCCAGGAAAATTTTCAGGCAACCAAGTTTTTTGGTCCAACCCAAGGTTCCCATAGGCTAGGAAACACTGATTTAAGATGAAGAATTTGCTAGAATGCTATTGCATTCATTTTATTTTTTCAAATTTCGTTCGTTTCCTATGGCCCCCGATGAGAAATTTTTTTACAACATACTACTCATTACCTTTGTTTATCTTTATCCACAAAAACATCAGGTTCAGGAGAGAATATTTGTTTCAATTCGGCCGGAGTTTGTGCGTCTGTCATTGGACTCCAGTTGCAATGATTATTTGATGAAGTTGGAGTTTTAAACCAGGCAGGTGTAGCTAATGTTGCATCCATTGAAACAGCGGCTCTCATGTTTGGGGTCAAAGGTACAAAATAATTTTGTTCTGAAGCTTTGAACATGTTCGAAGAAAATATCTGAAATAAAAAGTCAAGATGAAAAATGCTCAGATGCCCCATGGTGACATCTTGTTTCAATCGCAGGTCAAGAGTTGAGTTTGGGCGTGCGGTGGCGAAGCATCTAAAGCGTTAGACTCAACTATAATGACATCACAGGTTCAAATAACGCCACTGATTGGACGCTGCAACAACTTCGATTCAAACCGTTTTATAAATCTAAAATTGGCCTCCCTAACTACAGTTCTAGATATTTCTAACCACAGCATACATGACTTACATTATCCTCATCTTGTCCGACATCTGCAGAAAAAAAATCTTGATATTCAGGTCTAGGTTTCTTTAAAACTTCTAAAGCCTCATGAACTTGTTTCCTGTGTTTCAATGTTCCAGGTCTTGCAGTAATTTCCACCGGTCCCTTCTTTTCTTCTTCTGATGAATGAACTGGAAAAATTGAGAAGTAAATAAAAGCCATCTATTGCGAAAAGTAAAATATTTCGTGGAGCTGGTCCAAATCGTAATGGCTCCAGATATGGAGCATCAATTTTTTGAACTTAAAGCTCCAACAGAACTTCTCAGCTCCATGGAATCGAGCATTGCAGTGAGTGAGTCCCAATAGTGGGTGCTATCAATTCAAGTAGTTAGCTAAATCATATGGGGAAACGCAGCCTCTTGTTTGAATATGGAAAAAATAACCAGTAATATAATTCAGATGCATGGACTTGGATGACGGAGAAAGACGAGAATCGATTAACACGTACCATCATTACGATGGCGAGGAGTCCAGCACTCCTCATATGGGATATGATACTTATAATCGTGCTATGACCTCAGAAACTATAGACTTCAGTCAAGTATAAAATTACTAGAACAAGAAGGGGCTAGCAGTCCATTTAGTATTAGCTAAAATCAAATAAATCACTATTTCAAATACAAACCGAAATGATATTCTCAAAAACTAAAATAAGAAAAATATTTTAAATTAGATCATGTACAACAGAGAAATTGTATGTTAATACGAAATAAATCTAAAATTGCATAATATATATTCTGTCTTTTCATGTGCATTTTTATGAAATTCCATATTTTACAGTGTCCGAACTTAAATTAGTGTATATTATTTCTGACCAGAATTTACTTTATTAAATATAACAATTTCTACAATCAATGTATAATTCATTTGGTATATCCGTGGCTAACCCCAGTGAACAACTTCACACCTATGATAAATTTTGACATACCTTTTACTTTTTTGGTCCGTTTCATAGACGATATTCTTTCGTTATAAGCCTTTTCACATTCCTCTGCAGAGAAGCCCATTTTATTTGATACATCTTCCCAGTTGAGACCTTCATTCACAAGCCTGTATAATAACAAAAATTAATCTCAACTGAAATAATATCATTAACTGAAAGTTAAATTCAGGCGGTGCAGATGGCCTAGCAGTAGCTGTGTTGGCAATACAGTTCGTGAACATTTCGAGTTGAAATCTCATGTTACCCACTTCACCCAGGGTGTAATAAATTGGGTTGGTAACGCGGAACTGGAAAGATGTGGTTCTCAAACTTTTTAATTCATTTCAGAATTTGTCAAGTCTAACGCACCAACTCAAAAATAACTGGCTAACGATAAGCCGCAAACAATAGTAACGTAAAAGTATGTATTATTCAAAAAACACGTTGAAAATATGTGGATGGAACGTAAATAATGAGAGAAGTTTTGAAATGTAAATATAAAAAAAATTGACAGGCAAGATCGAATCTAATAAACATTTAATTAGCTTTAATTAATTAGTTATTTAATTTAACTTTAATTAGCTTCACGCCCGCTCAAGAAATTGTCTACGCACCACTTGTGGGGCGCCCCCAACATCTGAGAACCACTGTTCTACATTGCAGTAGCTCTTTGCATATTATTAAGTCAGTGGATAATCGAATAAGACCTAGTTTGAAGCAAGAAGTATGAACAAGCGCTGGATAAAAAAATCATACTTTCTCAACTTTCTATGTTGGTATGCTGTCCACTTCTTTTCTTGCAAGGGTTTCCTAACAGCTTTTTCTACTTTTGTCGTTATTTTCTTTGAACTTTTGTCTTCAGTCTGCTTTTTAATTTTGGAATTATTTTTAGAAACTTTTTTAGTTGATGTTACTAATTCAACTTCGTTATCCTCTGTGTCTGACGTTGTAGATTTTTTGCTTCGTTTTTTCGGTCTTGCTATATCCGCATTCTCTCTTTCTCGCTTCATACTTTTTGTCTTTATTACTGTAATGTTGATAAAATATAATTAGGCTATACAAATTCTTTTCGATTTGCTGATTTATGTTTAAAGTGAGCATGATAGAGAATAAAGCATTAGACTTAACTACAAGAGAGCTATGCTCAAATATATGGACACGTAGCGCCATCCAGTGGGAATAATTTTGATGACATCATAGCGAAAAAAAAAAGTAATAGCCTTCTGGAGAAAAATTTTATCTTCAACCACTGAAAATTTTGAAGCAATTGGTCCAGTATTCGAAGAGAAAAGCGATTTCTTCAAAACGTGTCAAAGAACAAAGACACAAGAACAACAACAACATAATATTTAAACGAGCGCTATGATTCAATAATGGCATCACAGGTTACACATTTAGGGTTCTAATACGTGTTCACCACCTCACCCAGGATGTAATAAATTGGGTAGGCCGAATGAGAAAAATTCCGGTCTTTCCATTTTTCCAATTATATTAGCTTTTTAACTAGCGGTTGGGGACTACTGTGCGAACCCATACCTACCACCTCACTCAGAGTGTCATAAATTGAGTAGGCAATGCAGAACCAGAATGATTTCGGTCCTTCCAAAAATAGTACTTCCTTACTTATATTTAGATATCAGTGACTGCTTGTACAGTACCTTGTTCTGAGTGGAAGGCACGAATAATTGTCATATAAACAAATTCAACACAGGCATGGAAACACTCCATAAGAGTGGATTTCATGACAATACTTTTGACAAAATTACTAGCACACATGATTGAATCATTTTATCATATATCATAATTCTTAACATTGGGTGACTATGCTTAATTTATTTTTTCTAGGGTCGGCTTACTTATTCGCACAAGTCTCCTCAAGCATGATTTGTTTTAACTCCATATCTGGGACGATATATTTTATAATGTATTCAACCACACAAAAAGGTCTGGATCTGCCAATCACAGGTACTATTATTTACCAAGTAACTTGTACTGCCAGCTGTTGTTTGTCTTAATTATTTCAAAAACCCCATGACAATTGTGCAATGAATGTCCATATGGGTACTTCACCTGATAAAATGATTCAGATCCTTGGATTTCGTGAATTCAGGGATAAGTGACACCAAACTAGACAACACAGCTGATAACTAACCCATGATCACTTATCACAATCACAGAGTATCCACAGATTATTTCAATCTTCCAGTTGAAAGGTTGTTTAAAACCTTTTTGAGGCGAGTGATTCATTGTTCAGAATAGTTAGAACAGTTATTTCTGGGTGTGGTGCCTAATTCTAACTATAAAAATTATGAATGCATATTGGTGCTCAATTGGCCAACAGAGAAACAGTTTTTTTGCCTGTCTTATTGAAGGACTATATGGAAAAATCCCCTCTTCAGTGATAAAAATAGACCTCATTTTATTTGCTGGGTAGACTTATTAGCCGGAAAATAGGATATACCTTGTATATGAACATTTGCTTCCAATGCAGGTATATCTCTGTCACAGCCAATTTTGGAATGATTTGACAATAATCTGCAAACATCGTTGACAACTAGTGGAGTGATGGGTACTTTATAACTGCGTGTTCGTACTCTCGTGGATGAAATTCGTTCTCGATCTAAATTCAATTTGATTAGTGTAATTGATGTTAAATTTTTCCTAATGATAGGAAATTGAACAAAAAATTTATCTTGGAAGAAAATGTTCTGCTACCATACTAGATACAATGACTTCAAAGTCTGACCTATGGGTGGTTTAAAAATATGATTTTGGCTCAGATTCCGAAATCAATAATTATCCCTTTAAAATATTCCCGATGAATGTAAATTACCATCTAATATTGTGAAAGAAATCACAGAACACTTTGTGTTCATAGCGCAAATTACGTCAACCTGTACCTTGCTATGTTAACAGAAATGATCAAGAAAAAACTTTAAATATGTGTAGATTAAAACAGTCAGAGAAGAGAGGAAAAAAAAAATTGAAGATAGCTGAGTGGTAAAGCGTGGGACTTCATTACGATGGCATTGCAGATTAAAATCTTGAGTCTAAATCCCATGTCCACCACTTCACCCAGAGTGAAATAAATTGGGTGGGCAATACCAAAGATTCTGGATTCTTACCTAGGAGTAGCTGCTTGTGCAAAGCCATGTTAAGAGCAAAATGAGTCGTATAAAAAATCATTATATTCAATAAAAAGTGTAATTTGCGAAGTTTACCATTTACAAAGCAAACTATATAAAAACTTGAATTCCATTCTAAACTTCTATTCTATAATACATCACCTAATATTTTCCTCCTTCTTGTCGATGAAATCTGCAAGGTTTCTGAGGATAAGTCAATTGAAGCAGTAGGTTTGCCAGTATTTTCTGCAGAAAATACAAATAAAACTAGCATTAAAATATTATGTGAGAGCAAAGTGAATGGAAAGTAAGAATACAGACATAGGGAGAAATGTCTCCCTTGATTTCACCACGCAATTGTAAAATATCTAGTCATTTTCAAGTAGTTCCCACCCTCAACACTTGCAAATAAATAGCTGGAAAATCACTTTATGGAGAAAATCTTCAGTTGGAAATGTTTTCCAAGTTTTCTTCTTTGCATCTATTGCATTTGTTGCAAATCAATATTAAAACCAGTATTGGAATCGCAATGGTTTTGGCTCAAGATATTCATTTTTTTTACGTCAAAGCTGGGCTCTTGCTTCGGTTCTATAGCCATTGAGGTTTTTTGCGTATGATCACTACCATGAAATATCAACCCAAAATCAGTTTCGCAGCAGTGCGACTCTAAACTCTGATGTAGGGCTTTCAAATTTGAAGATTCTATATATCCAAATTTAACTTGAAACATTTAAATTAATAATAAACGAATGAAATTTCAGACAAAATTTATAAGCCGAAAAAGATACATTTTGTTGTTTGTATGAAGTATTAGAATATCATAAATGTGAAAAAATATTTAGATTAGAAGCTAGAGCCACTCAAATTTCTGGTTGCCCCAACTCCAGCTCTTCAGCTACACCAGAATGCTACGTCCCTAGCTCCCAGATTCAAAACACACGATTCAACATTATAGTATTTTTTTTAACTCTACCTTGATCAATTTCTTTCACACTGCTTTTACTTTTCGTAATTTCACTGGAATTATCATCGACAACAAAATAGTCTGCTGTAATATTTTTCTTACTCTCTTCCATTTCATTACAGACATTTACAATATTTCTATTCCCATCCTCTCTATCGCCAGCCACAATGACAGAATTTTCTTGTTTCTTTGTCGACAGTTCCGCTGATTTGACGACGGGTGTGTTGTAAAGCTTTTTGGCAGACTTTCTTCTTTGTTTATGTCTTTTAGTAGATTTACTTAGTTTGTGTTTATGTTTCTCATGAATAAGAGCCGGTGCATTTTCATCTTCTTCAATTGGAAGGCAATTTTTGCTGGTGTGTTTTGTCCTCCTTTTTATGAGTGTAGATTTTTGGTTGGACTTTACAGACAATTTCTTATTTGATGGTGCCTATAACAGAAATTAAAAATTACTATAGAAAAATTTAGCGTAACAGAAAATTCTAAAATAAATATTTTATTGGAATACTTAATATTTTATTATGTCCAGGAGTTTCACAAGTTTACATTAAAAATGAGAGTCTGTATTATTATAGGCATTTTGTTTAAATATAATCAAATACACAGTGTGTTTCAGTAGTGTTCTCTGAAAGACCTTCAAATTTACCATGAAAACATATTTCTGGCTCGTTCATTTTTAGTTTTTTCAGACAATGTTTTGAATATTTTTTGGCATATTTCATGATAACAAATACCGGTATAATCATATATTCAAATATGCATATAATAATTGTACATGGGTTCTTCAAGCACCTGAAATGTTTATTAGAGTTCCGCCCGTCAAAAAAGTTGAAAACCACTGCACTGGAAGAACGCTTACCATGGCACATCTGATTCCCTTTCTGGGTTCAAAAACAATGATGAATATGTATATGCAAGAGAAGTGCTGGACTCAACGCATACAGTGGTTCGCGTAACCATTGATCAGTTAAAGACTTCCTCCATTTATATGCCCAGCATGAAGTAGTTAATCAGGCGAAAGGATTTTATTTGTAATATATACATATATTTATTAACTCATCTAATTGGCTTTTCTTCTTCCCGTTATTTAAATGAATAATAAATTCCATACTAAATAGGAAAAGTAGTTACCGTAAGTCTAGAACCTCATATCACTCAGATATTAGAGTTGCTACGGTAATTCTAAATCTTTATTATGAACTACATATCCTCACTATTCTCTGTTACAAAAACTAGATTGTATTCATACTTTAGGAGTTTTTGTAGTCTCAATTTCACAGACGTCTGGATAATAAAAATGATTTGAAGATGTTTTCTTTTTGCGACAGGTTTTGCTCAAGTATTTTGCTTCTGTTTCTAGCTGTAATGGACTTGTACTTGTTGTATGGATTGTACGTCTAGAACGACCACGATCAACGTTTTTCTTCTGCGAAACAGTCTTTGCAGACACAATGGTAGCAGAACAATCGGCATTTGGTATATCAGCTGGCTCTGGAAGAGAATGCAAAATATATTAATTCTTTGAATTGAGTTTTTGTCGTTTCGATTCTAGAGAAAAATAAAAGAATTTGAAAGAACCAAATGTCGTTAATTAATAGGTAAATCATGATACAATTTGCAAAAATATTGATGAGCAAAATAACATACATCTGTTCAGGCTAAGCATGACTACTGAACTAGTGGATAAATACCTCAATGAACATAATTATTATGAAAATCAAGATCCACACGCTAAACAACGTCACAGCATTGACAGTATTTTTGATGTCCATGAGTAAATAGTGGTTTAAGTGTTTTAGACTTACCTTTGATGACAAGATCACATGCCCGCCATCTTACCCAGGGTGTGGATGAGATTAAGATAGGGGTGAGCAATATTTTCCTGAAACTGCCGCATTTAGAAAATCTTTTTTGCAAAGAGCCGCATATGGCTCCACACTTACTATTCTCATTCACTATGATTGACTATCAAATTTGATGGTGGCTCACATTGTTGAACGAGAGATGAAAGAAACATACTATTATCTTAACACAGCTTAGATCATTTTAGTATAGCTTTGAAATATATCAAAATTTCATCTGTAGCAGCAAGAAGTTTTCACAACTTTTTCCAAGAGTGGAAGGCCGCATAAAATTCTTTGCCAGGCCACATGCAGCCCCCGGGCCATAGTTCGTCGCCCATCCCTAGTTCAAGCACTGACCTAACCAGTTTCAACAACTTAAACAACAGAAAAACAGCAGACATAGACTCGAATAACAGAATTAAACTAATCCCAAGTTTAGGAATAAAGAATTCCAGCTGACAGATGTTGGAATGGTCATTAGCTACACAAAAAAAACATATGAATGTACTTACGTTCGTGGGTGCTAATTTCAGTGACAGGAGTTAAAGCTGAAGCGTATTTTCCCACATCTGGCTTAGCAGGAGAAAATGATGATTTTGGCAGTGTTGATAGAAGAAATATATCCGATGGATCTGACACAGATTAAAAAAAATAGTAAAGAACTGTAGGCTGTAATTATTAAATATTTATATCTTGTTGTCATTCCATACTGTTTAGAACAGTGGCTCCCTAACTTTTTAAGCCTGCCTTTCTAAAATTTCTAGATCCTCACCTCAAAGATAACTAGCTAACAATAAGCTACAGATAACAGATAGTAAAGCAAAAGTATGTTTCAATCAAAAAACAAGTTGAAAATACGTGTACGGTACATAATAAAAAAATGTAAATATCCAAAATAAGGCAAGCAAGACTGAAGCTAACGAATATTTTTATTTTTTATTAGCTTCACACCCCCTCCAAAAAATTGTCTACGGTCCCCATTGCGGGTGACCCTACCGTTTGCGAATCGGCGGTTTAGAACATTTCTCTCCTAACACTAAAGCAGATACCTCAACCATTTTTCTGTTTAGTCCCCCAATTAAAAAAAAACTGCCATTACCTGAGGTTTTGGTCCTGTGGCTGTGATTGTTATTTGTTTCATCAAGTGACATATGAAGAGACCGATCGGAGTTTCTGCAAAAATATGATTTGTTGAAAAGCACTTTCTCATTTTTGAACAATGTCAAGGCAGCATTACTTAGAAAACTCACTCAGATGCTCTAGTTCTTCTCGTACTTTGACTTATTTCATGAGAATGGTTAATTTCATCAGAAGCAGCAAAAGTTTGGCCTTGATAACTTCCGCTGTCTGAACTAAAATATAAATGTCATATTAGATAATGGACGAGAGATTATAAATATTTAAGTTTTTCATATGACGCTCATTCGCACTTATTGCTTTAAACGAAGCTCAAAACAAGTCATTGATATCCAACAATAGATAAAAAGCTACTACTATTGAAAGGACTGAAATCTTTTCTGTTGAACGCAAATTATTTCACCCTGGGTAAATTCGTGGGCATGAAACCAAGATAGCTCAGCGGTACGGAGCATCGTGCTAAACGTTAGGAACACACTCGCCACCGCATACGTGATTACTCTGAGTGGGTTCGCAGGTTCGAATCCCAGGTAGGGTTAATTATGTGCGAGAAGATCGCTGGACTTCCCGATGCAGTAGTCGTGGAAAACATGATGGAAAATTAACATTAAAAATAAGTATAAGATTTAGTTCATTGTCAAATACTGAGTGATGATGTCATTGAATGGGGACTCTTGAACACCAGTTGCACAATTTTCCACTTTTCAGTGTTAAGTTTTTCTTTTAATTTTATTGAGTAAATGCTATTTTGTGAATATGGATTTATATGCATTTCGCTATAAACAAGGCTCTGCACAAGCAGTGACTAAAATGAAAGAATTATTTTGTTGAGATTACCAGAATCTCTCCGGTTTGGTTCCCCCTGACTATAATAAAATTTAATCAAGTAACAATTATGCTCTAACAAAACAAGAGCATAATAAATTACCTGTTTAAATTGACATGCCGTTTACCATATGTTCTCCATCCAGATGGAAAACCTTTCACAAATTTGTTTGCGATATTTAAAGGAACTCCTGCATTTACAGATGCCTGAACAAGCATATTTCCTGAAAGATTATATACCGATCCACCGGATGTCACTATTGTTCTACCTCCATTTTTAACATCGACTATGAAACTTGTACGAAAAAGTACCAGTTTGTTATTTTCTTCCCTATAAAGATGATGAAAATAAAAAATTTGGTTGTAAAGGTAAAGATTTCACTTAGCTGGCAAGAATTTCGTTAATGGAATATATTTTATTGAAAAGGATGGCTATAACAGAAAGGAAGCAGATTTATACCACCATTTTTTTATACCTCTAAGCTGGCCTTGGCTCCAGAGCCATTGTGATTTTGATATGACCTCTATCATTAAACATCATCCCAAATGCAGTTTCACGAAAGTGGGACTTGAAACCATGATAAAATTTTCAATTTCTTAAAAGTAATCTTTAAACTTTCAATGATACATATTTAACAAGAAACTTTTATTGAATAGTAGAAACTAAACAATGAAACAAAAAATTTCAAGAGGTAAAGGATAAATATCATAAAACTTAAAGTAATAAAAATATCATAAATGTGAAAAAATAATTAGATTTGTGTTAGCTCCAAATCCGGCTCCCAACTTTTTTGGTGAGCTCGGCTCCAGCTCAGACTCCCCATCCCTAAGGGCCACAAGACTTTGATAATTAAGAATTGGTTTTGTAAAAAATAGTCCAATAAAAGATATGTTCTACAATGTCAGTTTGTCCAGTGAACTAAAACATAGAAGCACTCAACAAAAATTGAGCATTTACTTTGAATATCCTTCCACATGAACTTGATTTCTTGAAAATGTTACAGACCATTGAGATATCTCTTTTGTTACCATATCCTGTAATAAAATTGGAATTGGATTTGATAAAAGAATATAAATTGCAACTTGCACAACCTTGCCAAACTTAACATCCGTACAGGGAATTAAGAAATTAAATAAATAAGTTATTAAATTACCTTAATAATATTCGTAATAATAACAAATGATTGAATAATATATATTTATTTATTAGCGATATTTATGAAAGAAAACTTTTATATAATACTTACAGCTGAACTTGTTATGTTTGATTTGTCTCTGTCTAAAGGTTTATATTTCGAAGTAGATTTGATTGAACTCAATGGCGGAGAATCTTTATCAAAACAAGTTAACAATTCATCAACAGGACATAGTGAAGTTGTTGCCTTTTTATATTTCTGACCCGATTTTATCATTTTCCTCTTTCCTTTTGGTGTTTTTGCAGATAGTATTTCATCAACAGCAAGAGATTTCATTGTTTTATCCTTATTTGAAGAAAAATGCAAAACTACAGGTGTTCTCTGTGGTGTTTTTTCAGCACACAAATCACCGCCATTCACAGATTTTTGTCCAATGCTATGTCCACTTACAGAACATCCTTGACCCTTTGACTCAAATAAAACATCATTTTCATCAGACTCAAACAATGAGCATTGTAAATCATTTTCTTTGTCATTGTTTCGAGTTGGGTCCGAAATTTCATCATGTTCATTTTCATGAAAGATTTGCAAATGACTATTGCCATTCTCCACAGGTAGCAACGCTTTTCTACCATTTTGAATAGATGATAATTTCTTTTTTGTCTTTGATGAATACTTTTTGTTTGATGTTTTTTGTTTTGTAAAATCATTGTTTATTGTTTTTCCTTCAGTGTTTTCTCCATTTTTCTCAATTAGAACATTTCTTCTCTTAGTTGAAAGACTAAATATAATGTTTCAAAAAACATAGGACAGAAAAATAGGTATATATAGTCAGTATAAAGTAGCTAGTAGACATTTAGATTGATTGCACAACAACTAGGGCCATAAAGTATGAGAAAATTCACACTAGATCCCGATTCCAAACCTTGAGCCACATAATTAATAAAATTTACCCTTGCTGACTCCAGACTTCATGCTAGCAAATATTCTGCTTGAAAACTTTGACTCCGAACACAACGATAGAAGTATGAAATTCAGACTAGGACTGAAAACTCCAAAAAATTCAGAATTTCTGTTTCGCTCCTGACTCTGGACTCCAGGGTGCTAAATGTGATTGTGGCCCAGACTATGATTCTTAGTCAAAAGCGAATGAACGGTTGTCAAATATTGACTGAATGGTTCAATCCCAGCAAATCAAAGACGTGAAATCCTATATCAGTATATATTATATATCAAAAGTATTTTAGCTGGTATTTCATTAAAACTTACCTTTCATTATTTTCCAACGGTGATTTTTCAAGAAATTTTCTGGGATGTTCGCAAATAGAACTTGGAGTTCCATTGAATCTGAAATATTTCAATAGTTCTGATGTTTTTGTTGATTTTCTTGATATTTCCGATTCTGAATCACGCCTGAAAGTCTCATTCTCTTCGGCATCTCCAAAACATGATGCACTGTATCCCAGTGGTATACTATCATTCAAATCAGTAAAGTCTTTGCTCATATTTCAATAATTTAAAGGCTGTCAAGAAATATAATTTTAAACTTTCAAGCCAGTTTGACCCGCTTTGCATATCGCATAGAAACAATTGGTTCGTCCAATTGCTCATGAGCTGTGACCCATATGAAATATAACAACCCCCAAGGTGTTTGGAAAAGCTATAAACATATCTAATATAAATAAACGATTTCGGTCGGTGAGACTGAGGAGACAACGACGCTGTGTCATGCAATTACCTTGTGTTAACTAAATTATTATTATTTTTTTAAATAGAATGAAGCCATTTTTTTCTGATTTGAATTGCTGTTGATTCAAATCACTTCGATTCAAAATTCTGAAACTTACGGTACATTCCTAATTCAGTACCGAACCGGAGTCAAAGTCAGTCAAGCAGTATGTTAGTCGAATTTCAAGGCGCATGTTCACTGAACGCCGTAAGTACTTCTAGTTAGCATGGCCCAAAAATTTTTTGTATATCTTATTTCTAACCCCCACCTGACTACGTCATCCAAACATTACGTCACTACGACATCAAAATCATGTCGTAGAGCTTGCCAAAGAAAAGCTACAATCACCCAAAATGACATCTTCGCCGACCATGACGAACTCCCTAATGCCAGCTATCTCTCTCATATTGGGATCGTTATGACGAGAAAATGGGAGAAATAGCTTGCTTGATTTTGGGTGATCGTCTGTGCGTTTTAGACGGCAATCCGTATACATTGACGGGCCTTATTTTGCCACTGTAAAGTTGTGGTGCCTACTTGTTGGATGATGTAGTCAGGTGGGGGTGACGTATGCGAAACTGGTTATGTCACGTCAACTAGAAGTACTTGACGATGTCTAGTGAACTAGTCCTGTCAGTACGGCACACTATACAAATCGAGTGACATTGTCCCGTTTCAGAGAAACCCATTTTACCAATGATTAGACACCCCTCTTAGAGGGCTGACGGCTAACTTGCCATAGACAAATCGTAAAAGTAAAACAGCCATCTTTCCATCTCCCTCCAGTGATTACAAGAAGAGCCTCCGCACAGTTGCAGGCTAACCTGTTACCACGCTGTCGCATGGCGAGTTAGCCTGCACCCCTTTGGAGGACGTCTGGACATGGTTGTCCCTCAATATCAGTTAAAATAAAAGTGCGCAAAAAACTACGAAGAAGCGCAATCTAAAAACGTGATCAATGAATTCCTTCGAAAAAAAATACCGTAATCCGATTTACGGAAGGAAAAAAATGTGGCATTCTAGAGTTTTGAGCAAAAACGGCAATTTTAGTCATGTGACGGCCGCGATTAATTTAAATTATTATCAAGACAAGCATGGCGCGATATGCTGCATTTGTCGTCACGCTAAATGCCCCTCGTTTGTGGGACAAATGAAGTGTTTGTTTCATTGAACCAAATGACGAAACATTATTGGAATTTGGATAGTGTGCCCTATTGCCTGTAGTCTCAATTCCGCAATCAATATTCCATGTCTATCGTTAAGCATCACCATTCCCAATAATTTCCCATGTTGTGATTTTCAGAGTACGAACCGGTACCGGTACCAGTACAGCAGTATAAGATAACAACCCCCCATGGAACAAGTGTTTGATTGTGACTGTACCGGTAGGCCTATGTCTGCGTCGTATCCCTTGACCCTTATTATTATTTATAAAATATATTTATTTTAAAAATTAGATTTGGCATATAGGCACGCCAGCATGTAAACAAAAAAAAATAAAAACAATTTACATACGGTACCGGTACGGTATTAACATACGATAGGATAGGATTTACATATTTATTCCTGGGAGAGGAAAGCCGATAAGACGGCTTATCCATATGGCGAACCACGGCCTCTCGTCCGGTTACGGTACCGTACCATTCCAAGTCGGGTATGGGATTAATTTTACTGTATTGTTTGTTTTCGGAAGCCTGGACTTGGTGGTGGAGGAAGCCGTAACCGACCAGCGGTTACGTGAACCACCCAACGACGGCGAGGAGTCCAGCAATCCTCTCGCACATACGGTAACCATCCCTGCATGGGATTCGAACCTGCGAGCCCACGCAGAGTAAATAGAGGTGCGGAGGCGAGCGTATTCCTAACTAACGTTCCACCCTACTTGCCTACTGCTGTACTGTACTGCTGCATTTCATCATTCGAATATGGTTGTTTGTGCCGGTTTTTCCCACTTGGTTTAAGTATATATATTTGGTTTTTCCCAGTTATATTTACAGTATACACTTTGGCTTTTCCCGCAAAATTTTCAATAGTTGATCTCTTCAATACTGACATCGCGTGGCACAAATAGAGAGGAGAGAGAAAGAGAGTGAGATTTATTATTTGCAACTAGAATAAAACATACAATAATCATCTCGAACTCATTTTTATAAACGCAATTGTATTTGTGTCTAACCTATGGTGTATATAAAAGTGATTATTTACAATATACAAAAAATATCCATAGACAGGTATACCCTAGATCAGGGGTCACCAACCTTTTTGAAGGCGAGGGCTACTTTCTGGGTACCGATTAAGCCGAGGGCTACCAGTTCAATGTGAACACTTTCAAAAAAAGTCAATTAGCTCGCTTGACCCTCACTTATTGATAATTACCGGTATTTAGTCAAGTAAAAAACATTGATAAACTTTGGGATTCTTCAGGAAATCAAACGATTATCACAACGTAGCAAATAAATTACTAGCAATGACACTTCCATTTTCAAACTGAGTGTTTTTTAAATTGATTTTAAAGTGATCCCTACAATAATATCCTCGGAAATCACAGGTCCACAATGTACCTACTTATTTACAAACACCAGAACACCCTGCATAGCCCTAAGATGAAAAAACCTAACAGTTGTACTGCCGAATGTTACATTTACAAACACATTTAACTAATTATAAATATCTTGTTTTCAACAAGGAGAAAACCAAAATCGAACAAATCTAGTCTAATGCTCTCCACCATAGTGTGTTGTACTCCTGCGTGTAACTTGACACTGTAACTCTGAGCGGGTCTTGCAGATTTTCATCAGTAAGGCGTATTCCGTGCTTAGTTCCTTGTGAAGTTCATGTCAAAAAATGTTGATTCACCAAGATACCTAGAACCAAACACTGATCTCGTAACATAGGATTGCTGTTTGAATTAAAAGGTAAGCTTTTTCTGCCCGTACTGCGCTGACCAATGAAATATGACAAGATGTGAAATGTCCCTTCGCTTTGTCGTCGCTATAAACTCCCTGCAAATGAGACATACGCAATCTGTTTTCACGGTGGTAAAAGGAAATCCACCTCCCATCCATCATGAAAATGGTAGGTTTTCTTTCGTTTTTCTGCCATTTTTCTTTGAAATCAATAATCGTATTATTGGCATTGCTGCTCCACAAATCAACGAACACGAAAAAACGCGAGTTCGTGGAAGGCGACATCTGTGTGATAATCTGTGTCATAATTGGGAGAGTATTAAATGATCCGTTACGTTACTGAGGTCAAATAAAAGTTAGAATGATCGTTGTCATAATGGACCTTTCCCCGACTTTTGACCCCCGAAAGATTCTTCCTATACTTTACCATTGCAAAATGTTCGGAGCTATTTTAAGAGTGCCTTTGCGAGCTGGAGCCTGTAAAATGGGGCATGTGTTTCAAACCACCATCATGATTCATCGCATACAACAATCTGTTTTTTAAATATATCGGTAAAGAGTTTTAGCCTAGTTTATCACAGCTATTTCCACACTAATTTTTTATTACTGCATTTAAAGTAAAACTTCTAGGAAGACAGAGTGATCATTGAAATATCTGATTTATATTTAAGTTTCCGAAACACAACTGAAAACTTACGAATAGAGTTCAAAAACGCGAAAACGAGGTAATGTTTACGACCACGCTTGAAAATCTGTCTGAGTGAGAAATGTGTCTGAGCGGATGCGAAAAGGGAGCATTGTTACGTCACTTTTTGCATCTTGCTGATTGGCCAATGTCACGAAGTAAACAAGGAAGTCGATGCTCGGGGAAAGGTCCATAATCAACAGGGGTTTATTCCCAGTTCCCAAATAAGACTTAAGTGTGATTTATACAAGAATAACATGACAAAAATTAATTGATGTAACTTACTTATAAGCGCCGGTATTGGGCTCTTTTTGGAACAGACCTGCGGGCGACTCATGTGGTCTTCACGGGCGACTTGGTGCCCGCGGGCAACAGGTTGGTGACCCCTGCCCTAGATGGAGCGATACGACCATGCGGTCATCAAAGTTAATTTATGAAGAGTCTCGGTCTGGAAATTATTAGGGGTGAGTTGAGTTGTATGTACAAAATAATATATTATGAAGAATACATTTTAATAGAGTGAATCGACAATGAACGAATAGTACTACAATATGAATTTGTATATATACATGAACTACAAACAGAACAGCAATAATTCAGCCTCTCGAAAAGAAAGAACTTTAATAAACGAGCGACTCATATTCATTTTTGAATACAATTCTCGATACATCAACTTAGAAACAATTAGTACTCATCGATAAATTTGCTACATGACTATGATCTGAAGCAGCGAGAGTTCAGCTTGACAAGTAAGACACTTTTCTCGAATTGTGTTAGGCTTAGATATTTTTAATGTTATTCTAGCTTCGCAGGCACACAGTTATGAAGAAATTAGGAAAAGACTGATACAAAGAAAATCTACAGATTGAATGTAAATATTTTTACAAATTTTATTAGGCTTAGATATTGTTAATATTATCTTAGCTTCTCAGGCAAAGAATTTTGAAAGGCACTGGAGAAATTAAAAAAGACTGAACCAGAGACAAATCTAAATTACCGGTAAGTATGTCACATGTGTTTTATTAGGCAGGCTTATTTCTTTTATCTGGTGTTCATTTTGATTTTAGTTTGATATAATGATTTTCTTATTATATCAAAAATGCACTAAGTAATATGTTTATTGCCGATATTGAATATTTATTAATAAAGCTGTGCTGTATCCATATTTGTCTATCTTATTTGTCATAATCAATATTTTCTCTTCTATTTTTGAGATATTTCAAAAAGGAAACAGGATATCATGACACCGACAAAAGAAGAAAAGTATTAACAGGCTTGCCATGGCTTCTTTGTTTTTAATATTTTATTCGGTATAGATAGTTTTAGACCAATTCCCGCCATTAGGAATAATAGGTTTTTTTTTAGGCTTAGATATATAGAAAATACCGAGAAATAGACAAAGCGGAACAATATCTAAGAAGACAATCACGATAAGGTATAATATAATGTATTGATGACTAGGTTTTTATAATTTTGACAAGCCACTATTTGTGGGAGTTTGGAGTGTCCATTGTGGTTGGTAAAGGTCATGTTTCCCAAATTGGCCAAAATAGGTAATTCGTTTGGTATTTAAATATGGGCATTGCGTTTCAGATTTTTCTGGAGCGCGATAGGACCCCATCAAAAAGTCCTAACGAGTAGGAAAACCGACACCTCTTCGGTCCACATGGAAGCTCGGTACTATATTTTAACAGTTTAGAACGGGGGTTCCCAAGCTTTTTTCAGGACGACCCCAAGGACAACTTTCAATTGTCCAGTGCGACCCTAGGTCAATATATACATTTTTCATGAAACTTTAGAGCTTTTTTCACTGGAGTTTTGAAATTGGTCATGTGTTGGTATTAAGTAAAATCAGCTAAAACCAAATAGTGATGTCACAATAAGCACGTACATTTTCTATAGCATAAGAATAGAGCAATGCTTATGAGCCAGTTTTAGAGTAAGCCCTGGTACAAACTGCTAAATTTAACATAATTTGTCAAATCTTAGATGATTTGTACATTCATCCTCTACCATTCAGCGACCCCATGACCTGTTTGCGACCCTACCTACTTATCACTCCGACCCAATGTGCAAATGCAATGTTACTATATGGCAGGCATTATGATTTGTGTATGAAAAAAGAGGCAAAGCGAAATATAAATCGCAGAAAATTGACTTTTTCAAAGTATACTACAATGTAGTAAATTTCTACTAGACTCCGTATAGCGAGCGACTCATACGTTGAGTAAGTCTGTTGGCGCTTTTCTAATTTGGTGTTAACAAAATGTAAAAAGGTGACGTTTTTATGCAGACAAACTTAATAAAGGAATAATGAAATGGAAAGAGCGCTGGCGTATAGTGAAAAATATTATCACAGGGGGAAATCAAATCTAGAAACATATTTATTTATAGAGATTTAACATTCCTCGTATTCTCCTCTTTGTTCATGTGTCGCAATTCGAGAAATATTCATTTCCTTCGGTTTGCCTGAATAGCTGAATCAATTAACAGGTCAAGTTTAATTTGAGTCGCCAATCCGAATCAATATATCGTAATGTCCATAGTCTGTATGGCGAAGTATGTTATGATATCCGAACCGCGTGACTATATGACCAGGCTCATTGACTATAGATGCAAGCATAGAATTTCCAGCTTTTTTGCGGAATATGATAACCAAAGGCTTTCTCAATTATTTTCTTACAAAATTTAGCCGAATCATTCAATTTTAGAACATTAGATAAGTCTTTGACAATATATAATTAAAGCAAAATCGCAAAGGGGTTGTTTACCCTGTACACAGATCTGCATAATGAATTTCAACACTTTTTTCATTTTGTTATTAGCCTACTTGTGACAGAACCCTGTGAAATCAGGTAGAAGTTGCCTATTTTCTTATATAATTTTCAATAAAACTATAACGCACTATAATGTTTTTGTTTCTAATAAATACGTGCCTCCCGCCCTTTTTTTACCTCATATATATTTCGACATTTCAGTTTTGTAATGCGAGAATTATCGTCTTTTACTTTTGAGATGACTTGACATGACTCAACACGGTATGTAACTATGACTTTTACAATATAATATATAATTCCCATTGTTTATCCGTTCAGCGAAAATTGGGTTTGAAAAATACTCGCAAAGGATTGCAGATATCGTTCAACTGTTCTTATCATATAACGAGGTATTAACAAAACTATTGTGGACATTTCAATATCTTGTTCAATATTTGTATCATTGGGGTTGAAATAAAGACAAAACGAAATTGATCAAAATTACATGAGGGATGTATCAAAGGAACAAAACAACGCCATTTGTTTTGTCAATTATTGAGAAGCTTTAAAAAAATCATACGATTAGATTTTGATTTTCAAAAGAATTCTTTAGGGCTTTATGCTTAGCAAGAGTTATCAGCAAACTTCAGAATGTGAAATTCATCTACAGAGCAACAACATTA